GGTTTATCTGAAGGTATAGCAGTTGTGGGGACAGCCACAATTTCTCACACAGATGCAGTTAAATCTGAAGAAAAAACTCAGCACTTACCACTGGAAACCTCTCGCATGGCTCAAAAATCAAGGTCTGCTCTTTCTCGGGAGTCCCAGGGTTTGTCTGGCTGCGGTTTAGCGTCATCAGCTGCTGTGATAAATGTTTCTCAGATTAAACAAACATTTGAGTCTGATTCACAAATTGGGTCAATGGCTTCACCATCTTCTGACGAGCAAACAAAGGAAACACTGTTCCCCAAAGAGTTTATTCCTGAGGTGCTGGAATTCTCTGACCAGCAAAAACAGATCATTATGCCTGAACCTGGTCCAGTTGGTGAAGGTATTCATACTGTTTCAGAAGAAAATATTCCATTGCCTCTTACCTCTTTTGAGAAGTCTGCAGAACCAACAAGGCTTGACATCCACGGTCCACAACAATTTGTGGAAAAATTGCAAGATTCTCCAGATCTAGTCAGGCCTAAAGCACAGAAACCTGGAGTTTTAACTGAACAGATTGAAACAGGAGTGGCTGAAATGAGTGAAGACATCGTGCGGCCATTTGAAAGAACCAGCAGCTTTATTCCTTTCCAGCCTGATAAAGTACCTACATCCAAGTCTGTGAAAACATCCACCAGCTCAGGAGAAGCACTAAGCTCTAAAGGAACTGAGCCTATCAAACCAGAGAGACAAAAGTTATCTGCCACATCTTTAAAACACAGTAAAGCTGTGGATGAAGACGCAGAGATCCCTGCCTCATTGGAGAGTAATTTGGGAGAAGTAGATGTAAAAGGCATCACACAAGTACGTGAGGAATTAGAATACCAATCCATACAAGCATCTGAACCCTCACTGGATAGTGGTGTATTCCTCAGCTTGCCAGAATCACAAGTTGATGTTACAGAAACAATGGAAGTGTTGGGTCAGGAAATTCCTTCAGATACTACTGAGGAACATATAATTTCTCCTGCTGCTCCCTCTCATACAAAACATATTGAGGAAGGTATGACCAGTTTAGTGGAGTCACTTCATAAAAAACACAAAGAAGATGACTTGTCTCTCACAACTAAGGTGGGCACTTCGTCCAGTGTCAAAGACAAAGGCATTGGCATTGAGGAAAAAATAGAAGGTGTTGGAGGCAACCCCAAACACAAAGAGGGAAGCATGATTGAGGGCTCAACTGAAATAGCAACCATTGTAGAAGCAGGAAAAGTTGACAATACTTTGAGAGGCACAGAAGAGTTAGAAGAAGGGGAAGTAGACAATTCTTTGAGACGCACAGAAGAGTTAGACATTGCACAGTCTACTGAAGAGGGAACAGCTGCAACAACTAGTCAATCAATGCAAGAGGAAGAAGTCTCGTTTGGTGCGGTGTATGATTACTATAATCCTCCTACTGACTGGGGCCGACCACTGTCTCCTGAGTCAGAAATGTCTATAGAAATTGGTAGCACCATGAGTGAAGAGATTGCAGAAGTGGCTGAGAGGTTCTTCACCCCAGGCTCTTCTACTGAGACTTCACAACAAATAGCAGACTCTTTCCAGAGTTCTAAATCTCCCATGTCTTTGAATACTCCCACATCAGATTCACCTGGTGGCTTCATGACTCCCCAAGAATATGGCTCTTCTCCACTTGGATATAAGAGACCATCCACAGGAAGCTCCATTGATAACTTTTTTTCTCCTGTTCAATATTTGCAATCTCCAGCTGATGAAACATCTCAGCCAGAGATAACTTTGGAGGAAACTAGATTTTTAAGTGGGCGAAGCTCTCTAGGACTAGGTTCTCTCCAAGAGAAGGTACAAGGTATTCCACCAGCTTTCCTTAAACCTTTAATTAAGAAAAAAGTATTTGAAAATGACACCTTGATGTTTTACGCAGAAGTTTTTGGACTTCCCTCACCTGAAATTAAGTGGTTCTGTAACAAAAACGAGCTTGAGGAAAGCAGCAGAATTAAGATGGACAGAGATGGAGACAGTATCTCGCTGACAATCTGTAATGTGACTAAGGCTGACCAAGGAGAGTACATCTGTGAGGCTATAAACTATGTTGGAGAAGCAAGGAGTGTGGCTTTAGTGGTAGTTATGTCCCAGGAAATCAAATTTATGCCTGCACCACCTGCTGTCACTCATCAACATGTGATGGAATTTGATGTGGAAGAAGATGACTCATCCCGGTCACCCTCACCGCAAGAGATTCTTCTAGAAGTTGAATTAGATGAAAAAGATGTGAAGGAATTTGAAAAACAAGTAAAAATTATTACAATTCCTGAATATACAGCTGACAACAAAAGTATGATTATTTCTTTGGATGTGCTGCCAAGCATTTATGAAGAAGGAGCTGTGGACTTTGTCACCCAGGAACATGATGATCTTAAAATAGCTTTTGAAGTCACTGAAATGCCACCAAGATTCATAAATCCAATTTGTGATATGGAAGCCCATGAAGGCACAACTGTTATGTTCGAGTGTTCTTTAATGGGAATTCCTTCTCCAATTGTCTCATGGTTCAAAGGTGCCAAAAAGATCCCTCACAATAAAAAGTTCATTTTGTCCTCAGATGGTGATAATCATTTCCTGAAAATTTGTAAAATCACAAGTCAGGACAGTGGTGTGTATACTTGCAGAGCAATTAATGTTGTTGGTGAAACACTTTGTAGAGCGTCTTTGGTTGTTTTAAGCGCTAAGGCATTTGTTGGAAAAACTAGAGGGAGGGAACTGACAGCTGTATCTCTTGGTAGCGCCAAAGTCGAACCTCAGAAGTTTGATCTAATGGTGGGTAATACGTCATTTGATGGGGAGCAAGTTTCAGAAATAGAGCTTGAGTTTGAGTTTGAACAAGAGGCAGATGAATCTCAGCGAGCAGTGAGGCTAGTTGCTAACACAGACAAAGAAACAAGTGAACAGGGAGAGAAATATGTTAGCATTAATTTTGATGTATTTGCCGAGCCAGCTAAGGATGAAAAGATTGAATTCAAAGGGAAATCCTCTGAAATGTGTAGTTTCCATTTTCAAATTACAGAAACAGCCCCTAAATGTGTGATTCCATTAACAAATGTCACAGCGGCTGTTGGCACTCCAGTCATCCTTCAGTGTCTAGTTAGCGGTAAACCAAACCCCACAGCGGAATGGTACAAAGATGGTGAACTTGTGACAGATAGTAGATGTATCATCCAAGAGAAAACTGCTGGCCATTTTAATTTGCTCATTACTAATGTGACCCAAAGTGATGCTGGGGAATACAAGTGTCTAATACAAAACTCTTCTGGATCTATTGAAACTACTGCACTTCTGAAGGTGTTTTAGAGTAGCAGTTAAAGGGCCTATATTACACTATTTTTTGATCTGTTATAATGTTGTTTCCTCATCAGAAACATACGTGAAGTTATGTTTTGTTTCATTCACACATTTAACACAAAAAACGTGCATATTTACACTCTGTTCTACTTTTTTATGTTCATGTGGTAATACAGGCAATGCTCCGCTGTGTTTTTAAATGTCATACAACTTCATTATTTGGATAATTTCAGCCCTGGAGTTGCCAGTCTATACTAAACAAAAGGTAAAAGGCACCTGTTTAACTTGAAAACTGCTGCTTCATGACATCACAAGGTGGAACAGATCATTTTGAGCTTTGGAGATGTAGGCAGACTAATAATAAAGGGTTGCTCCAACATGTGAATGAAACAACTCCATGTCTGTTTTTAAGGAGGTAACAAAATTATAACTTGGCTTAAATCTCACAAGAACATATTTTGTGTAATATACGACCTTTAATATTAGTTTGAAGAAAATGTTTTGTTTTTTGTAAAGGAAAAAAAAAGATACATTAGTATATTTTTATTTATTTGATTAATTAGGCATTATGACAAATTCTTACTAATTTGGAGTTTTTAAAAATGCACTACTTTTCTTTTTGTTCATTGAATTTGTTATTTTGATTATTAAAAATTATTGGTTTCATGTATTTTAACAGTGAATTCAGATTTGAAATAATTTTTATGTGTTTTGGTTTTAGGCAAATCACTAATTTCCCTTTTTGTTGTATCTGACAACTATAAAAGGCTTACTATTTTGCCCAAACAAAACTGTTAAACCCAAATACACCAAGATTATTTATTCTTACATTAACTACCTTATATTACTAATTATAGTAATAGAAACTTGAAAATTCAGTTTGTCATTTTCTCATTTGATTTTACATGTTGTTTTCAACTGTTTCTACAGTTTGTGTGTGAATGGTATTCAGAAGGTTGCAAGATGATAAAATAGCAAATACTGTGAAACCAGTTTTCAGTTCAAATTCAACAATCCACAATGCTAAGTCTTGTAAATAAGTGTAATCTTTGAATGGTGTTTATAATTTACTTGAGAAAAAAGAGTGTACAGAGCTCATCTTCGTCTTGGTTTTTAATAAAAAGCATAAATATTGAAGTTCTTTGTCTGATTTGAGTTTTTTGTTGGGATCAATCACCTGCTTGTTTCTATGGGTATGCCGTTGCTCTGCCTGGAATGTTCCACAGTGTGATATTAAACAGTTCTACCTTACATTTGTTTAATTACAGGTGGTGTTATTGCTCAAAAATACCTTGAAACACATGCATTCTGACTGTGAGCGTGGACCCTTCTCCAGAAATTTGGTCCATGAAGATAAAAGGGTTTAATACCATACAGTTAAACATTCCAGACAAAGCAATAATATCTCAACGGAGAAAAGCAATTGACTGACCTTCTACCAGAAAAGTTACACAATGCACCTTTAACTCATCAGCTATCATAACAATATTATTGTAATATTATTACATTATTAAATTGATTGCAAGTGTCAAAAGCTGCTTCTGCTACAATTAATATTATTTAACTGAATAATCTAATTATACATTGTGTTTCTTCCCCCAGAATACTGTTTAAATTCTGTTTGCTCTTTTTCCGGGATGTTGTCATCAGTGTATAATCTTAATATTTCCTTGCAGAAATTTCTAGCACCACTGTCTCCACTGTGGAAGAGGAAACCTACAGCACAGCTTTCCAATTAGCACAGAAAACAAAAACACTTGAACTCAAACCAGACTCTAAACGTTACTCTTCCACTTTAGAGAAGAAAAAAGAAAAGCCAGTTTTCCTTACTCAGCTTTCTCCAGTTGTTTTAACCAGTGGTGAAACAGCCAGATTCTCAGTACACATTTCAGGCTTTCCCAAACCTACCGTTCAGTGGTTTCACAAGGGTAGAGTCATTAAAAGCTCTTCTGTGTACAAGATTATTGAAGAAAAGGAGGTACACACTTTAGTTATTACTAAGGTTACCACTGAATATGAAGGGGAGTATTCCTGCACTGCCACTAACAGATTTGGTGAGACAACTTGTACCACATACCTTGAGGTTAGAAAGCCGGATGTGAGTCATGCAGAGAAATGGGTGGAGAAAATGTTTAAGGTCACAGGTCAGCCTCCTACTTTCACTGTCCAGATTCTCCCCGTTAGGTGTTCCGAGGGTGGAGAGGTTACGTTTAATTACAAATCTACTGGTGACCCTCAGCCTGAAGTGAAATGGTTCAAAGGTGCTTTCCAAATCCAACCTAGTCGAAACTGCATCATCATTGCCAACCCTGATGGATCTGGCTACATCAATCTGAAGAGTGTAAAACAGGAAGACAGTGGTTTGTATACTTGCAAGGCCACCAACCAGTTTGGGGAAGCTTCTTGCAGTGCTGAACTAGTGGTATTTAAGGAGACCCGCAAACAGGAGAAGCTTACTGTTGTCCAGAAGAAAGGCTACAAGGTTTCAGTGATGGAACAAGCCACAGAGTCACGCTTGTATCAGGTAAGTTTGCCAGGCCAGGACAAAACTAAAACAGATCAGATGGTTTACACAATCGGCACTGAAGATAGACAGATAATTCCTAGTGAGCAGGTTAGTTCATTGAGGGAGGTCGACATTTCAGCCGCCACTGTACATCGTGAAAAGGTAACCCACCAGGCTGCAGTGCTGCAAACCCATGAGTTAGAGGAAAGGGTTTCTGTTGCTCCTACCCATCCACCTCAAGTGTCAGCTGTTCCTGCTAAACAGCTTCATATGGCGGCTTTCACGTCATCAGTTGAAGAAAGCCAAGGCCTTATTGAGCAGCACTGTGATCGCATTCAAAGCCCAGAGGTCATTGAGCTGCAGGCTGCTCAGGAAAAGAAGTCAAAAGTCATGTCAGCTGTAGCAGAGGAGTTAACCCCACTGTCCACTGTTAGCACAGAGCCTTTAGCTGACCGAAAACCTGCCAAAATAAAGCCCTCATCTGAACCTCAATTTCTTGTTAGCGGACATGAAGTTGTATCTCAGCTCGCTATGACGAAAGAACAGTCACAGGAAATGCCCGAATCACAAGAGCAGAAGGGTTATAAGGTGAAGGAGGGTGTAAAGATCTTGTATTCAGCTCAGTCTTCAGAGAAACGTGTGCTCGCTGAAGGACACACAACTGAGATAGCCAGCACAGATTCAGCTCTTAAGTCCACAGTTCGTAAAGAAAAGCACAAGCCAATCTTGGCTTCAGTCAGTGAGTCAAAACAAACACTTCATAAGGAAAGCAAGCTCTCACTGGAGAGGTCTGCTGAAGAAACAGCATCTTTGTCTAAGGATAAAATTATGAATGTAGCCATAAATACAGAAGAAAAGCAAATATTGCAATCTGAGCCCACACAACAGCTGCCAAGTTTAGACAGTGCAAAAACTATTAAGCCACAAATTGAAGGCGAGCAGCTTTTACACTTACAGGTTGTAACAGATCAGGACCTTCTTCCATCAGAGAAAGCTTTTACTTGTGAGAAACCAGCTAGTGAGCAGGCAGAAAGCAGAAAAAGCCCCACTTTGCTCCATACTGTTAGCCAGGATGAGCAAACCACTGTTGTTTGTGAGGACTCTGTAGAGTTTGAGGCCAAAGCTAGCACTATGACCATTCAACCTCAAAAAGAAGTCCCCACACCACTGCATCTCCAGTCAACACAGCCTGTAGAAACACTTCAAAAAGAGGGTTTACTAACAACTGAAAAGCCAGAGCAGCAGATGGCTGCACAAAAACAGGAGCGTGCAAGGAAACACGCAGCTACTTTTGAGGAGAAAAGAGAGCTTACTGCTGATTATCATACAGAACTAGATGTGTCTGTAACTGGAGTTCAGTCCCAACTCAAAACTGAACCAAAGCCTCTACAAATTCTTCAGCTTTCCTACCAGCCCATGCAGTTGCCAAAAGAGGTGCCACTTTCTACTGATGTCAAACAGCAGCGTGCATTGGTACAGAAAGAGGACCGCTGGAATGTCATGCACGTTACTAGTGTTGCAGATAGCCACACTATGGAGGAGGGACATACTGAGAGCATTTCAGATATAGATAAATTTACCTCTCAGATGGCTGTAGAACCAAGCGTTCCTACTGTTCCTGTTCAAGTTGAAGAGAAGGAGATCTCTACTGAAACCACGATTCTACTTGAGGCAGCAGAACAGGACTTTGCAGTACAAATCCAGGAAGGTCAGTCAGTAAGGCAGTCTATAATAATGGATGAGAAGAGAGTGCTCACTGGTGAAGTCTCTCAGGAGGTCATCAAGGCACAAGCATCCAAAGTAGCTGTTACCACACAACCAAAGCTTTCACTTATGGCTTCCGAATCTAAAGACACCACAGCTCTACCTAAAGAAATGACCTTTGTTATACAGATCCCTAAGCCATCCAGTCTGAACATAAGACGTCAGCTAAAGGATGCACTTCAGTCTGCGGTGGCTAGTGACCAGCCTGTGTTATTGGCTGATATTGTTGAAAAGTTACATGCTGTAGAAGTTCAGGAAGTAAAGGTTCAGAGAGAGCCAAAGCGGGCGATGTTTACTTACTTAATCACAACGACAGGCTCACCAATGGAGATAACTCTTGCATTTGAAGGTGAGTATCCTCAAATGGCTGACCTCAGGACTGAACTACAGGCAGCCTTTCATTCAATCATTTACCAAGAAGCTAGCGTTCTTACTTCAGCACAGCCTGGAACTATGCAGCTGGACAAACCCCAACGAGCAGAGGCTGTGACAAGCCATAGCAAACAAATGCAATCATCAATGGTAGAAACAGTACATGTTGCAGAGACTGCTGTTGATTTCTCTGCTGTTAAATCACAAGCAGCTGCTCTAAAAACAGAATCTAAAAAGGGTGTTGAAAGTGTTGCAGCTGAACAACAAATTATGGTTCAAGAGTCAAAAGCACAGGTTAAAATCTCAACTGAGCAGTCTGTGCAGGTTTCCAGGCAAGAAGTGCGGTCTGTAACAATTGAAAGCAGAGAGAAAGTTGAGGTGTCTGCAGGTGTTACCATACAGAAAGAGCTCAAGCAAGAGGTCTTTAAAGAGGAAATTAGCATAACACGACCAGAACAACGGGAATACCCTGAAATAGTAACCTCTCTTGAAGACTTATCTATTGATGAAGAGAGTAAAGTAACCTTTACCACTATTATTAAGTATGTTACAAAGGTAAACTGGTTTTTCAATGGCCAATTAGTAAAGTCTGGCAAAGAGTTCAAGTGTTCAAAAGACAAAGACACATACACATTAGTTATCAACAAAGTTGTGAAGGCGAAGCATCAAGGAGAGTATGTCTGTGAGGCTGAAAATGAAGCCGGCAAGATCACAACATCTTCAAGACTGACTGTGGTCTCAAGAGGTTTGGGAAATGAAAATTTGAATGTATCATCTATTCATTCATCCCAAATAACTAATCATTCACATAAAAGGATCACTTGATATTGTTGTCATCACACTATACTAATTTTCACTTTTCTTTTTCTTTTTATTCCATAGCAAAGCATGAGCACCATTTTACACACACTTGATGACACTAATGCACTTTGTATTGTCTGATCCGCAGAACATGCTCTTGGCAAAACATGTTCATACACAATTTGCTGCAAAGGTTTTCATAAACTTTCAGCTTTTATTTGTCATTAACGAGTTGTATTTCTATAAAAAGGTAATAATATAGCAATCTATTGATTGCTCAATCTTTGTTTTCATCACCAAAACAATGTTATAGGTTAGGATTTGGAAGTATTTTTGGAAACACAACTCGTGAAAACATTGTTCTTTGTCCTTTTTGTTGGAATATTGTTGCCACACATGCATGCTGTCACCCTTCCAACTCTTCATTCCAGTACTTTCATAATTCATTTTCTTCTTTCTAGCTTGACCACCCGCCTCATGATAATCACTTCTTTGAGCTTTCAGCAACTTTTCCCTCCACAGCCACTCCTTTGTTTTCCACCATTATACATTCCATCATGTTTGACAAATTATGTTATTACAAAGATATCACTATTAAAAAGCTAATTCTTTTTTTTTTTTTTTCTTTTATCCCGTGTGTGTGCCACAGTGCCACCAGTTTTTAGGCAGAAAATCGTCCCACTGGAGATAAACGTTGGCAGCCACGCCAAGTTTGAATGTGAAATTGAAGATGCTCCTGATGTGACCTTTAAGTGGTTCAGATCAGACGTTGAGATCAAACAAAGTGAGAAGTACAGGATTCTCAGCCGCCATACCAGTTCGTCCTTGGAGATCCTGACTCCTGCCAAGGCTGACAGTGGGGAATACAGCTGCAAAGCTTCAAATAAATTCGGCACTGCCAGCTGCCAAGCCAAGCTTGTTGTGACAGGTAAGCTCCCAGTGGGACTTTGTTGTTTGAATTCTATTTGTTTGAGAGAGAGAATTTTATATTTGCTTTGTGCTTCACCATGATTCAGTGAAATGCAATGTGGAAGTAATTTATTTATGAGCTGGATCTGGTGTCACGTTTGGCAAATATAACATGGTGTATTTTTTATTGTATGGCTCAAAATTGATTGAATATTGTGTTTTACCTGCTCTCCATAGAAATGTATCCACCAGTATTTGTATCAAAACCAGACCCTATGACTTTGTTCGTGGGCAAACAAGCACTGTTCCAGTGTTCACTCACTGGGACCCTCCCCATGGAGGTTATTTGGCACAAGGATAACATAGCCATTTCTCCAGAAGGGAACTACGTCATGAAATGTGAAAAGAACAAGTATTCCCTCCTTATTAAAAATCTACAACTGTCTGACCAAGGAGTGTACCTTTGCAAGGCCTCCAACAGCGTTGGCACTGCTACCTGTACCACAAACCTCACAGTGATTAACAAGCCAAGCTTTGTTAAATCCATCAAAACTGCTTCATTGGCTGTCAATGACTTGGTAAGGCTAGAGTGCCAGGTGGACGAGGACACTGGTGTCACAGTCACCTGGACCAGGGATGGCAAGAAGGTCCATCAGAGCATGGATTGTAAGCTATCCTTTGAAGACAAGGTGGCTGTTCTTGAGATACCCAAGTCCAAAATTAAGGACTCTGGGAAATATGTCTGCACAGCCAGCAATGAGGCTGGCAGCTCGACCTGTGAGGCTGTGGTGACAGTTCAAGGTAAGATCTTAAAGATGATCTGCCCTTTTGGTTAAAATTTTTTATTATGCTAGCATATTATCGACTCGCATACCTTTTTCAGCCAACTACAAGCTGTGCTAACCCTTTGCATTGCTTATCTTCTGCTCTGTGTGCGTTTTGTCAATGTCACTGTGATGTTCTGTTATAGTATGTCTTATTTCTGTGGTGTTGCATACTCTTTTCAGAGCCACCTTCTTTTACAAAAAAAATGGATCCAAAGTTTGTATGGAAACAAGGTATAGCTGGACGCTTACAGTGCACTGTGAAGGGCTCACCTGAGCTTCATATCCACTGGTTTTGGAATGAAAAAGAACTAAGTGATGGAGAAAAATACAAAATCTCCTTAAAGTCTGGAGTGGCAACTTTAGAGTTTATTAATCTTGTGGTTAGTGACAGTGGAAGTTACACTTGTGAGGTGTCAAATAATGCTGGCACTGACAGTTGCAGCACAGTTATATATGTTAAAGGTATGTGAATGTATTGAGTGAACTCTATGAAACTCAAATATTTATTGATGTTTAACAATTGTGTATTTTTTTACACAGAGCCACCATCCATTAAAAAGGAACTGCAAACAGTAGAGACAATTAAGGGTAGTTCAGCTCAGATGCAGTGTGAGATTACAGGAACTGCTCCCTTTGAGATCAGCTGGTTAAAAAACAAAAAAGTCATTGCTAGTGATAAGAAATATACAATCATTTCTGAAGATAATTTGTCTAGGTTAGAGATTCAGACTTTTGAAAGTGCAGATGTTGGAGACTACCAATGTGTTATTTCTAATGATGTTGGAAAAGTCACCACTAAAGCAGCCGCTAAACTTAAAGGTTCGTTAAAATTACACAGATCTAAGCTAGCTATTTTAATGTTAATAACATTTTAATGTATTTTGTAGAACCTCCAACATTCACAAAGAGAGTTGAAAGTGCTACAGCTGTGCTGGGAAATCCAGTTAAATTACAAGGAACATTAAAGGGCTCAGCCCCCATTACAGTAAAATGGATGAAAGACTCAGAGATTCTCAGAGATGATGATCCTCATGTTAAGATGTTGTTTGAGAACAATGTTGCAAGCTTGTCAATAACAACAGTCGCCATTAGCCATGGTGGCAAATATCTATGTCAAGCTGAAAATGAGGCTGGTCAAAGTAAATGTGAAGCCACACTGACAGTTCAAGGTTAAACTCCTCTTGTTTGCATTAGACACATTGTAGTACCTTGCTAGATGCCTTTTCTAAATCTCAAATTATTTTATCTCAGAGCCAGCTAGAATTCTAGAACCTGCCGAGTCCATCAGTGTGACAGCAGGAGATTCAGCCACACTGGAGTGCACGATTTCAGGAAGCCCAGAACTCAAAGTGAAATGGTTCAAAGATGGCAAAGAGATGATAAGTGGGCGTAAATATAAAATGACCCTAAAGGACAATGTTGCCACTATGAAGATCCTTTCCGCAGAGAGAGGAGACACTTCGGAATACAAAATGGAGGTGTCTAATAAAGTTGGCAAAGATCAGTGCACATGCTCAGTCACTGTACTAGGTTAGAAGCATTTTTTTTTTACTTTTTAAATGATAATGCATATGCATATTGTTTCTTTTCCTGAAGTTATTTGATTCTAGTATTCCACATTTGTCTTAGAAAATGCTAATACAAGAATAATAACTTGTATTTTGATGTTATGTTTAGCTTTAATTTTATAGCTGCATTCACTTTTTTATTAATGCGCAGATCGGATTATGCCGCCAAGTTTCACTAAGTCTCTTAAAAGAGTTGATGCAAACATTGGCAACGATGTTGCAATGGATTGCAGAGTGTCTGGCTCTCAGCCCATGACCATATCTTGGTTCAAAGATGACAAGGAAATTATGCCTGGATCAAAATTCCAGTATGAGTTTGTGGAGAACACAGCAACACTAAGGATAATGCACTTGGAAAAGTCTGACTCTGGAGTGTACAAATGTAAAGCCACAAATTCGGCTGGCTTCAAGGAAACCAGTGGCACACTCTATGTCAAAGGTTATAAATGCTTGACTCTTTTGTTTTTTTTACATAGAAACACACTGCTCTGATGTTAACATGAAATCCGTATCTTGTTGCAATCTTGTTTTTATGGCATACAGAACCTCCAATGTTCACTATAAAACCAGAAAACCAAGATGTCATACCTGGAAGCACTATTTCACTCAAAGCAGCCTTCACTGGAACAGCTCCACTGACTGTAAAGTGGTTCAAAGAGGAAAAGGAGATTGTAACTGGCGGTTCTTATTTTATAAAGAAAGATGCCTCCTCCACTTCTCTGGAGATTTCATCTGTTAAACCAGATGACTCAGCCAAGTACACATGCCAAGTCTCCAATGAAGCTGGGAAAGTGGACTGCACAGCAGTGCTTTTTGTGAAAGGTGTCTGTCTTGCAGATCTGAACATAATGTCATGTCATTCATGCAACATGATATTCTAACTTGATGTCTTGTCTTCCATCTTAAATCTTAACCTCTTTCTCAGAACCTCCAATATTTGTGAGGAAACTGGAGACGACCAAACTTATTACCAGTGGAAACTCCACAAAGCTGGAATGCAAAGTGACAGGCAGCCCTGTTATTAGTTTTAAATGGTTCAAGGATGAGATGGAGATCAGCTCTGGACCTAAATACAAAATCACGATGGGTGATTTAGTGACTTCTTTAGAAATTGTTGACTGCAAAGTGGAGGAGAGTGGGGAATTTGTGTGTGTGGCTACTAATGAGGCTGGTAGTGACCGCACTAGCAGCACAGTCACAGTGAAAGGTCAGTTTATGGTGAACTGCTTAAAGATTAGTTGCATTACTGTCACAATAATTGTATGACTATGCTTCTTGTAGAACCACCAGTCTTCATTCGTAGTTTGGATGCCAAAGATGTGGTAAAGGGCTCTGAGGTGATGCTGGAAGGAGAAGTCTCTGGTTCAGCCCCTTTCACTGTGTGCTTTTTTAAGAACACAAAGCCAATTAGAAATGACAAGAGACATAGGATTACAGTCAAAGATGGCCTGGTAGCTCTGCAGGTGCTCGCTGTAGAAACAGGAGACGTTGGCTCCTATCAATGTACTGTAGAAAATGAAGTTGGCAAAGCTTCATGTGATTGCCAAGTTACACTAAAAGGTGGGTCTGGTTTATTAATGGGAGGCTTAGCAGTATGAAGATAGTAATTGCTGAATAACTTTGAACATTCTGCTCACTTAATTTGTGTCCTTGCAGAACCACCAACATTTGTTCGCAAACTGGAGAATCTCAGCTCCTTAGTTGGTAGTGAGGTGTCTATGCAGTGCTCTGTGAAGGGTTCTGAGCCCATTTCTTTGACATGGCTAAAAGATAACCATGAATTAAAAGAGTCTGAAAATATTCTTCTTACTTTTGAAAATGGGCTTGGGCTACTGCGTATCACCAATCTTCAGAGACAACATGAGGGCAAATACTCTTGTCAGGCACAGAATCAGGCAGGAAGCCAGACATGCTCTGCTGTGCTAACTGTCAAAGGTTGGTTATTTCGTGCATTCTCTATTTCTGCTGTCCTAACTATGGTTTTGGATGGAGACTGACTTACTGCTGTATCTTAATCATAGAGCCTGCAAAAATAACAGAGGAAGCTAAGTCCATCAGTGTGACTCAGGGAGACCCAGCCACACTTGAAGTCAGATTCTCAGGAACAAAGCCACTGAAGGCACGTTGGCTGAAGTCAGGCAAAGAGCTGACCTCGGGAGTTAGATATAAAGTCGTTAACACTGACACCAGCTCGGTTCTGAAGATCATGAAAACAGAAAAAGGTGACAGTGGAGACTATAGTTTTGAGGTTTCAAATGATGCAGGTCGGAGCTCTTGTGAGGCCACTTTGACTATTCTAGGTCAGTGCTTTATTATAATGATACTTAAAGTATATTCCGTCTGCTTTACTTTTGTACTTACCTTTTCATGTTCTTTATGTTAGACCAAATTATCCCACCATCATTTACGAGAAAACTGAAGCAGATTGAAGGTATCAAAGGCTCCTTTGCTCATTTGGAGTGCCTTGTCTCTGGGTCCCTGCCCATTACCATACAGTGGTATAAAGATGATAGTGAGATCAAACCAGGAGAAAGACATAAAATCACATTCTTTGAGAATGTGGCCTTTCTGGAAATCTCTAACCTTGACTCTAAAGACTGTGGGAACTACACCTGCATTGCTAAGAACAAAGCTGGGACTGTCCAGTGCTCCGCTAGTTTGTTTGTGAAAGGTCTGTACATAGTTTTGATCCAAAGATTTAAGTAAGAATGAAGGTTTTTAAATTATTTATTATTTTCTCACAGAACCACCAACCATTCTTGAAAAACCTGAATCTCTAGACGTTTTGCCTGGCTCAAAAGTTAAGTTTAATATTCTGGTCTCGGGCACACCACCACTAACTATCAAGTGGTTTAAGAATAACAAAGAGATTGTGTCCAGTCCAGACTGTAATGTGGTGAAGGACAATACATCCAGCTCTCTGGAACTGTTCTTTGCCAAAACATCAGACTCTGGAGATTATGTCTGTGAAGTACAAAATGACGTTGGATCGACATCCTGCCAGACAACTCTGTTTGTGAAAGGTTTCAACTTATAACTTATGTTTCATTATTATCCCTATTTGTTTAGATGTATTAAGTGCTTATTATTATTGTATGTTGTTTCGCAGAGCCTCCCAAATTCACTCATACGCCAGCTCGCTTGTCTGTGGTCCGTCCTGGTCAAAGTAAAGTGTTTGAGTGTCAGGTGACTGGCACACCTGAAATTGACATCTACTGGTTCAAAGAGGGCTCTGAAATCAGCCAAAGCAATCGGTACAAGATGACCTTTGTTAACTCTGTAGCCACATTGGAGGTCTGTAGCACTGACATTAAAGACAGTGGCTTGTATTACTGTGAGGCGCGTAATGAGGCAGGGAGTGAGAGCTGCAGTATGGAGCTTAAGGTTAAAGGTTAGTCATGCCATTGAAGTGATTTAACTCTTAAATTTGTCTTTAATCATTAATACAGATATAGTTATATAATTGTCTTGATCTGTCTTGTCTTGTCTCAGAACCACCCAATTTTATTAAGGAGTTGGCTGCAGCTGATGTTGTGAAAGGGTCAACTGCTAGTTTTCAATGCCAGGTTGCTGGAACTCCACCTTTTCAGGTCACTTGGCACAAGGACACAAAGGAGATGAAACAAAGTTCAAAACATGGTTTCTCTCTTACAAATGATGTAATGGGTCTAGAAGTCCACAAGTGTGACTCTGTAGATATTGGGGAATACCAGTGTACTGTTGCTAATGAAGTGGGCAGTTGCACTTGTAAAACTACACTTAAACTCAAAGGTTAGTGTTAGATCACAAGCATATACATTATATAATATACTGTATGTATTATTTTTAGTTTATTAATGTCATGTGATGGTTTTCCAGAACCACCCACATTTACCAAAAAGATTGAGAACACAACCACTGTCCTGGGTAAAATGGCCCAGTTTCAGTGTGTTGTTACTGGTTCTCCTACACTTTCGGTTCAATGGCAAAAAGATGAAAACTGGATCTTGGATGACTCCAAAATGGAGAGGACTTTTCAGAACAATGTAGCCACTCTCAGAATACCTGTATGTGAAGCCAGCCATAGTGGGAGGTACACCTGCCAAGTGGTGAATGATGCTGGTCAGGACAAATGTGTTGCAAACCTAACTGTGCAAGGTATAGCTGAGAAATTAGTTTGTTGTTTATTATGTTGCCTTGAGTTTGTTGTTGAATTGTGAATATGATTTGCATTGTAGAGCCACCTAGAATCACAGAGAAACCAGAGGTAATAAAGGTGACAGTGGGAGATCCAGTGAGTATGGACTGTAAGGTAGAAGGCTCCCCTGAGCTTAAAGTCAAATGGATGAAAGATGGAAAGGAGCTTCAGTCCATCAGACAACATAAGCTCAGTTTTGAAAACAACTGTAGCAGCCTCAAAGTTCTATCTGCTCAGAAAGAGGACCAAGGAGACTATATCTTTGAAGTAGCTAACCACATCAGCAGCTGCACCTGTAAAGTCCAAGTGATTGTTCTAGGTTTGTGTAAAGAAATATGCTTTTTTTATTATTGTAGGTATTTCTTCATTTTGAAACTGATTTCAGTGATCTTTTTTAATTGTTTACAATAGATCAAGTAATCGCTCCAAGTTTCATTAAACCACTTGTAGACATGCAAGAGGTTCTTGGCTCCTTTGTACAGATATATTGCAAGATATCTGGGTCCCTGCCCATTTCAGTGGAATGGCAAAAAGATGGAAGCAAAATCACGAGTGGTGTCAAACATAAACTTATTCAGCAGGACAATTCTGTGTCAGTTGAAATTGAGCAGCTAGAGAAAAATGACGCTGGATCCTACACCTGCAAATTGACCAACGCTGCAGGAAGTTGTCAATGCAGTGGCTCCCTCATGGTTAAAGGTTAGAAGCGATCTTTGAATGCAAAGTCTTTATTAATATAAATATAATCTCTTATAGATGAAGGTGAGTATGTCTTTAACTTCCTCCATCTTGTCTTCAGAGCCTCCAAGTTTTGTAACTCCACTTGAATCACAAACAGCTCTGCCTAATGCCAAAGTTCGCTTCAAGGGCATTTTTAAAGGCACACCACCTTTCACAGTGAAATGGTTCAAGGATGACAAAGAGCTGATGACTGGTCCCACGTGTTTTACTGGCCTCGAGGGCCTCTCTTGTTTCTTAGAGCTCTATTCAGTGGGGGTCTCCCAGAGTGGAGTTTACTCTTGCCAAGTCAGCAATGATGCTGGCTCTGCACGCTGCAGTGCAGACCTGACCGTCAAAGGTTGGATACGCATTTGCAAACAAATCATTGTGGCTTTTTATTTTCCATTTGCTTCATTTATCAACAGTCATTTCATGGTATTATAGTGGCTTTTTGTTGTCTGCTCTATAGCCATTGTAGTACTCCATCAACCATCAGTTTCATCGCCATTCTGTTTTTGCTGTTAACACATTATTGCCATCCCTTTATCGCCACCTCTTCGTTCCTAACAATATGTGTTGTCTTGTCCTTTCTTGCTTTTGGCTTCTAATCTATCTGTACTTTGGCTTTCCAGAACCACCCGAGTTTGTGCTGAAACTCCCTGCCAATAAATGCGTGAAGCAGGGTGAGTCGCTCCGTCTGGAGTGCAAAGTCAGTGGCACAGTCCCCCTCACAGTGACCTGGTTCAAGCATGACACCAGGCTCATGGACGGGGGAAACTACCGGACATCGTTTGCCAACTCTGTGGCAGTGCTCGAGATAGTGAAGTCGAGCTTTGATGATGAAGGAGTTTACACGTGTGAAGCACAGAATGATGCTGGCAGTGTGAGCTGCAGCACCACTCTAACCGTTAAAGGTCAGCCTCACTGTGACTGTTTACACCCTGACCCTCTGATGCACTGGCTAGAACTGAATTGTCACAGCTACAGAACAAGCTGACATCTGTAACAACACAACTAATGGCTCTTAACCCTCTAACTTCACCTTTTGACCATTCCCTAATACTTAAGAAGCTTAAATGGGACAGCAGCACTATGTGTACCCTCAAATGCGTGTTCATTCAACCACAAATGCGTTTTTTTTCTCAAACCATTTTTTTTTACATTTTAACTCTAATCATTTGCACTTCATTATCCTAAATATAATGTATTCTCAGCACAAATTCCCATTTGAACCCTAAATAATGCTTCTAAACTCACTTATCTTATATCATATGTTGATTTTGATTTGTGATGATTTTGATGATAATGATTTTCTCTTTCTCAACTTATTTTTTGTTAAGCTCTATGGGAACCCATGTCAACCAACATACAAGGCCAATTATGACCTACTTTTTTAAAAACTGTCCCTATAGGAACACAAAAATAAAATTAAATTTAAAAAAACAGACACAAAATGTGCCAGCATATTTTACTGTTTAAATCAGTTTATCCAACTGTGCAAAGTGATGATACCTTTTATAGTCAGTAGTTAATAACGTTTTAATATATTCATTATAATGATTCATTTTCATTCAAATTCCCCCATATATTTCACGTTATTGTAGATTTTCCACTATAATAAAAATATTGACGATAGCAAAAATAGGACAAAATCCTTATTAAATGACTATACAGCCAACATTACAGCCAAAATTAAAATCAACTTTCTGATTTGACTTGTTATGGGTGTCAGCATGAAGATGTAGCTCTTAGGTTTTGCCCTACTACAATGTGCCGTAACATTGTTGCTCTTTCTGTAGAGCCCCCACACTTTGTGAAAGTGCCCCAACCCATTGAGGGTCTGAAGGGTAAAGATGTGAGTCTGTACTGCGAGCTCAGTGGTACAGCTCCGTTCCAGATTACCTGGTTCAAAGACAAGAAGCCTTTGATGGAGAGCAGGAAATACAAGATGCTGAGCGAGGGCAGCTCTGCAACTTTGCATGTGATCGGAATTGAGTCGTCAGACGCTGGCGAATACGAGTGCAAAGCATCAAATAGTGTAGGAAGTGACACCTGCCAGACATCAGTTAAGCTGAGAGGTCAGTACAAATTGGTATACATCAGCTCAAAAGGTTAAATTACTTGCCACCTTGCTGATTTTGCCTTCTGCTCTCTTCAGAGCCTCCATCTTTTGTGAAGAAACTGTCAAACATGACAGTGATACTGGGAAAGGAGGTGAGCCTAGCGGCCACTGTTAAAGGCTCTGAGCCCATTACTGTGTCCTGGCTTAAGGACAAGGATGTTCTCAGAGACAGTGACAACCAGAAACTCACCTTTGAGAACAACCAAGTCGCTCTTACAGTCTTTAAGGCCGATGCATCCATGGCCGGCAAATACACCTGTCAACTCAGAAATGATGCTGGGAGTGTGGAGTGTTTCGCTAACTTGACTGTCCTAGGTTTGTAACCAAATAATTCTCTCTCTCTCTCTTGCAGTTCTTCTTCCCTTCTTTTGCAGGTCTAATTCAAACATGCTCTGCTCCTTGTGTTGTTCACAGAACCAGCTAAGATAGTGGATAAGCCTGATGCACTGAGTGTGACGGCTGGCGATATAGCCGCCCTAGAGGTCAAAGTGTGTGGAACCCCTGAACTCAAACCTAAATGGTTTAAGGATGGTGTTGAGTTGGCCTCTGGCAGAAAATACAAAATCTCATTTTCGCGGATGATTTCCTGCCTGAATGTGCTCTCTGCAGAGAAAGTGGATTCTGGAGAATATACTTTTGAGGTTATGAATGAGGTTGGGAAGGACCTCAGTAAAATTAATCTCACAGTTTTAGGTTTGGTCCCTTCTATTTTCCCAGTTTCTTGAGTAGGGCTGGGTATTATTTGAAATTTTGACTTTTCAAGACAAAATTTCAAAAAAACAAAAACAAACAAACAAAAAAAAAACATTTACTAACATCTTAAAAGGATGTTTGTTGAGTGACTAATTGGGTGATGATACCCAGCTCTATGGCCAGTAGAGTAGTACCTCACATCTGCCCCAGTGATATGCTAATGTGCGGTCTCCCTCCCACACAGATAAGCTCATTCCTCCCACCTTTACGAGGAAGTTGAAGGATTGTAACATGGTGCTGGGAAAAGCCGGAGAAATGGAATGTAAAGTATCGGGCTCTTCGCCGTTCACTATTACCTGGTATCACGATGGGGAGGAGATTCAGAGTGGGCCAAACTATGAGATTTCATTTACTGACAACAACTGCACCCTGAAAGTGCCCACTCTTAAGCTGTCCGACTCTGGGACCTATAAATGCAAAGCTGTCAACAAGGCTGGCTCCTGTGAGACTTCTGCCACACTGGCGGTGAAAGGTATGTCCGGCGAACAGAGGACCTATAGCACTGTCAGTCACCATTGTGCACATGAAATACGGATGTTCATTTTAACCTTTACACGCACATTTGTTTGAAGTTTATTCTGTCACTTAAACATTTACAGTCAATCTACTTCACTACAGACATACTAAAAGCTTTATATTTCAGATCTTGCAGTTTGTTTTGTACACTTTGTCACAGATTCAGATGCTGAAAATCTTTGACATTTGATCGAAAGGCACAAACATGTAAAATAATTACGAGTTTTTAAAAATATCCATGTAACCAGGGCCTAAGCTATAAAGTCGGAGTGTTCCCTCTTGAAGGACTATTTTTAATATCTTACGCAATTTACACATTTACGGCACTTGCTCGGCCATTTCACCCTGACATTCCAAACATCTACAGCTGAAACTTTTATCGCTCACCTGTCTTTTTTCCTCCATTGCTCAAAAGTGTAAATGTACAGTTTTATTGGAGGATTTGTCTCTGAAATCTAATGTAACTCATTTAAGTTGGAGATAGTGTTTCTGAGCTCAGATTCGTGCTCATAACCACCTCCCGATATAGAAGTGAAATCTTACTTGCCCCTCCCTTATTCTTGAGGCCTTGAAATCTGATACGTGTGCATGTTTAATCTTTTTATATTTAGAGCCTCCTTCCTTCGTGGTGCCGCCCCAGCCAGTGGAAGCCATGCCCGGCTCCACTGTCACTTTCTCAGCCATGGTGAAGGGCAGCTCTCCCCTCAAACTGAAATGGTTTAGAGGAACAAAGGAGATTGTTTCCGGGCACACATGCAACTCTTACCTGAAGGACAGCCAGGCCCTTTTGGAACTCTACAATGTGGACAAATCGCACGCTGGAGAATACACCTGCCAGATCAGCAATGAGGCAGGGTCCGAGAGCTGCCCAGTCAACCTCGTGGTCAAAGGTCAGTCATGCAATACTCGGACTTAAATGGAATTAAAAGTGACTTAAGATATTAAAAGCAATGCTGTGGAATATTTTAATTGCATTTTTCTGCTAATGGGATTAATTGAAGATATTTATTAGCTACTTGATACGGAAGAACACTATGTACAGTTGTTGTGCACAGTTGTTTTTGTAAGCACTTTTATCATGTCAGTTGTTCAAATGTTTTCACAGACTTATATTTTTACTTTTACTTTAACTAAATACATGCAACTTTATTTTTCAACTGCTATTTAAGAAACTTTTTGACCCAATTGTTTATGGGAAACTTTTTAGTTTAGTTTTCAATTTTATTTATAATGATCAAAAGTAAAGTTGGTTTATTGAGATTTCCTTTTTATTCTGAAAGGTTATTGATGAAATAATTTCATTTTAAAGTTTAAAGCACTGCTGTTCATGGTTGTGTACATAAAACTGGATATTGCTGCTGAGTAAGCGAATATATTTCAAGGGCTGAGCGAATGACGGAAGGGACATTCCAGTCACTCAACAGGGGTTAAAAAAAAAAGTTCCACTTCAAACTGACATGTTTGTGTGGAAACCTTAACTTTTCACAAACACAAATCGAAAAACAATATTTGTAAATTGTACACAAAAACACTGTTCTGATAAAGAAAGTATGTGTTTAATTTATTAATAGATGGAATTAAGCTGTTCTCTTATTGGGTTTGTGGATTAAAGCTACAGTATGTCACTTTTAAGTCAAAAATATGTAAAAATACAAGTATGTTGTTTTTTTTGTCAATAATATTGTGTTTATTGAACTGAAAAACTTAGTAAAACACGCATATTTACTCTGAACAGGCTTGCATCTCCACAAACCTGGCTCTTATTTGGTTCGTTGGAGGGCCTCCTCTTGTTTGTTTTTATGGAATAGTTGATCCTTTGTCTATAAAATTCTACAATTTGGCATAAAACTGATCGAATTTCCATGGAGAATGTGTCAAAGTTTGGTTTTAACTTTCCACCTCCACAAAGTTACATACTGTACCTTTAATAATTCTAAACTTATTATTTTGTAATATTCTGACAGTTCATTTGATAAAACTCTTTATGAGCTTTATGTATATTATAGTTAGTTATTCTTATTTTCTTGTCACTTTTAATTTTAATGTTAATTCAATGATTTCATTAATTAGTTAAAGTGAATTGTTAGTGGCATATACTGTGGAATATTTTTCACTACTGGCTTTGGTAGGGATGTTGTTTCCACCATCTGTTAACATCCTCAAGGTTTTTAAATATATTATAAATAGCTAAAACTAGACCACAGCTATTCACATATAAAACACATATCTGTAGTCTTGTATTACTAGTGAAGTAACAACATCCTTCTCACGTCCATTAGAACCTGCAGCCTTCGTGAAGAGGCTGAAGGATGTGTCTGTGGAGAAGGGCAAGCCTCTGTCCCTGGAGTGCACCTACAGCGGGTCCCCAAAGATCACGGTGAGCTGGTACAAGGATGGCCAGCAGATCTTTGCCTCCTACAAGTACAACATCACCACCACAGAGAGCTCCTGCATCCTGGAGTGTCTCAGCACGGATGACAAAGAGGCCGCGGGAAAATACACCTGCGAAGTGTCTAACGACGCAGGGAAGGACACGTGTAACGCCAGTGTGTCCATCCTCGGTGAGTTTAGTTTACAGTTATGTTGTACTTTTTGTGTGGATAAGTAATTGAGATTGTGCTGTCCAGCGCTTGTGTTACAATACTTGAGTAGACCAGCAGATGTCACTGTTCACACATATAATTGAAAAAAACGCTGTACTTCAAATCCATACATTTCATTAAATTGCATTTTATAATTTCAGGTTGTGCTATTTTATCCAATGTTAATAGTTTTAGCACAGTTTTTGCACAGTGGACACTATAATTATCCTATAGTTATCCTTTATAGTTCTTAATATTATTTAATATAGTATATACTTTGTATCCCAGCAAGTAAAATAAAATAAATAAATACATTTAATATTCTTCTGTAAGCAAGATAAAAAGCAAAACAAAATAACGTTATATGCAGTACCTCTTGGCACCAGCAGAGGTCAATAAAAACACTCTCATTGGCTGCAACAAATATTGTAGTTCAGGGACGTCAAACTCAAATTCACAGAGGCCAAAATTAAAAACTGAGATGTCGTGGGCCATACTAAATATTTAATGGAAAATTTCAACAACATTTGCATGTTTTTTCTTCTTTCGAGATATATAATGTTAAACCTTTTCTTATTAATATAAAAGTGTAGTTATTTTTTGCTTAAACAGTGAATCCAGAGCAAGCATAATATAAAATAATAACACAATTTTAAATAAAGTCTCTATAGTCTATCTGTAGCCGGCGGGCAGCTCTAATACATATTTGATATGATCCCAGGGGCCAAATATAATTATATCGTGGGCCAAATTTGACCCCCGGGTCTGAGTTTGACATGTCTGTTCTAGTTCATTTTTAAAAAAAATCACATAACTATAGCCTTATAGAGAGTGTATTTATTTAAAGGTGCAGTATATTTGTTTATTAATTTAATTAGCATTATTATTTTTGATTTCCTTTACTTGAGCAGCACACTTAATTTCATTGCGAGTTTTTTTTTTTTTTTTTTTCTGTAATTGCTATAAAAATATTTCTTTGATTCTGTTCTATTCATAAATATAAGTACATGCAAAATTCATGCTTGCTGTTGTCTCTGCAGAGCCTCCGTACTTTGTGGAGAGCCTGGAGCCCATGGAGGTGACCAGTGGCGACGCAGTGTGCCTGAAGTGCCAGGTGGCAGGGACACCAGAGATCTCCGTGTCCTGGTTCAAAGCTGACGGTAAAGTGCGCTCCAGCCCCACCTGCAAACTGGAGTTCTCCAAAGGTGTGGCCTGCCTCAAGCTCAGCAAGGCTACGAAGGCTGACATCGGAGAGTACACCTGCAAAGCTGAGAACAAGATCGGCACCGCTTCCACTAGCTGCAAGCTCAACGTACTAGGTGGGTCTTTGAGCATGGAGTGATTTTCAAGGCTTTTCTTGAAACTGCCAATCTTAAAAACTCTAAAATTGCTACTTTGATTTGAGTAAATGTTGACTGGATATTTTTATTCATTTATTGTATGTATATGTTTTTATGAAATTACATACACAAAAAAGCAAAACAAAAATGTAGCTGCCTTAAAAATCATCTAGGCAAGGTCTGGCATATTTTTCTTGGCATATTTGTCAGTAACAGTTCAGGTAGTTTTATTTATTTATTTATTTATTTGTCAGTGGAACTTGTTTGTCTTGTTTTCCCTTTTTCAAGATTTTTTTTTAAAAATATTTTATTATTATATTATTTATATATTTTATTATTCAAGATTTTTTATTAATTTAAAATAAAAATATTTACATTTACTTTTTAATTTTAAGACTACCAGTTCAAGTTAAAAATTATTTAATTAGTAAATGAGTATATATTTGTATATATTGACTTATCTGTTACTGGAACTTGTTTGTCTTTTTTCCCTTTTCGAGATTTTTTATTATTTTTTTATTAATATATTATTTATATATTTTATTATTCAAGATTTTTTTTATTAATTTAAATGAAAATACTTACATTTACTTTTTTTATTTTAAGACTACTAGTTTAAGTTAAAGTTTATTTCATTAGTAAACAAGTATATATTATGTATATATTGACTTATCTGTTAGTGGAACTTGTCTTGTTTTCCCTTTTTCAAGATGTATTTTTAAAATGAAAATACTTACATTTACTGTTTTATTTTAACACTAGTTTAACTTAAAGTTTATTTCTTTAGTAAACCTTCCTCAGGTCTTGTCAATATTTACTCAAAAATATTCAAATCAAGCAGTTTTAAGTTATTTCAGATTGACATTATTTGCAGTGTATTTTTCTTACTATTTCTTCTGTAAATCCATGCGCAAATCCTTCTGCAGAGGCAAAAACTCCCCCATCATTCCCCAAAAAGATCACCAGCCTGCAGGAGACAGTGGGTCAGCCTGTCAGGTTTGAGTGCCGTGTGGCCGGCTCCTCTCCCATTGAGGTGTCCTGGATGAAGGACGGGGCTCCTCTAAGGCAGGAAGCAGGCCTGTCTATGTCATATGACGATAACACGGCTGCTCTTCAGATCGACCGTGGGGAGATGAGACACTGTGGAGAGTACACGTGTGTGGCCACCAACAGTGTGGGCACAGCCTCCTGCAGAGCCAAACTCACTCTGCAAGGTCGGTGCAAATATCTGAGCAGAATAGGGAATCTTCTTTATATACAGTTGTCTGGAGCTTTTACAGAATTTCCATTGTATAAGGATTCAACACGGTGTTTCCCAAATTTTTTCTGGTGACCTGTATTTTAAAAGTCACAAACCTTCGCGACCCAAGTCAATCGACATTATTTGTAAATCACAAAATAAAGGTAGATTTAACCATTATTATTATTGATGGTGCATCTCTGAACAATTAGTTTCACTCAAGTTTTAAACAATGAAAAACAGTAACTGAACCAGTAATAAAAGGTTCCATAAGTCCCTATTTGGACATTAAATGTAGCTAATTGCTTTTTCTTTTCAACATTCAATTGACCAGCAATACTGGAACAAAATAGTCAATAAAATAATCACAAAAATATTAGAAATGATTAAGGATTTAACAATAACCGAAATATCCTGATATCGTATCATCAAAGTTCTCACAATAATATCATGGACCATCACAATATATAGTCTTTTTGTTTAAATTAAGAGTTATGGTGCAGCAATAGACAGGGAACTACATAGACCATGATCCTTTGCTCCATTTCAGTGTAGACTACATGAAGAAATAACAGTTCTATGCACTTTTAAGAGATTTAGATTAAGGCATTTTAAGAGGAAAAGGAAGCATATTAACAGTTTTGTTAGCCCCCACAAAATATCGCAATAAATATTGTACCATGAGGTTCATACTGTGACGACATCGTATCATGAGACTCGTTACACACAAAAAATTATACAAAACATGTCTTAACATTTCAGCATGTGTCAGAACTGTATATTGCAGACGTACATGCAGACTGTGACAAGCCGACCTAAAAAAAAAAATCTCAGTCTTTGGAAAACGATGACAAATGATAACATTGCTTTCAGATTGCATTTGATCAGTGATATCGGGAGATGGTGTTTGATGTTAATTAAATAAATAATTGTAAAGAAATGACACCAGATCCAGGTGAAAAGACTCTTGATTAAAAGTTTACAGATCAGAACGCGCCGCTTGACATGCTAAGTTTCACTTAAGATGACACACATATATACTTTTATGCTAATGAGAGTACAAATGGCCGTGCTTATATGAATGTAGGAGTTCTAAGTACAGCAGACATCATTTAAGATCATGACAGTGGAGCGAGTAATGGGGTTCCTCGTCAGACACCGGCGTCACTGGAGAGTGGAGAGCTCAGTTACGTCTGCTGAATTTAAACACAAATATAGGTCCACCCAGAGCGCTGACTGTGACTTTTAGCACACATATATAGAGAGCAAAAACTACAAGCACTATTCGTACACAGTAAGTAATTCAAAGTGCTTTACAGAATCATCAGAATCACAATATACAAAACATGCAATTTTAAATGTAATGTATTTTTCTGACTATAAGTCTCATCACCCAAAAAATGTGTAATGAAGAAGAAAAAAACATATATAAGTCACACCGGTCTATAAATCGCACTTTTGGAGGAAATTTATGTTATAAAACCAGAAACTGACATTTCATCTTGAAAGGCAAGTTATAGTATTAATAACAATAGAATAAAGAACAACAGGTTGAATGGGCGTCAATATGTTAACATAACATATGAACAGTTCTTCAGATAAACTATAACATAAACAACAGAACAGAACAAGTTTACCAAACTCTCCATCTCACTCCAAATCACTAAATTCATTTAATTCTTCATCCTCTGTGTCACTTCTGAGCAACTCTGCGCAACTTCGGTTGTCACGGGAGTCATCCAGTGACTTCCAGGAGAGTTGCACGGCACACCCGCCCGGTTGCCGTAAGGCTGTGTTCTCCGTTCACGCTTTCTGCCAGTCCCTTACAAGTTTCTCGCTCACTCCAAACTTTCTTTCTGCTGCTCGATTACCTGTTTTCTGCTGCATATTTCACTACTTGCAGCAGGACAGTGGCTTTTTCTGAGACATGCGCAGAAAACTGATACACAAGCCTAGAGCGCCCTCTCGCAGCCGTCAGTCTGAAAATTTTAATATATAAGTCTCACCGGAGTATAAGTCGCAGGAAACACCCAAACCATGAAAAAAAAAGAGTGACTTATAGTCCGAAAAATATGGTAGTTGGGCAAAATATCTTGGCCTTTATGTAGTATGTACAGTAATATTTCAGTACTCTAGTGATGCATTTTACAACATTTAGGCCAGAGTTAGAGTCAGTCAGTCTGTTAAAATAATAATAATAATTAAAAGAAATCTTGGGATTAAAATGGCCGTCCCACATTGCATTCTCACATATCACCACTAGATGCTGTCTATGTTACTTCTGTCTGTGTGTCAGTTTTGGCCTGAGAGAAGTGAACCTGAACAAAGGCCAGTGGAGGGGAGAGAGGGAAACAAAGAGAGAGGTTTCACATTTGCATCTGCTGGTAAAAAAAATCCAAGAAAGTTGCAGGTGGTAGCTTCAAAATGCACCAGAATACGGGAAAATATGACTATTGAAATACAATGGAAATTCTATGAAACTCCAGCTGTGTATCATCTTGACTTAGTACTTATTTTCTTTTTTTGTGTGTGTTTCTTATTATATCTGCATGTTCTGTCCCTTTGCCTTTTGTCTCCACCTCTTTTGTAACCTCCGCAGAACCACGCTACCCCCCAGTGTTTGACAGGAAGTTGTCGCCCAAAGAGGTGACCGTGGGTGACAGTATTGAGCTGGAGTGTCACTTGACCGGCTCCACCCCCATTAAAGTCACATGGTCCAAGGATCATAAAGATATCCGCACTGGGGGCAACTATAAGATCAGTTTTGCAGATAACATAGCCACTCTGACCATAGCCAAGGGTGACAAAGGCGACACTGGCCGCTACTTCTGTCATGCCTCTAATGACATGGGGAAGGACTCTTGTTCGGCTGAAATCACAGTCAAAGGTATTTTTGTACTGTTATGGGCTGAACAATTCGTAAAAAATCAAAAAAATAAACATTTAAATTGCAGTTTAAACACAATTCTGGACTCAAAATTAGAATTTTCTTTGCAATTTGAATTTTATTATCGTTACTGTACACTTCACACTTCACATTGATTAGTTAAATCCACCTGTCAGTCAAAGCATAACGTAGGCAGACCATTAGGACTTGGTGTTCTAAAAACTACAAGTAGGGTTGGGTAGTATCCAAATTTTGATACCATTAAAACTTGTCAGCATTTTACCGGGGTATACGGTATTACCTTGACTAATTAAGAATTGTTCTGTAGCTTGCGCCTATACCATTCAGAAACCGAATAGCAAGCATTATATTTGACTAAAAATGTGTCAACAAAACATGTAGTACACCATTAACAACTTTTATTCACATTTTAGCCTAACAATTAGCCTAAATTAAAACACAGCTCAACAGTTTTTACAGATTTATAATAATAAAAACACTAATAATAAAAGAACAATAAATAACAAATGTAGTAACAAAAATATATGCCATGGCGTAGGCTCGAGGCTGCAGACTATCCTGAGACCACAACGGGTTCGGTCAGGTGATTTATTTACCCGTCATACATATTTTGCATACAGCCTCGTCAACATTTGCCGGCTCTACCCTCTCATTCAGCCTGAAGCCAAAAACGCTGTCAAATTGCAGAAGTACTAGTATTTTTTTGGGACCATCTCACTTGCCATCATGTCTTGGTCTCCCTTATGAGCTTTATGTGACAACGGTACAAAACTAATCGAACGTCATCTCCCCACACAGTTAAAGAGACATTATAGACACTATTAGTTTTAAATCGTGATAGTGCATTAAACTGAAAATACAACCACACATTCATTTGTGCTGAGCAAACAAATTTAGGTGTATATATAATTTAGGTATATTTAGGTATTTAGGTATATTATAATATTAAATTAGGTCCTTATGCTCTGCAGATTGTTTTAATGACGGTAATGAAACTGATACTGTTGCTACTTTTTGATACCTCGGGATACTTTAATACCGTATTACTGCCCAACCCTAGCAATTACAATTGAAATCACAATTTAAACTAAATTATTGGCACAACATTTACATTTTCTTTTCAGTTTAAAATTTGTCACTGTTATTGTCCACTTCACACTTTACTTAGGAGGGAAGAGTGTCAGTCAAAGCGTAATATAGGCTGACCATTTGGAGTTGGTGTTATAAAACCTCCAAGTCTTGTAGTTTACACCTCAATAGGCATTTTTTTTTTTTTGAAGACATCTGATATTTTTGAATTTCAGCAGTTACAAATACTAAATCTACAACCAAAATTTAGGTTCAGCCCTTGTCTGTTTGTCTTGTCCCAGCCCCACTCTTGAATCCTCTTTCGGGGTGCCTCTTTAAGTGTTCTGTTTTCCTCTGTTTCTCCTTTCCTCTTAAACTCAGAACGCAAAAACCCTCCAATGTTCACCAAGAAGCCCTCAGAGAACATTGAAGACACTGAGGGTAAACTGGTGAAGATCGAGGGGCGTCTGACTGGCTCTCAGCCCATGTCCGTGAGCTGGTACAAGGGCAGCACAGAGATCTTCAGCTCGGACAAATATGACATCAGCTTTAAGAGTAACGTCGCTGTGCTGTGCATCAAGAGCAGCCAGCGCAGTGACAGTGGCATCTACTCCTGCCACGCAGCCAACGAGGCGGGCGAGACCTCCTGTGATGTCACTGTGGGCATTGCTGGTGGGTGTTGGAAACATCTCACTCAACATGGAAATATAGTAGTGGAATACAGCTCTCTAACACTAGGCCTAAAAGACAGTCAGGTGTAACTTTATGGAAGTTTGAAGTAAATTTATTTAGCATGTTGTTTTTTATAGAAATGTAAATATTCTTAAAAATGTGACATTGGTTCCTTTTTCATTTAAACTCAAAATAACAAAACAAATGAAAGAAAATTAATACACATATTTATAATAAATTTTTGTATTGCCCAAAATCACATCGACAGGCACCTCACGGGGCTTAACAAAATTTTACCTAACAGAATGTTAGAATATCAGACAGTGACAGGACATGCAGAGATTTCGGTCAAATTAAAAAATGAAATATAAATAAATAGTATTTACTGTATTTTTCGGACTGTAAGTCGCTCCAGAGTATAAGTCGCGCCAGCCAAAAAATGTGTAATGAAGAAGAAAAAAAACATATATAAGTTGCACTGGACTATAAGTTGCACATTTTGGGGGAAATTTATTTGATAAAATTACCGATCAGGAATTGACATTTCATCTTGAAAGGCAAGTTATAGTAGTAACAACAGAACAGAACAACAGGCAGAATAGGCGTCTGGTATATTAACGTCACATATGAACAGTTCTTCAGATTACTATAGCATAAAGAACAGAACAAGATTACCAAACTCTCCATCTCACTCCAAATCACTAAATCCAGGGGAAACGGAGCACCTCTTCCTCTTCTGCCTAGCTGTCGTCAGATTCAGCATCATTACTCAATTATTGTGACCTTTCTGAGTCCCGACAGGATGGTTTCAGTGTCACTGAAGTTCAGGATTTGTTGATCCATCCAGTGACTTCCAGGAAAGTTGCATGGTGCATCCTCTTGGTTACCGTGAAACTGTATTCTCCATCCCTGCTTTCTGCCAGGCCCTTACAAGTTTCCCGCTCACTCCAAACTTTCTTTCTGCTGCTCGATTACCGTTTTCAGCTGAATATGTCACAGTGTTGTTTCTGCAGGAGACATGTGTATTAAAGGGCGAAGTGACAGTGGTACAGGAGTAATAAGAGCAGCAGATACTGACACACCTAGAGCGCCCTCTCATGAAAACACCCAAACCATGAAAAAAGTGCAATTTATAGTCTGAAAAATACAGTACCTGAAATAGATACTCTGGAATACTAATTAGTACATGTGAAAATGTTTAAAAAGTAACACATTTTGATAAGGCTGCTTAGTATTGTATTATATAATGGCTTCAAAAATCAGTTGTGGGTCGTACTGACAATGAACCTGCCCATTCGCCCTGCAGAGGCCAGGAAGCCTCCAGCCTTTGACATCCCGCTCAAACCGGTGTCTGTGGAGGAGGGAGACAGGCTCTCGCTGCGCTGCCACGTGCGCGGATCTGCTCCCCTCAAAATCCAGTGGATGAAAGATCGTAAAGACCTGGTGTCCGCCGGTAGCACCAAGATCACGTTCTCTGAGGGCACAGCCTGTCTGGACATAAGCCCCGCCTCCAGGCACGATGCTGGAGACTATCTGTGCAAAGCCACCAACGAAGCGGGCAGCGACTTTACCAAAACCAAAGTCACAGTCAAAGGTAAAACGCTGTGAGTGGTTGCCGTGGCGACGAGTTGAATAGCAATCCTGCGCTGGTCTTGTAAAGGGAATTTTTATTATTTTCAATTCGGATTTTTGAGCTCTTAACTTGGTTTAATATCATTTTGTTTAATTTTTGCATGGTTGAATCATTTTGCTCTTTGGGCGACATGAGCTCAGTTGGTTGTTTGTCCACTGATCCGAAAGTTGTCGGTTCGAATCCCACTCTTGACATAAACGTCACTGGTTGAGGGGTCAGATCCACCGACCCACAGGTTGGCGGTGCGATTCCAGCTTGCACAGATGAATGTGTATGAATGTGTGTGTGAATGGGTGAGTGCTTCGAAGGTGGACAGCACTATATAAAAAAGAAACGTGTGTGAAATGTGAGGAATCATCATCTGTAACATCTTCTGGTGGATCCTTTGTGATTTCACTGTTTTTCTTTTATTATTTTACATACATTTTCTTTTATATTTACATACATAGATAATATTAATACAGAACATATCACAACAATAATCAGACCAATAAAACAGAAAAGTAAAAATAAAAAATATGAAGCCACCAATCTCTCTAAAATGATAATCCATGATCATTTAAGTCCATTGCATTAGTTTCCATATGTACTGTATTATTTTACTACCAGATGTAAGTGCCCAAAACCTGTATTAAAACCTGGAAAATGCATAATATAGGATCTTCAATTTTTAAATTCACAGCTATGTGCCGCTTCTCCTGATCTGAATGAATAAATTGAATATTTTGTCATTTGCTCATGTTTTTTTTTTTTTTGTTGCCTTGCAGAGAAAGCAGGAGCTGCCCCTGCTCCAGCCGAAGCCCCCGCTGCTCCTCAACCCAAGAAACTGGACAACCTGTACTTTGTGGAGGAACCAAAGCCAGTCACTGTCGTAGAGAGTAAGATGAACTCAGAATATGAATGTAGATTTGAGAAGTTGTGACTAGTTCATTTTGGTTTCCTTTGTACACTTGACTCATGATTTTTTTAATCAAATGGAACTTATTACATTAAAATCTCAACTCTAAACACACAAAATAGTAAAAAAAAAAAAAGTTTGAGCAATTGCGATCCAGTTAATTAGTATTTATTCAGCACTTATTAATGTCTAATTCCCCATAACTGTATTTTGCCATTTGTTAGACATTTACAAACACTTTCCTATTAATTACTTTTCCTATTAATTACACTCCTTATTACTGTTATAATAGTGTGATACTAGACCATTTTTGTCCATGAATTGTTTTGTACAACTACCTATTCATACATGAACTATTAATATGCATGTCACAATACATGAATTAAGTGTGAAGAAGAGACCACTTCAAAATAGCTCATTAGAATGTCTTAGTATCATAAAAATAAGCAGTAATAAGGAGTGTATTAATGGGAATGTGTTTGTAAATGTCTAACTAATAGCAGAATAAACTTATGGGGAATTAGACATTAATAAGGGCTTAATAAATACTAATTAATGACAAAATAACCATCTACAACTATGCTAATTACCAGGTAGTTAAGTGTACCCTAAAATAAAGTGTTACCAAAACGAGTCTAAAAATGATAAATTGTTGAAATGAACAGTATTTTTCTAATTATGATGAGATGTTTTTCGAGCTACATTTTGTGCTAAATTAAAAAGAAAATTCCCTTACTTTTTCTGATATTTTTTTCTCAACAAAGACAATTTACACAGTTAAACAAGTCAAATAAATAAGTTGTAAAAATGTGGCTTGAATAGCTTTTTATGGAGGTCAATACTCTTTTTCTGCAGTGTTAAATTATATATATAGGCTATCAGTACTAATCTATTGCGTTCCTTGTTTTTCCAGAGGGCACTGCCACCTTTATTGCCAAAGTGGGCGGAGACCCCATCCCCAGCGTTAAATGGATGAAGGGCAAGTGGAGGCAGGTGACCCACGGCGGCCGCATCTCCATCGAGCAGAAGGGGGAGGTGTCCAAGCTGGAGATCCGCGAGGTGACCAAGTCCGACTCAGGCCAGTACCGCTGCGTGGCCTCCAACAAGCACGGCGAGATCGAGGCCAGCGCCGACATGCACGTGGAGGGCAGGAAGGAGAGCGCTGAGCTGGAGGGCGACCTCAGAGCCAAACTCAAGAAGTGAGGAACAAGTTACTTCGTTTTGAAAAATAGAAATTAATGTTAAAAGAAACAAAAATACACTACCGGTCTAAAGTTTTAGAACACCCAAATTTTTCCAGTTATTTATTGCAATTCAAGTCGTGCAAGTCCAATGAAGAGCTTGAAATGGTACAAAGGTAAAAACTGAACAGACAGAGGTAAAAAAAAAGATAAAAGATACAAAACACAAGTTGAAGCTCTGCCAAAAAACCTCAGGAAAAAAACAAAACAAGATAGTAAAGCTTGAAAACATGGAGTGCCAGCACAATCTCCAGATTTAAACCCCATGGAGCTGGTTTGGGATGAACTGGACAGAAGAGTGAAAGTGAAGCAACCTACAAGTGCCACACATTTATGGCAACATCTGCAACAGACTTGGGAAGAGCTTTCTGAGCAATATTTGATTTGTATTGTAAAAAGAATGAGCCACGAGTGTGTTCAGCTGTTATATCTGCCAAAGGTGGACACTTTCATGAATCAAAAGTTTAGTTTTGGTCAACAGTAAACAGTAAGAAACTCGAAAAAGTGTGGTGTTCTAAAACTTTTGACCGGTAGTGTATGTTTAGTTTAAAGGGCAGTTTTCTAATCTATGTTATAATGTTGTTTCCTCATCATAAAATTGAAGCTGCAAATAAGCAACAACCATTTTCTTTGTCTGCTCTGGTATAAAACTTCATTCTGTATATCTAATATTTCAGCCAAGAAAACAATACTCAAAAACAATCCTGACTCCATCAATTTTTTTAGATGTTTTTTTTTTTTTTTTTTTTTTTTTTTGAGAGAGAGAATTTTATGGGCATAGTTCTGTATAAAAACATAAAATTAACAAATGATTTCTCTTCCTGTTAGTAATCTATAAGAACAGTTTCAAATTCCTATATGTTTATGTATTTTCCTATGCATCTGCTCTGCTTGGAGTTCACCTACATTTGTTTCAGTTCCATTAAATACGATTTCTGTTGTTCGCAGGACGCCATCCAAACAGAAGAGTCCACAGGAGGAGAAGGACATTGACATTGTTGAGCTCCTGAGAAACGTGGATCCCAAAGAGTATGAGAAATACGCCAGAATGTACGGCATCACAGACTACAGAGGGCTGCTCCAGGCCATTGAGCAGCTCAAGAAGGAGAAGGGAGACGAAAGTGGAAGACCGGTGAGAAAATCTGAATTAAATAATACATACCAATTAGTTTAAAAATAAATATTTAATGTGAAAAAATCAGTGTGCCTTGAATTTGAGTAAAACACTAATAATTATGATGTTTTTTACTTTAGGAATTGGAACGTGGAGATAGAGAGTCGGACGAGGACATGGCGAGACTGGTTGCCGATCTGCAAAAGAGGATGGAAAGAACTGAGGTGTGAAATCATTCGTTTTACTTTATGGTGCTTTAAAAGTGAACAAGATATCATTGCCTTGATGGTCTGTAAAATTAGACTATCAAGTATATTCAGTAATAACAATATGTCTGTAAAAAGCTGAAAAAATTTACAGTAACAACAATATAATCTCATTTACATACCGTATTTTTTGGATTATAAAACGCACCGGATTATAAGGCGTAATATCAGTAATGTTGAATACTCTTGGCTGTTTTCATACATAAGTCGCACCTGATTATAAGGCGCATTAAGCGAAACAAACGGACGACACTTGAGACTGATCCTTAGCCCAAGTGTCCACGATCCATTGGCAGATCGTGCCATAATTCACCCGCCGTTGCCTCCCTGTCTTGGTGAATGAGTATTATGAATGTGAATGTGGGTGGATAATTTGCATAAACTATAAACGCTAAAATAAACAGCTCTTTCTTTTTGCACTGATGCGGTTCAGCTTCTGTCGGACTAAAAGACACGACTCAGTGGAATATGTGTGTTCTTTCTGTAACAAGGCGACAGCGGCAGTGTGCACTGAACTATATTTACTTCTATTTACCCCACAAGGCTCCTGAATACAGCAGCCGTAATGCTCCCACAATCCATGAAGCGGTGCAGCTTCGTAGTTTACCAAAGTCTTACTAAAACATTTTGACAGATTTTTGAGCGCCGTGTACCACATAAAATTGGTTCGATGTCAGTAAGCACAACCAGAATTAATACATAAGGTGCACCGGATTATAAGGTCAATTTTTGAGAAAATTAAAGGATTTAAGTGCGCCTTATAGTCTGAAAAATACGGTATTTATTTTTAGCATATCTCAGTCAAATAAAATAATATCTGATTATTGTAACTGTAAAAAAAATCATGGCAATACTGTATATTTATTTTTGTCAATTAAATGTTTTCAAATAAAAGGTAATTTTGGATCTTGAATTTTGGTAGTTACATCTTGGGTCTCAGAAAAGTTTGAAAATCATTTATAATAACCAATACAAGACAAGCAAAATCACAATAATTCCCAGCCCTAGTGTTTCAATGTTTAAAAATGTATGTAAATTATAATATAAATTGAATATATGGATACTCATCAGTCATTTGTGTCTCATCTCCAGCCCGTGACAGTGATGAGGGACATCTCGGACCAGTTTGCATTCACTAACAAAGAGGCCGTGTTTGAATGCGAGATCAAGATCAACTACCCCGAGATCACCCTGTCCTGGTACAAGGGCACGCAGAAGCTGGACACCAATGACAAGTACGACATCAGCATCCAAGGCGACCGCCACCTGCTCAAGATCAAGAGGTGCCAGACGACAGACCAGGGCAACTACCGCGTGGTGTGTGGGCCACACATCTCCAGCGCCAAGCTCACCGTTTCCGGTCAGTATAGATATAAATGCAAGAAAAAGAAAAAAAGAGAAACCAATGTACCCTTTGTAAATTAAAAAACCAACAATCCAATCTAGTCCACTTTATTTTTTTAGCACATTTTTATAAACATGACAGTTTCCAAAGTGCTGCACAGACAAATGAATACAATAAAAGACGGTAAATCATAAATATTAACAATAAATAAAAAGAGTTAAAATGCATAAAGCTAAAAAATATTTTTAAAAATGAATAAAATAAAATAAATAAATAACTTACGGTCATATGATTTTTGATAAAGCCAAATAAATTTAATAAAACATATATACATGAAATTTCTCACAAGCAATATAATCAAAACACCAAAGATTTTGCATTGTGAAAAATGTTATCATAGGGTGCAGTAGTGAGCCAAGATGGACATCTTGACAAAAAATGTATTCAAATGAGTCTAAAAGATGAATCAACATTTCTAGCACACATTTCACTGCAATCAAAATAAAATAAAAACATAACCTAATATGAATTGTAATTGAAAAAGATAAGACATCCACAATGTCTATCAATCAGTATCACTTTATTTGTCCCAGAGGAGCACTTTAAGCACAGAGCAGTAAAATGCAATAATAATCAACAGGTAGGACCATCATATGCAGTGTTAGTTTGTTTGAGGAGAGTAACAATCCTTAAGACAAATGTGCCTCTCCTGTGTCCTGCAGCCCGGGCATAACAACCATCCATATGATAATTTTATCTTCCTATATGCTTTTTTCATTTTTCATGTTTATTTGTTATACTGTATGTTTAACTCATTACAGTCTACATAGATTACAATCTGATATCATAAAATAAAACATATTCCGTATGTAGAAAAATCAAATCAAACACTAAGTAAGTCACTGAGCAGGTGTAGGCAGAAGCTAAAGCTTATTTTGCCGACCCTTATCTCCAACTACAGCACTTTAATGGACATTCATCTCAAAATATATATGACATTGATACAACATTTTAGTACATCATAATAAAAAAAATCATCTGTTATTCTAATTATAACTAAAATCTCTTTACTGTCATTATTCTTTCAAGTATTTTTCCATTGCAAATCTTTTTAAAGTTATTATCATTGCAGCAATTATTCCATAATTTAACTCCTTTGCTTGATAAACAGTGTAACCCTTTGACTATATTTACTTATAACTTTCTCTCTAAGTGAACATTACCTGCATAGAAAGAGCTTCATAATTTTCCAGTATTATTTTTAATCATAATAATTTTTGTCTTCATCTAAAAAAACCTTTCTTCTTCCCATTTCTCTTACAGAGGCGGAAGTGGAGAAGCACCTGCAGGACACCTCGGGTAAGAAAGGCCAGTCGTGCTCTCTGTCTTGTCAGTTGTCCATCCCGAACGTTCAGGCGCAGTGGTATAAGAATGGCCAGCAGTTAGAGCTCAAGGGCAGGTACAGGTCTGAGGTGGAGCACAAGGTTCAGAAGCTCCACATCTCCGACCTCAGGCCCGAAGACCAGGGCCGCTACTCCTGCCGCTACCAGCACCTCGAGTCCTCCGCCGAGCTCTGGGTGGAAGGTTGGTACCCGGAAACACCGCCGGAAAAACAAAACAAAAATCGCTCCTGGATGCCACTTTCACTAACCTCTTCCGACTTCTCAAACTATTACAACTAATGCTCAAGATTTGGATTTCACTCTTTTTTGACCATTTTGGGGAGTTCTATGCCTCTGTCTTAACCGTGTTGTTGGATGAAGTCTTTCAACAAACTCATCATCTCATCTGTCGCCTTCTTACATCAATCCATTGCATTTCTACATTCTCAGCAATAACGGCCTTTGTGGGTTTCCATTTCTAACACGGCCCAGTCTCTGAAAACAATTCTGAATTATTACTTAGAAACACAAGGTTGTTCGATATGATTAAAAAGTCAAACTTAAGTGTTGAATATTGGAGACAATATCTTCACATAATATTTTAAAATACAATTATCCAGTGCGTTAAATTTTAGATATACAAAAACATACATTGATCATTTACTTTCAGGTTTCTTTAATCAAAAGTTGAATCCATGACCAAAACAAGATCATGACTGAAACTAGAAATTTTATGTCACGGCACTTTGTAGGTTCTTTAAAATGGGACTAAACAGAGACATAAATCTCCTCCACAACCACATTTCAAATAGAGCCCCTAAACCTGGTAGTACCTGGACTGAAAAAGAGAACGAGAGAGGTGGAGGGGCAGAATCTGGACATATGAGGAACAGTGTGATTGGTCTAACAGGTATCCACACTTCAAACTCCGCCCCTCCAGCCAGGTAATCTAAACACCTGGCTGTTATTAGGGCAGTCTGTAGTTGTTGCAGTGGCTTTCGAAAGCAGCGCACACACAGTTTTATACATTCTTGAGCAGAAAGCTGCAAATGTACCTAGTTTGCACTAAAATTTCTCAAAAAAAAAAAGGAGACAAGATTATTTGTAAAGCACAATTTGTACACGAAGTAATTCAAAGTGCTTTACAGAATAAGAAATACATTAAAATCACAATTAAAACTAATCTAAACATAAAACAATCACCATAAAGTCATCAAAAAAAGCCTGGATTTAAACAGAGTCAGAGTAGAGGCCTGTCTGACATCTTCAGGAAGACTGTTTCAGGTTTTAGCTACTGTTTATACACCATAAACACAGTTAAATAATGTAAAAAAAATAAATAAATAAAGTGGATTTAGTGTTTAGTTCCACTTTAAGGAAAAATATTGTAGATTTCTTAGCATCTCTTATGGCAATATACTTTAATGAGAATATGTTAGCTGATGATGCCTTGACAGTAACTTCTTAACATGTTGTGCTGTCCTAATAGTGCACATGTATATGAATGGCATCTAATAATTTCTGATAAAAATTTAGTTTCAACGATCACTTTCATCTGTTGTAAGCTGAGAGCCAATATATATTCCACTATTGTCCACTGACTTGGAGACTGGGCTGTCCTAACCATTTTGACGTGCCATTCACCATTGCACTCCCGTTGTGTCCTCCACCTCCCGCTGTGCCCCCCCAGTACGAGCACTCACACCTGTGTATCTGTTTTAGCTGAACAAATTCATTTCACCAAACGCATCCACAACGTCGAGGTGAATGAGCGCCAGTCGGCCACTTTCGAGTGTGAGGTCTCCTTTGACAACGCAATTGTTTCGTGGTACAAAGACACATGGGAGCTGAAAGAAAGCCAGAAATACAACTTCCGGAGCGAGGGCCGAAGACATTTCATGGTCATCCGAAACGTGACCCTGGAAGACGAAGGTGTGTAGAGCGCGAAAGGCCCCTGAAAAAGCCCAGCAGATTTTTTTGATTTTTTTGTTGGAATCGTTTCTAAATCCAGTGTCTTCATTACTAATTCCATGTAGGCGTATACTCAGTGATTGTGAGATTGGAACCCAGAGGAGAGGCTAAGAGCACAGCTGAACTTTATTTGTCTGGCAAAGGTACAGTTCCTAGTCAGACGCTTGATGCTTGATCATTTTCGTCTATTTTGGGTTTTGTAACGCCATCTTCATTCTTTCCCCTTTACAGAGATTGAATTAGCAATGGTTCCTCTCGGTAAGTTCTTTTTCTTGGCCCGGTTTTTAACTCTTATCTTAAAACGCCAATCTTACATACTGTATTTATTTCAACCCCGATGTTGGGAAAATTAAATGTATTTCATATTCTGTAGATGTCCCAGACACTTCTATTCAGAGGCCTGAAGTGCCTTCTTCTGTTGCAATCGAAGGTAAGAATGAGCAGTGTGTAACAACAAAGAAACTAAAACTACTAAATATTTTACCGACTTCAACGACTAAAACCAAACAACACTAATTTTCAAGTGCAGTGAGCATATGATAAACCAGTTATGAACAAAGGTTTGTATTGTCTTTTAAGAATCTACTGAGTTCTATCAATATGAAGAGGAGAGAGAACAAAGAGGTACTTACAAAGAGGTTTTAAAAATAACGACTTTAATTTTAATCCTTAAAGACATTTACTAATACAAAATCTTAATAACCTACGTGTAATAATTTGAACAAAATTTTCTTTAGTGCAAGAAACAGCAGAGTATTCTTATCACTACGAGGAGGAGGAGGTTGAGCAAAGAGGTAAACTTTACCAATGCAATATTAAAAACCTCACTTCCTACTAGAATTTCATTATCATCATTTTCATAATCATTTTCATAAAACCAAACCTTATCGAATCAGATCATCACTAACATCTTCCATCTTCATTTTCATCTTAACCTTTCGGGTCATGTGTGTTCACTGGACATCACAATCTCTTGGTTTCATCATCTTGGATCTACTAACCTCATCATCATTTTTATCATTGTTTTTTGTTATTGTTTAACCTTCTTCATTGACGTTCACTGTTTACAATTTCTTGTTTGCCCTCGTATTTTATGGATTTGAATAAGTTACATAAAACATTTGTAGCATTTTCTTAGAAATTTCCGAAGATGTAAATGAGATGGCAAGCTTGGAATGGTGATTTGATTGGTACACATTGTTTTTCCTCACTTGTCTTGTGTTTTGTCACTTTTGTGTTTGTCACATCTTCAGTCGCTGTTGAAAGCTGGGAAGCGGAGACAGTAAAACAACAAGTTATTGAAGCTCAAGGTATATGAGCATTAGAATATATTTAGTAAATAGATTTTTCAGACTTGTTCTTGTTGTTTGTCTGTTTGTATTCTTATTATCATCAACATTATTTCACCCTCTTGATAACTTTTCAGGTGCATTCTACGTCACATTTTCCACTTTTCACATTTACAATATGTTAAAGAACCATCTCTTTGTCTGTTTCTCCTTCAGCTTCCAGAGTTGCCATTGAGGAGAGAATTGCAACTACCAAAGTGGAAACCAGAGAGGCAATCCCAGTTAAAGGTACACGCAGAGCTCAGTGTTGCAGCTTCTATGCCGCTTATTGCTCTGTCTTTAAAGCCATCTTACTCATTCATTCTCTCGTACTAAAATCAGCCGCTTACATGCTTTGTAACCTCTCTTGGTAATGCCGTCTGGTTGCACTTCGAGCTACCTTTTGCTATCTTGATCTTTTGCTGAGCCGGTGTGCTTTTGCAAACGCTTTCTTGAATAATTCTTTAAAAATGTCTTGTATATTAACATAATAAGTGTCTTTTAAAGATGTGAAAGTGGAGGAAAAGCCCAAGGCAGCTGTCAAGGAGCCCTCACCTCCTAAAGGTACCAGCATAATTCCCTTAGTTTACATCTAAAAATGTCAAAGTGCTTTCGTGTTGCTAAATTCATTCATTGTACATTTAGTCACACCCAAAAAGCCAGTGGAAGAAAAAATGGAAGTAGTTTCAGTTCCAGAGAAAAAAGCTCCCGCTGTTAAAGGTAGAAAGCATCCCATGTTTTATAAGAGTAAACATAACACAAACTTGTATTGTCTTATCATCTTTTGTGTTTAATCATCTTGATGGTCAAACACAATCATCTTAACATATATTCATAGTTTGCTGTGCATTTCTTTGTTGTCCTTTATTCTAATGCATGTCAATGTATCTTACAAAAGAACCAGAAGAAGTGAAGAAACCTGCTCCTCCCCCGAAAGAGAAGCCTAAAGAGCCAGTCAAAGGTATATCACTCTGTTTCTCCGGCCTTGACGCTCCTGCCACAGCACACAGTTAATCCCAGCTTCTTGGCGCCTAACCTCTTTTGTCTGTCCCTTTGGCATTTCAATTTCTTTTACTATAATGGCAGTTTTCCAATTATAACAAGGCTCCATTAATTTTTACAGCTTACCATAATTAATGGCTTCTAGAATAGTTTTGTCAAAGCTGACTTTAATTACTTCGCCTGTGCAAAATGGTCTGCTAATGCTTATTCATCTACTACGACAGCACCATATGTTTTCAAATACACATAACAGTCTCTATGGCTTTCATCCAGGCTGCTTCTTTTATACTTAGTAGAACAAAATCTCAAATGCTTTTACTAGTATGCACCTAGAGATAACTTTAAAAGTAGTTCAGCTGCCATAAAGCAACATGCGGCAAAACCTTTTTTTTGTTTGAACTGTTGAATCACTAAACTAACATTCTTTCCTGTGTCTTGAGATAACTCTTACAATTGCTTCTTAATCCCTCTTACCTGCTCTTATGCCAGCGCTAACCCCATGTAATTTCTATTGGTTACTTGAAGATGAGGCCAAAAAGGTGGCCCCTCCAGCTAAACCTGAGCCAGAACCCAAGCCCAAAGCCAAGCCTGAACCTGAAATTAAAGCTAAACCTGAGCCCAAACCTGAGCCCAAACCTGCACCTGTGGCCAAACCAGTGGCCAAACCAGCAGTGGAACCTAAAGTGGAACCAGAGCCAGAGCCAGAACCTAAACCTGTGACGAAACCAGTGACTCCACCAACCAAAGGTACCATTTGTCCTGTTTTTACTGTTTCCCTGTCTTATTGTCTATATCTGTGGGTCATTCTTAGCTTCAGCTTTTGAAGCGTATCTTAAAACTGCTTGTCTTGCTTCTTTCTGCTTGTTTCTTAATAAATGTAACTGTCATTTTAAGTCATTGAAGAGGTGAAAGTTCAGCCTGAGGAGAAGAAAAAGAAGGCAGAGCCAGAGCCTCCCAAGATCAAACCAAAGGAGCCAGAGAAGCCTAAGGAGGAAGTGCGAAAACCAGAACCAGAGGTGAAGAAACCTGAGGAGAAGAAGCCAGTGGAGAAGAAACCTGAGGTGAAGAAGCCTGAGGTGAAGAAACCAGAAGAGAAAAAGCCTGAGGTGAAGAAACCTGAGGAGAAGAAGCCTGAGGAGAAGAAACCTGAGGTGAAGAAGCCTGAGGAGAAGAAACCTGAGGTGAAGAAGCCTGAGGTGAAGAAACCAGAAGAGAAGAAGCCTGAGGTGAAGAAACCAGAAGAGAAGAAGCCTGAGGTGAAGAAACCAGAAGAGAAGAAGCCTGAGGTAAAGAAGCCTGAGGTGAAGAAACCGGAGGTGAAGGCCCCAGAGCCCAAACCAGAGCCTGCTCCAGCGGAACCTCCAAAGAAAGGTATTAAGAAACATGGTCTTTTACCATTATTCTTTTAACTCCATCAGACATTCCCTTATACCTACTCTTGAATTAATTCTCTTAAATTCAACATTCAAATGTCTTCACTAACCTCTTCAGTGATTTAATTGTGTGAAGCATATGGTTAGTGTGGTTTAGCATTTTATCTGACATAGGCCTGTTGTTTTTAAGTGCCTCAAGCACCAGCACAAAAAGAGGTGGTGGCTCCTCCTCCACCTCCTCCCCCTCCCCCACCTCCCCCATTGCCACAAAAGGCAGAGGTAGAAATGCCAGAGAAGAAGAAGCCAGTGCCAGCTAAAGGTATCTGAGATCCTGGAGATCACGTGACTTCATTTTCATAAACTCCTAAACTACTCATTTTAATCAGTTTTCATTTGAGTTGGTTGCTAACACATTAACACTCTTGTCTCTGTGATGTACTTTATGTTGTTGTTTTGCATTCTTGCACTCGACAGAGTGTCTTTCTCTTAAGCGATACTCTTCAGTTTAATAATCCCAGTAATAAATAAAATATAACATCCTCTTTTAAGTCCCTGTGGAGGAACCTGCCCCTGAGCCTCCAAAAGTCAAGAAACCTGAACCAGTTATAGAACCTCCAAAAGAAGAACCCATGAAGAAGACGAAAGGTAACAGGGCATCTTTTCCTCTAATACTCTCTTGCCTTTAACTGTGTTTCTATAACGTCTTATTCTTCTGCGTGTTGATACTCAAATAACCTGAGGGTATTTGGCTCTGTTAAAGGTTAATTTGAGTTTATGGTGCGTTATAGCACTTTTCTTGATGGTCATATATTATACATGTTTCTATGTTAAATTCTTAAAGCTCCTGAACCTAAACCTGTGCCTGATGAGCCCAAGAAAGTTCCCCCTAAAGTGGTGGAACCTGAGGTGCTCCCTGCTAAAAAACCTGAACCCACACCTGAGAAGCAAAAGGTGGAGGTGAAAGAAAAAGTAGTGAAGAAGATGCCTGAAGAACCCCCAGTACCTACAGTGCCTGAAAAGGTTGAGACAAGACCAGTGGAAGAAAAGGTTACCCCTGTAAAAGAACCAGAGAGGAAGAAACCTGTGGAGATTGAGAAACCAAAACCAGTTGAAAAACTGGTTGAAGCAAAGCCTAAAGAGGAGCTCCCTCGTAAAGGTACCTCATTTGCCAAGGCTGCATTTTGGCATTTCAACTCAAATCTTTAAAATGATATCATGTTTGGATAAATGTTGGCCATTTATAACGTGTCATGTAAATGGCCAAACTAGTTTAAAAGCAATTAGTTGGAAGGGAAATTACTGAACTGTTGTCTTTTTTTGGCATAACTATTCTAACCTCTTTTCCTTAATGCTTTGTCTTGTCTTGCTAACTTTCTTGATTCTCTTTTTTTAAACACCTCTTTCTTGCTTAAAAATCACTAAAAGAATTACAAAGTGTGAAGACTCAGAGGTCTCCAGAACAAGAACAAAAAGGTACAGCTCCACTGAAATCATAAGGGCTTCTTTTTTGTGATAAACTCCTCGTTTGTATTATAACCTCTTTATAATGAATGTGTGTCTTCTAACACTTCTGTCTGTCTTTATGTCACCTCTTGGCGCCGCCACATGACGCCTTCTTCTTAAAAACACAAAGCCACAAGTCTTGTCAAGATTGAGCAAATGGAAGGCCCACAGAAGAAGCAAGATGTGTATTATGTGACAGAGAAAATGTCCACCACAGAAGAAGTGTGGGAGCATGAAGATATAGTGACGGAACACGCCAAAATGTTGTACGAGGAGGAGGTTTCTCTTTTGGCTAAAACTATGGTCCAGTTATCAGAGGTGGACATTTTGACCTCATCCGAAAAGGAGAAAAGGTCAAAGCTGAGAGGCGAGATATCTGTTACTGACTCGAAGAAAGAAACAATAGTTGCTAAAAAGAAGTTAGCATCAGAAATAGTTACAGAAGTTCAAGAAAGTACAAAACCTACAAAACAAACTGAAGAGACTGAAATAAGAAAATTGGCTGAAGTAAGTTATGAGGCTGAATTACCCAAACCAGAAGATAAAATAAGCGTAACAGAACAGATTTCACAAATAAAAGTAGAATCAAGAGAGGTCCAGGTTAAGGAAGAGGAAAAAAGGAAAACTATTTCAACCAAAAAGAAAGTTGTAGACGAAATCAAGCCACGAAAGAAAGAAGAACCAAAGGCAGAACCAGAAAAGAAAATAGCTGAGGAGGCCAAAGTAGAAATTCAATCAAAATTGGTGAAAATTACTAAAAAAGATAAAATTCCTTCAAAATCTGAAGAAATGGCAGACAAGAAGCCACCTCCTGTAACTGAAGCTAAATTAGAGATAGATACTTCAGTTAAAGCAATTAAAAAGAAGGAAGTTCCAAAAGAAGTCGAACAATTTATTTCAGCTGAACCTAAAAAAGAACCAGAAAAAATAGAAATACAATCAAAGGAAGTTACAATGATTAAACGTGCTGAAATAGCTGTAGAGGGTGAAGAGAAAAAGGTCACAAAACTTGAAATTTCTGATAAGAAAATACCAGTAGAAGTTAAAGTCAAACCAGCTAAGCTAAAGGAGCCTGATGTTGTGCCAGAATCCCAGATAATTGTAGAGAGGGATCAGCAGAAAAGGGAAACACAGAAGCCTGAAGTTGAGAAAAAATCCCAGATGACTAAACAGGAGATTACTGCAGTGTCTATCAAAACTGAAGTAGTAGAAAAAGCAAAAGAGTCAGTAGCAGATGTCGAGGCCAAAGCCAGACCCACTGAACAGAAGAAAGATTTGAAAATTCACGCTGAAGGTAAAAAGAAAGAAGAACCAGTTCTAAAGAAGAAAAGTGAAGATTCAAGTCTTTTGGTCATGACTGTAGCAGAAGACAAGAAACAAATCGATTTGAAAGGTACAACGAGGAATATCTGAACTCCAGTCTCACATGGGAATTTTTTTGTCATTTCTCTTGATTTCTGATTTGACAAATTGTATTATTTGTCCAGAAATCTGAGAAATATCGGCAAATGTTCTCTGTGTCTGGGTCATTGTCATTCAGCACTATTCACATTGATGCCATGTTTGGACGCACTCTTTTTTATGCCAACATTTCATCTGACGTCCAACAGCCCATTCCACCATCCTCCATCAATATATCTTCCTCATTTCATCCGTTCATCCATAGTGTCTGCTTATGCCGCATTTTGCCTTCTTTTTTGTGCCTTCAAATCTTAGACATGCTTTTTTTTTTTACCCTTAATTCAAACTCTTTTTTTCATTCTAAGAAGCAGAATTAAAGCCGGAGAAGATCCCCACACCTTCGGTTCCTGAACCAAAAGTTGAAACTCCACGAAAAGGTATAACAAAACATCTTCAAAACTCTTATGGTATTTTTCTAATGTACTTGTTGTTTTTAATTCGAAATGTCTGTTCTTACTTTTTTCTCCCGAATCTCTTGGCACCGATTCATGGTGCTTTTTATTGAATACATTGCACATTTTAGTTGTTTTGAAAACTAAAAAACAGCCTCGAATGAATGTCTCTAAAAAGACATTTATTTCTGAGGAAATTAGTCAACTGGAGCCCAAGCAGCAACCTGATGAAGGAAATGGTAGTGGTAAAGCATCTGTTACTGATAGTTTTGTTACTGAGGGTCTTAAAATATCAGACAGGGCAGAAACAAAAGAACAGATTCAAAGCAAGACAGTTAAAAATGAAACCGTAGACACTTTAGATGCAAAATTAGAAAATACACTTTCTGAAACTTATCACTCAACAGCTGTAGGGCAAAATGTTTCGAGTGAACACAAGTCAAAACCTAATACCGAGTCTCAAAGTAAGACCAAAAAACAAGCTTTCAAAGTCAGGCGTCAGACAGCCATTGAACATGACGAACATTTTGAACCAGGCCAGGAAGTAAAAGTATCAGAGGAACATAAACAATTGAATATGAAGGCTTCACTTGGACTAATGATGGAAAAAACTGGTTCCAAAGAAGACACTGGACAAAAAATTGACACACCGCAAGGGACAGCTGAAACAGACCTAAAAAGCAAACTTATTGAAGATGTAGCTGAGGGTAAAAAAATGGCTGTGACTGACAAAAGCCAAATTTCAACACAAGTCGTAGGGGATGAACGTAAAAGTGACACAGACGCAAAAAGAAAACCTACCAAGTCTAAAGGCATTATAATAGGAAAAGATAAGTTAACTTTCACTACTGTTGAAGATAAAATGTTTGAAGTGGCACCTCTGAAGGAAACAGAATTCGAACAAAGACCAAAACAAGCTAAAAAGATGCTTAAAAATGAAAAAACAGGTGGTGCCCTAGAAAAATCAGAGGAATCTTCACCACAAATAGGAGAAAAAACTCAGACGTCTGGTGAGGGAATCCAGGCAATCACGGTTGCAGTTCAAGACAAATATGAAAGTGTACAACCTTTAGAAATAGCGGAAAGAAACCAGATCACACAAGCATATAAAATTGAAGAAGAAACACAAGAAAAGGGAACTGACGAAACTAAGCCATACATAGCAGATGACCAGAAGAAAATCAGGAAATCAGTTCAATTAGAGGAAATGAAAAACAAAGAAACAGAAGAAATGTTTTTAGATGTAGACAAAATTACATTAGAAGCTCAAGATTTAGACATAACAACAGTTAGGAGTGAGGAAATAAGACCAACCATGACTGAACTGACAGCAACAATTATTACAGTTAGAAATGAATACGGCAGTGTTATACCATTCACAGAAACCAAGGACGAAGAACATCTAAGAAAAGATCAGGAAACAGAACACAAAATGGTAGAGTGTCTCAGTCAACAAATCTTAGAATCAGAAAAGGGAAAGGAATGGTTTGTAGAGACTAGTGCACAACAAAGCATTTTAACAGATACAAAAGTTACTGAAACCAAAGACGAGAAGAAATTTGACAAAGCCGAGAAAGCCAAAGAACGAAGACCACAGTTACCTAAAATGGCAGAAAACCAATCAAGAACGGTCATAGTCAAGCATGAATATGGCACAATAACACCAATGGAAGCATCAGAGCTACTTGAAAGGAAAGTGACTACAATCATGGGAGGTGCCTCAGAAAGTTCACAGGACTCTTATCAACAATATTTTAAGCCAGATGAAAGATTTGAAGATGCTACAGCTCAAACTACAGAAATAGGTGAGATGTCAGGAGAAGTGAAAGAAGATGCAAAGGTAGCTCAAGCAAATGGCGGAACAGTTAGGTCAAGTGTAGACAAATTCCTTGTCAAAAAGGAGAAGGCTGATTTGATGGAAGAGAATATCCCTAAAGAACAAATCGAAAGAAAGGCTCTGATTGCATCACAGCCTGAAGTGACCCATAAATCATCTCTGATAGAGCAAGAAGCTTTAGTACATGCATTAGTGACTGAGCAAATTTTAGATGTTCCTTCAAGTGATGTAAAAACCAGGCAGAAAATTGTAAAAAAGACCACAGAAGCAAAAGATGTCGAGACTAGGGAAATTCAATCTACCGATAAAAAGTTACTCCAATCAAGGACAGTTACAGTTGAAAATGAATACGGGTCTGTTTCTCCTTTAGACTTGCCATATGAAGAAGTTGAGAGGAAAGTTTATCTTGCTCTGGTAACAGATGTCAAAGCAAAATCATCTCAGGAAACTCTGCAACAAGGCACTGAAAAAGTGGAGGAAAGAAAAGCAGATGCGGTTCCAGTTCAATTTAATGTAGAGAAAGAGAAGAAAGCTGAGCAGGATATTATTAAGTCTAAAATAACACCTGAGATGTCTTTATTGGAGCAAGAATCAACATTAGGTACAGAAAAATCACACAAAGAAAGACCCAGCAAAGAGGAAACCAACAAAACTACAAAAGTTCAAAGCAAGATATCAAAATCTGCAACAGCTGAACTGAAGACGGTTACAGTTCATGATGAGTATGGTTCTGTCACTCCACTGGACACAGAATTTGAAATAGCTGAAAGAAAGGTTTTGACACAAGCATCCCAAAGAGTTCAACAAGAAGATGTGAATTTAGAAACAAAACCAAAGATAGAAGACATTTTGGAAACTAAAGAGGAAAAGAAGACACAAGAAAAAATCAAAAAGAAAGACTTAGACCAGGTTTTAGATATTGAAGATGAAGATGTGGAAACCAGTGAGAAGTCTGAGGCGAATTCAGTCAAAGCGATACAGTCCCAAACAGTTATATTACGTGATAACTACGGTTCAGTTGCACCATTAGAATCAACGTATGAACAAGTTGAAAGAATCATTTATGAAATGGATGTTCCAACACAAAGATCTCAGCCGGTTCAACAAAATGTGAAAGTAGAAGCAAAAAGAAAGATTATGGAACAAGGAGAACCTATAGAGGACTTTTCAGTAATGAAGCATGACAGGAAGGAGCAAGAAAAAAACAAAGAATCAGTTGATCAAGTTTCAGCTATTGCCACTGAAGATGTCAAATCCAGCCAGAAGCTAGAGGCAAAAGTAAAAACAATCCAATCACAAACTGTCAAAATACATGACGATTATGTTTCAGTAGCTCCACTGGAATCGGCATTTGAACGATTTGAAAGAAAAGTCACACTAGCTCCTGACATGGATGATGCCGCACAAAAATCCCAGAGAGTTCAACTAGAAGAACCCAAACTTGATACTCAACAAACACTTAAGAAACAAGATGTAATCACTGATGTGTCTTCAGCCGAGCACGAAAAGGAGCAACAGGAAAAAATCAAACAAGATAAAGTTACTGTGACTGGAGATGTGGAAATGACTCAAATTAAGAAATCAAAAACTACAAAACTCAAATCTTGCCAGGCCCAAATAGTTACATTGCATGATGAATATGGTTCAGTTGCTTCACTGGACTCAACATATGAACAAGTTGAAAGAAAGGTTTCTTTATTTCCTGAAACAGATGAAATGGATGCAACACAAAAAATCCAAACAATGAAACGAGAAGAAGAAAAATCTGACGCTCAACAAATAAAAATTAAACAAGGTAAACAGCTTGAAGACATTTCAGCAACAAAGCAAGAGAAGGTGGAGCAAGGACTTGCAAAGACAGAATCTGTAGATCAGACTGCAGCTCTTGCCACTGAAGATGTCAAAACAAGCCAAAAGTTCGAGGCGAAAGAAAAAGTTAAAACAGTTCAGTCCCAAATAACCACACTGCATGATAAATATGTTTCGGTTGCTCCACTGGAATCTACGTTTGAAAGAATTGAAAGAAAAGTCACTGTGGCTCCTGAAATGGAATGTTGCCGCACAAAAATCCCAGACAGTTGAACTAGAAGAAGTCAAATTAGATACTCAACAAACAATTAAGAAACAGGATGTAATCACTGGCATATCTTCACCTGAACATGAAAAGAAGCAGGAACAAATCAAACAAGATCAAGTTATTGCAGCTGAAGATGTGGAAACTACTCAAATTAAGAAATCAAAAACTACAAAACTCAAATCTTACCAGGCCCAAACAGTTACATTGCATGATGAATATGGTTCAGTTGCTTCACTGCACTCAGCATATGAACAAGTGGAAAGAAAGGTTTCTTTATTTCCTGAAATGGATGTTGCAACACAAAAATTCCAAACAATCAAACCAGAAGAAGACAAATCTGACACTCAGCAAATAAAAATTAAACAAGGTAAACAGCTTGAAGACATTTCAGCAACAAAGCAAGAGAAGGTGGAGCAAGGACTTGCAAAGACAGAATCTGTAGATCAGACTGCAGCTATTGCCACTGAAGATGTCAAAACAAGTCAAAAGTTAGAGGCGAAAGAAAAAGTTAAAACAGTTCAGTCCCAAATAACCACACTGCATGATAAATATGTTTCGGTTGCTCCACTGGAATCTACGTTTGAAAGAATTGAAAGAAAAGTCACTGTGGCTCCTGAAATGGATGTTGCTGCACAAAAATCCCAGACAGTTGAACTAGAAGAAGTGCAATTAGATACTCAACAAACAATTAAGAAACAGGATGTAATCACTGGCATATCTTCAACTGAACACGAAAAGAAGAAGGAAAAAATCAAACAAGATCAAGTTATTGCAGCTGAAGATGTGGAAACTGCTCAAATTAAGAAATCAAAAACTACAAAACTCAAATCTTACCAGGCACAAACAGTTACATTGCATGATGAATATGGTTCAGTTGCTCCACTGCACTCAACCTATGAACAAGTAGAAAGAAAGGTTTCTTTATTTCCTGAAATGGATGTTGCAACACAAAAAATCCAAACAATTAACCTAAAAGAAGACAAATCAGATACTCAACAAATAATAGTTAAACCAGATAAGCAACTCGAAGATATTCCAGCAACTAAACAAGAGAAGGTGGAACAAGAACATTATGTAAAGAAAAAATCTATAGATCAGACTGCAGCTATTGCCACCAAAGATGTCAAAACAAGCCAACAGCTGGAGGCAAAAGAAAAAGTTAAAACAGTCCAGTCCCAAACAATCACACTACATGATAAATATGGCTCAGTTGCTCCATTGGAATCCACATATAAACAAGTTGAAAGAAAACTCTGTACAATTCCTGAAATTGATGTGGCAGCACAAAGTTCCCCAACAGTTCAACAAGAGGATGCAAAGTTAGATACTCAACACAAAATTATGAAGCAAGAAGGAAAACTTGAAGAGATTGCTGCAATTGAATATGAACAGAGGATACAAAACAAAACTCCAAGTAAAGCCCTGATTGATCGGATTACCCCTATTACCAATGAAGATGTGAACACAGGTAAACAATTTGAAGAAACCGCAAATGACAAAGCAATCCAGGCCCAAACAGTCACAGTTCAAGATAAATATGGATCAGTCACTCCTATAGAATATGTGCAAGTCGAGAAAAAAATTACACTTGCTTCATCTGTGGATGGTTTGACGTCATATACAAAGGAAGAGGAAGAAAAAGACATTAAATCGGTACCGGCAGAAGATTCCAAAATTCATTCCAGTGTGGATAAAGTTAAGAGCAAAAAGGAAAAAGTTGGGAAAGAGAAGGTGACAAAAATGCAAGCGCAAGTCAAAAAAGTTGAGACCAAGGAAAAGGACATCAAGGAAATCCAACCAACAACAGCTGTAGTTCGCAATGAGTACGGTTTTGTTACTGACTTGGAAACTGCATTTGAAGAAGTTGAGAAAAAGCTTATTTTGGCACCTGAGATGGATGTTGCTTCAGAAATATCTCTCACAATTCATCAAGAACACAGTAAATTAGATGCACAGCAAAGACTCAAAACACCTATTGAAAAAGTTCAAACTGCAAAAGATGAGCATCATGTAATTGAAGAATTGTCAGAAAAGCCAGGACAAACTGCTAAAAAGACTAAACAAAAAGCTGAAGGAGTAAAAGATACCCATCCCAAGAAGGTAAAAGAGATCCAATCAAAAACAGTCATGGTTGAAAATAAATATGGTTTGGTTACTCCATTGGATTTACCGTATGAGCAAGTAGAAAGGACAGTTTCATTAGCTCCTAGTTTGGAGACTACTGTTGAAAAAAATGGTTCTAAAGTGTCTGTAATTATTGCTGAGGACATTGCCAAGGTCCCGAAAGAAAAAACGTCAAAAGAAGCCAAGATTGTCAGTCTGAAAGATCAGTTTGGTAATGTCACTCCACTTGAAGTTGTGCAGGTCAAAGAGGAACAGATTGGAAGGACTGCTGTATTTGCTCCTGTAATGGAGGTGGCTTCACAAGAACATTTACTAGTTGAAGAAGGAGAGTCAAAACCCTCTAAACTTGTAAGATTTATTACACCTGATGATCTAGAGCAAGGCATTTTGACAAGAAAGGAAGAAGTTCATGAAGCAAAGGATGTTACAGAAAGCCAGATACATCCTACGAACAAAGATAAAGCTTTTGTTGTTGCCGCAGAAGGAATTTTATCTACAAGCCAAACTATCAACAAGGATCTTGATCACGTTACCTCCCTTAAAGTTGATCAAGGTCATTTAGAGTCAAAAACCTCAAAAACACCGGTAATGGATATTGTGTATGGTCAACCACCCTTTTTGAATGAAGGAGGTGCTCAAATGGAAACTTCTGAAAGGTTTATTGCACCAATCGATGACAATGGTATTACAGATAGAACGGAAAAGATTAAAATCAGTGAAAGCCAGTTACCAATGGACACCGTCACAAGGGTTAGTCCAATAGTACAAAGAGCTGAAATGACCACCAAAGCATTACTGCAAAGCCCTAACAAATGTACAACTGAAGAGGCAATCCGAGATCAAAATCAGGTATTTGCTGAAAGTCATGAGAAATCTTTAAAAACATTGGAAATTCAGAAAACAGAAGATCTTTTGCAGGGTCGTGATGAAAAGCAACTGACAACTAGCATATCTAGTCAAACTCTAGAAACACACAATATAGAGGGATTAGTAATGGAAAAAGGTAAAGCTGCAAAAAGCAAAATATTAAAAGTCAAAGAATCTAGTAAACCAGATCTAACTGAGCATACAGAAATAATAGGACCACATTCTAAGCTTCAGAAACTACAACAGGCTACTGACACAAATACTAAAATGAAGGATGAAGTTGTTAGTACAGAGCAAATTAAAATGGTTGAACCTCAGCGTGTTGTTGACAGAGAACAGATTATTTCTTCAAAATCTAAACCAGCAGATTTAAATTTAGCATCTTCAGAAATACTTGAGCCCTCAGCTAAAAAGCTTTCAGTTGCAGATGTGTCCAAAATGGCTGACAAAAATAGCCACATTGATTTAGAAAGGGGGGAATCTTTTCTTGAGGCACAAAGTGGAAAATTGCCTCTACACCATGTGCAAAGTTTGACAACAAAGGAGAGCGGTACTCACAAGGCTATCCCTATCAAGAAAGGAATAAAGGTTTTGGAAACTGCTGAGATAATGTCACACCAAGACACACTTAGAGGTATATTGTAAGAAAAGTCACATTGCACTGTGTTTCTGGTCTGAGCACCACTATCTTTTTCACTCTTCAAGCGACATCATATCATCACACCCATTTTGCTCTAGCACAAATGCTGCAAACAAGCAGATCTTTTTTCTTTTTTGTCACTTTGTAAGTTTGTCGTTGACACTGTAGTATCTAATTTTGTGATGTTTAACTTACAATCTGGAAACGGTCAAATCAAAAGGTAACCTCTTCTTGATGTGATTTCTATGTTGTGTATGTCTTGATTGTCTGTCGTTCACCCCATCACTCTTGTCTTTATCTTATTGTGGCGTAATTTCATTTTAAGCCCCTGTTGAGGAGAAGCCGAAAATTACACCAAAGGTCAAAGAGGCAGTAGTACAGCCACCAGCTCCACAAGAAGGTATCACTTTTTCAGAATTCCTAACACTCTTCTTGTTTTATGTATGTGTCTTTTGGTTGAATGTACATGGGTAAATGTATGTGATAAACCCATTAGAGCTAAAGGTTATAATATTTGTCTTCAAAGAAATCAAACCTAAACCCCCCAGTCAAAGTTCAAGAGGCTGTCAAAAAGCCAGAAGAGAAAAAGGTGGAGAAAAAAGTAACTCCACAAGAAGACGTAAAGCCAGGTATCTAGGGCTTTAATATGGACTGAGCCTCTGCGATTTTAGCAAGTTTTAACTCTTTCCTCTTTATTACACACAAAGTGGTCAAGCCTGAGCCTGTGGCAAAGGTGGAAGAACCAGCTAAAAAGGTTACAGAGGAGAAACCAGTTTTAATAGAGACCAAAGTTCCAGAGAAAGGTAGCCGCTCATAGAATGTCCTTTACTGTCCATTTCATCATCATCTTTCATCCACAATGCATCATGTTTGAATGTGAAGTTGCTTACTTGGTCGCTTAGACCTTTCTTTTTATCTTGTCTGTCTTACTTTAATTGTTTACTTACCTTGCCAGCTTATTGATCATTATAGTCACTATAGTTTTTCAAGTGATATTCTAAAGCCATTCATCTTTTAACCTTCCATCATCATCCTCTTCCATGTGAATTTATGTGTGAATATGTGTATACTTACGTGTTTACCACTGCAAGGCCTAAAGTTGAAACTGTAATTGTCAATTGCTCTAATTATAATTTTTGTGACTTTATAATAGATCAAACCAAGGGACCTGTCCAAGCACCAGGAGGAGTCAAGAAAGGTAGGCAAAACTTTTTTTGTTGTTGTTGTTGTATGTTGCGTTTTGTATACGACATGAGTTGTACATATGCATTTGGTACAAAATATTAATTTGGGTGATATACACAGCATATCCCCTCAACATTTGAAAAACACTTGTTCTGTGTGTATTGTATTGTAATTTCTGTAACACCAAACCTTTGCCACCTCAGAATTGATTGCACCCAAAAAAGTAAAAACTCCAAAAGAGGAGGAAGTGGGCACATTTGAGATTCCCACTTTAAGGAAAACCACACCAAGAGTTGCCAAGGCAGCAGAGGACGAAATGGAGACAGTAAAACTAAAGAAAATCCCAACAGTTTCCCCTAAGCAGCCAGAGGAGTTGGAGCTGAAGACAGCCACTACAACTAAAGTGGTGGCAGTAGAGGAGGTGGTTCGAAGAGAGGAGGAATTTGAGATTTCTTTTGTTACCAGAAGAACGGTAGAAGAAGAGAAAAAGCCTCGTGATAAAGCCGAATTTGTTAAAAAGCCAGAGCTTATTGAGTCTAAAGAAGAAAAAGAGAAAGAACCATCTAAAGGTGCTTGGGAACGACAAAAGGTACCGCCAAAAGACGAAAAGCCTGAGGAGAAGATTCCACTGAAGATCACTCCAAAAGCTCCAAAGCCAGAGGAACCACCAGCACCTGAAGTTGGTCTGAAGAAGGTCAAAAGATTACCCCTAGATCAGGAAGAGCCTGAAACAGTGAAGCTAAAACCCTTTGAGAAACCAGTGAAACCAACTGAAGAACCAGAAAAGGACAAAAAGGACAGACCAGATAGGGATAAGGTGCCTTTTGAAAAGAGGGAAAGGACTCCTAGAGAAATAGAACCCAAAGAACCTCCAAAGAAGCCTGAAAAAATTCCAAAAGAGGTGGAAGAGCCTGAAAAAGTTCCTAAACCAGTGGACAAAAAGAAAACACCAGAGAAGGAGCCAGAAGAGAGGAAATTGCCCATTGGAAAGGGTAAGATCCCCAAACCAGAGCAAGAGGAAGAGATTGTGAAGCTAAAACCTTTCACTAAACCATCTAAAGAGCCTGAAAAACCTAAGAAACCCGAAGAGGATAAAGAAAAGAAGCCCACTGAAGATTTGAGTAGACGCCGGCCAACTCCAGAAGAGAAACCAAAAGAAAAAGAACCAGCAAAGAAGCCTGAAGAAAAGAAACCAAAAGAACCAGAGGTAGTCCCTGAAAAGAAAGCCCCAGCTGTTGTTAAGAAGCCTGAGAAGACTCCAGAGGAACCAAAACCTGTGCCACTGAAGAAAGGAATCACTCCAAAACCGGAAGACAAAAAAGAGGATGTGGCTTTGAAACCTGTCGAGCAGCTGAAGAAAGTCGAGCTAAAGAAGACACCATCTCCCAAAGTTAAGGAGCCTGAAACCATTCCCATTGAGAAGATCCCAAGTCTGAAGAAGGTGCCTAAAACTATATCACCCAAAGAGTCACCTGTAGAAGCTGTCACATTAAAAAAGATTCCCAAGAAACCTTCACCAGAGGAGGAAAAGGAAGCAGGAAAAATTCCAATAGTGAAAGAAGTGTCTCCCGGTGCAGTGCAGATGAAAAAAGTGGACACCCAGCCGGAGGAAGAGGTATTTGAGGAGGAGTACGAGGCCCCTGAGGGAGAAGAGGAAGGAGAAGAGGCCTGGGGATGGGAGCTGGTTCCTGTCGAGGGAGGTGAACCAGAGGAGGGCGCTGTGGAGGTGCCAGGGTTTCCCAGGAGAGGTGAGACCGGACTGGCCCTTTCATTTTCGGACTGAAAAAACACCACCCTCCCTTCATGGATAATAATCCTCCTCCATCCAAACATCATTTTCATCCAAGCTGCCTTCCCATTCTCTTTTGTATTGTCTTTCGCCTTTTATCTGTTATATCTGTGTCTCATTCTCATTCACCATGTGACCATCTTCACTGCCTTCATTTGGCTTGTGTTGAGTTTTGAAATAATGACTATCATCATCACATCTCCATATTTTTGTATTTTGTATGTTCATTTGTTCATGTTATTTATTTTTTTTATGTTGTTTTCGGTCATCTCATTTCATTTCAAGTCATGTCATTAGTGTCCATCAAGATTGTGGTCAATCCTAAGAATATAATTTTTCCTCCTTACTACTTTGCATGTATCCATTCAATTTGCTTTAACACTTTCACTTGTGTTGCAAAGTAATTTTAATATTTGTGAACAGAGGGACAACCAGCTGGGGAAGAAGGAGGAGCAGGCAGAGGCAGGGGGCTAAGACGTAAGTAAAACGTAATGTAATATTAGAGTAACTCTTATATTGCAGTTAAACAAATAAATGTACATTTCTTTGATGTTATAGCCAAGCAGACTCCATCCCCTGGTGAAGGCAGGGGCCGTGGTCTGAAACCTGGTGGTAGAGGTCCTACACCTCCAGAGGAGCCATTTGGAGGCTTCAAGCTCAAGGCTGTTCCTCTGAAGTTCACCAAAAAGCTCCAGGATATCGTGCTCCAGGAGGCTGAGTCCATTGGCTCCTCTGCCCTCTTTGAGTGTGAGGTCTCCCCTTCCACTGCCATCACTACTTGGATGAAAGATGGCAGCAACCTCCGTGAAAGCCCCAAGCACAAGTTCACTTCAGATGGCAAAGATCGCAAACTGAACATCATTGATGTGCAGCTCTCAGATACTGGTGAATACACTTGTATTGCTAAGAACGCCGGCAAAGAGATCCAGTGCTCAGCCAAACTCATCGTTGAAGGTATCCATTATTATATATGTCAGCTCTTAAGGTTGGAATTGATTGAATGCAAATATTCTAATAAGTTATTTTTACCCCTACACAGAGCTGCCATTGAAATGGCTAAAGGAGCTTGAGCCAGAGACGTCAGCAATTAAGGGCCAGCCTATTTACATGACCTGTGAGCTGAACAAAGAGAGGGAAGTGGTTTGGAAAAAGGATGACAAGATCCTGGCAAAGCGGGAAAACAAGATCCAGATCAACGTTATCGGAATGCAACATGCTGTGACCATCCAGAACTCCCAGGAGAACGATGCTGGAGTTTACTCTTGTGCAGTGTCTGGACAGGAGGATGTTATAACTTCCACTAATGTTAAAGTGATTGGTTAGTATTTCTAATTATACAACATATGTGGTATAATGTTCCTAGTTTTGTTTCTCCACTTATATTACCCTTTTCTTCAATAGAAATTATCAAAGACTGGATCGTGAAGCCTCTTAGGGACCAGCATGTCAAACCCAAAGCAACGGCCACCTTCAAATGCGAGCTGTTCAAGGACACGCCCAACTGGAAGTGGCTTAAGGGAGAGGAGGAAATCACTCCTTCAGATAAAGTGGAGATCAAGAAAGATGGAAAGGAGTTGACCCTCACCATCAAGAACTGCCAACCTGAAGACGTTGCAGAATATGCCTTGGAGGTTGAGGGACGCATCTACACAGCAAAGCTTACATTAGGAGGTTAATTTTGACAATTTACACTACAAATTATTTTTCGAGTCGCGACATATCTTAGCCATGTTGTTGATTTTCTGGATCATTAACCCTTTTGTTCATCAGAGCGTGAAGCTGAGATCCTGAAACCATTGAAAAGCGTTGAGGTGTGTGAGAAGGAGGATGCTGCATTTGAAACCGAGATTTCTGAAGATGATGTTCCCGGTGAATGGAAGCTCAAAGGCGAGGTTTTGACCAGATCTCCGGTAAGATTAGATGACTATTTACCGAATGCAATTTTTACCTGTTTTACCCGGAATACATTTTCTCCATTGAATGTAATTGAAACGATTAACCTGTCATCGATTATCAGACTTGCGATATCCAAATGGAGCGCGGAGTTCGTCGTCTCATTTTGAAGAACTGCCAGCTGGACCAGGCCGGTGAAGTGACCTACCAGGCTCTGAACGCTGTGACAAACGCCATGCTCAATGTTAAAGGTAAGACCTGCTCAAGACTGAAAGGTTGAAAAAAACTATTGTACCTGATAATATACGATTAGCTGTACAAATAAAGGAGTAAGGTCCGTCAAATTAATAAAGACTTGGACCTTAGATCTTTATTTCCAAGGGACATTGAAATTTGTTTTGGATCTTGGTCATATTTCACAGCCGAGAAGACGAGAAGATATTTTGAGGAAGAATTTTTGTCTATTTGAAAATGTGTGTCTGTCTGTTTGTATGTTCTGTGTGATATTGTATTTTTGTGTTTGTCTTGTCACAAAGTTAAATTGTAAAGCGGTCAGTCCAGTGCAAGCACATTTATGCAACAAAAGGCAATACAAAGAAAAGGGTGTTAAGTGTTAGTGGGGAGATCATATCCTTCCTACCTTCCTTTTTCTCTCGGCATTCCAAACAGCAAGAGTTCACAACCTGTCTGGTGACCCCAGGAATTATAAAAAGAACAGGTTATGGTTAGGACTTGGTTACATGACCCACAAAGATGACAGCTGGACCAAGGACTCCAGAGCCTCAGACCTGTAGTGTAGATCAACACATTACACACACCATAAACATTACACACGCATTACACACGCACACACACGTACCTGCTCTGACCGCTAGTTGTCCACACATTGTCTTGGCTGTTGTGTTGTTGATGTCTGTGACTCTGTATTACTTCCAACCCAGAAATCGAAATGGATTTTGTAGTCCCTCTGAAAGACGTTTCAGTGCCGGAAAAGAAACAAGCCAAGTTTGAGTGCACCATCACGAAGGATGTAGCTAAGTCCATGTGGTATAAAGGGGCTGATATCATCACCCCAGACCAAAAGTATGACACCATCATTGATGGAAAGAAGCACATGCTGATCATCAACTGCTGCGAGTTTGATGATGAGGATGATTATACTATTGAGGTTTTGGGCAAAAAGTCCACAGCTAAACTCACAGTGGAGGGTAAGTCTACAAGCCCAATAGATAATTGTCCTATCTCTGAGTTGGTTTCTATCATTTCTTAACTAACTCATATGAATATGCCCTACTAATACAACTATAGGTATCAGGCTCAAGTTTATCTCGCCCTTACAAGACCAAACTGTGAAAGAAGGCAACACAGCTCGCTTTGAGCTGGAGCTTTCTCATGAAAACATCCCAGTCACATGGTACAAGAACGACGTTAAAATCCACCCGAGCCGAGCTGTGGTCACACATGTCGACGGGAAAAGACATGTGCTTGAACTAAAGGACGTGACGCTCGATGATACTTGTCAAATTAAGGCTGAGGCCAAAGGAATTCCCTCCATGGCGAATTTGACGGTTATAGGTAAAAATTGAGTGTTCCATCATGCACCGTTTTTCCCCTCCTCTCGCACCGCTCATTTCACTTTCCCAACAGTGCGTTCCTTCACCAAACGATCTGTCTGTGTTCTTTATGTTTCATTGTGTGTTTCATTGTGTGTTTCATTGTGTGCACCATCGTGTGCACCATCGTCATTTCAAAAACGTCTGTCCTCTGTTTGTCACATCCCATCTAAATGTTTATGAAATTGTTTGTCAAACCGAACATTTCCCCGTTCCAGAGGGAGACCCGTACTTCACAGTCAAACTCCAGGACTATACCGCTGTAGAGAAAGACCAGGTGTCTCTCGAGTGTGAACTCAACAAAGACGTGGAGGTCATGTGGTACCACAATGAAACGGAAATCAAAGCCTCAAAATCGGTTCTGATTAAGGCTGAGGGCAAACGCCGAAGCCTTATCATCAAGAAAGTAGCCGACAAAGATAAAGGGCAGTATCTGTGCGACTGTGGAACAGACAAGACCACAGCTAAATTACATATTGAAGGTAAAAATGTCAATCGATACCATTTTTTCATTCCATCACAATTTTTTTGCTCACCCTTCACCAAGTTTTTTTTTTTTGGCCATTTTGTTCTACCATTCACTAAGCACAGTTTTTAGTTGTCACGATAACAGAAGCACATTGCAAGACTTAATCCTCACCTGGAAATGGATCATCTTGTAGTCTTCACTGTTTTGTCTCTGTCATGGTGTCACTAAAAAGCACCAGCGTGTTGTCTGTTCATGTTTATATTGCTGGGTTTCAGATGACATCACGACTTCCTATAGATCATTACTATTTAATACAGATAGATACAGCAGCTAAAATTTTGGTTAAAACCCAGATTTTTCATGTAATACAGTGAGTTCTTGGGTCTAGTCAGTAATCATGACCAGGTCCTACATTTGTGAATTTACCTTTTGGATATCTCATGGTAAAGTACAATGTAATCACTGGCTCTTGCCCCCATTCGAGAGTAGAACATCGTCACTCTAGAATCTGAAAACCAGCAATACCTGTCCATCGTCGTTTTATGTGTTGCGTTGTTTTGTCTCACCTACATGTTCTTGTCTTCAGTAAGAATGTTGTTCCTTCTTTTTAAACATCAGCCCGGCATATTAAAGTGGTTCGCCCACTGTATGGCGTTGAGGTGTTCAATGGAGAAACCGCTCGCTTTGAGGTCGAGCTCAGCGAAGACGATGTGCACGGCCAATGGAAACTGAACGGAGAAGTCCTCAGTCCATCTGCTGTATGTCTCAGTTCCCAACATTTCTTCGTTCATTTAAATTTTTGATATTAGAATGAATTAACCACATAGTTATTCATTTTGAGCACTATGAAATTTTTGTTTACATTTTTGGTCCAACTGCAGGACATTGAAATTGTGGAAGATGGCGCTAAACACACTTTGGTGTTGTACAACTGCAAAATCCCAATGACTGGCGAGATTTCATTTAGCGCTGCCAATGCAAAGTGCGCTGCTAATCTCAAAGTGAAGGGTGAGCTTTAACTTCAAACATTATCTAGCGGTCCTATTTTTTTACTCCAAAATCTGCATTATCTTTTGGTAATGTAACAGTTATTTACAAAAATGGAGTAAACGCTTTTACGCACTGATTTTCCCAAAGCTCGCTTCATGCTTTGGAATTAAAACGATTTGTCTGAACCAACAGAGGTCCCGGTCTCGTTCATTACACCGCTGACAGACGTGCATGTCTATGAAAAAGACGAGGCTAGATTTGAACTGGAAATTTCTCGAGAGCCCAAGAGCTTCCGTTGGCTCAAAGGAACTCAGGAGTTGTCTAGCGATGACAAATATGAAGTTGTAACAGAAGGGACAAGGCACACCCTGATCATAAAATCTGCCCGATATGAGGATGAGGCCAAGTACATGTTTGAGGCTGAAGATAAAAGGACATCTGCAAAACTATTCATTAAAGGTAAAAGGGATACGATTGTTTAGATCTGGTAAACAGGTTGTATTTCCTGTGCTATTTAAAGGTGCACTGTGTAACTTTTCTGGTGGAGGATTTGCCACCTGACATGTTAATGGTCAAATCTATGGAGAAGCAAGCCTGTACATGGTAACAGTTCATGTTTTTTAAGGTGTTTTTGAGCTATTAAAAAACTGTGATTGAACAAATGCTAGGGAGATTTGTTTAAGGACAACTATCGAACACTCACGGCAAAGAAGAACAGGCAAAGAAATAACATTTCCTTGGTGACAAGCAAATAGCGGACCCCACCTTAGAAGTTACATAGTGCACATTTAAGATAACATAAAGCAGCTCATTGTTGCGCCTCGTCTTTCCCAACCCATTCACATTTAAATTTTCTGCAGTTGTCTAAACCTATGTGTCTGAAACTTGTATTTATCAGGTATCCGCCTCGAATTTGTCAAACCGATCAAAGACGTCACGGTGAAGGAGCGCGAGACTGCGGAGTTCACTGTGGAACTGTCCCACGAGAACATCCCTGTGGTTTGGTACAAGAACGGAGTCCGCCTACACCCCAGCAAAGTGGTGCACATGTCCGAGCAGGGCAAAGTTCACACACTGTCCTTCAAAGAGGTCACCATGGACGACACCTCCCTCATCAAGGTGGAGGCCATGGGGAAGACGTGCGAGGCCATGCTCACTGTGCTTGGTGAGTTCATTGGAATTAAGATTTTTTTTTTTTTGAGGTGCAAAGTGAGTTAGCACAGTTTATAGTTTCTGTTTTAAAAAGATATGTAAAGGTCCTATATTACGCAAAATTGATTCTTGTGAGCTTTAAGCCATGTTAGAATGTTGTTACCTCATCACAAACACACCTGGAGTTGTGTTCAGATACGGTTTACCTTTTGTTTAGTAGAGATGGGAAATTTCAGGGCTGAAATTATCCAAATGCTTTTAGTGAAGTGCTATGTACTGTATTTTCTGGGCTATTAGGCGCTCTGGATTATAAAGGTGCACTGTCATTAAATGGTCTATTTTCAAACTTTTTTCACAAATAAATTGCACCGGACTTTAAACGAAACACAACAGTTGGATGGGTCAGTGGGACTTTGTTTGTGGTGTTCACGGTGACTCTAGGCTTTGTTCAGTTGTGGCGTGTAGGGAGGGTGCTGTCTGGGACCAACGGATTGTCGTTGTGTTCGCAGTGACTCAGTTGTTCAGTTGTGTCTAGAAGTGGCACATTTCACTCGCTTTTTCAGATCGTTCCTCCGTTCCGTTCCTCGTCGGCGTGGAGTGATGAGTGTAGCTGTGGGTGTTTTTCACTGCGTGGTCGCTGTCTGCTGCGTGCGTGTTTGCGTGTTCTGCGGGTGGTGCGGCTTTGTAGTTTACTGAAGTCGTGCTGGGACACCCGAGTGGATTCGTGTATAGGGCGCTCTGGACTGCAATCATTTTTTGAGGGGGTTGGAGGCTTAAGAGCACGTCTAATAGCTCAGAAAATACGGTATAAATGTATCTAGCTTTCATTGCTGGTTGATTTTGTTTGCATCACTGTTCACACATTTCAGTGCACATCTAACTTTTTTCCCCTCCTCTTTTTACCTTTTCATCAGAGGGTGACCTGTACTTCACGGCCAAGCTCCAGAACTACACCGCCGTGGAGAAAGAGGAGGTGATCCTGATGTGCGAACTGAGCAAGGCCAGCGGCGAAGTCAAATGGTACAAAGACGGTAACGAAATCTACCCCTCGAAGAACGTTTTCTTCCAATCCGACGGCAGGAAGCGCATGCTGGTGATCAAGAAGGCTCGCAAGGGAGACATGGCAACCTACACCTGCGACTGTGGCACCGACAAAACCACAGCCGACCTGAGCATCGAAGGTAATACCTGCGGTCACCTCGGCCCCCGCCCCCTCATCATCGCCACTGGACAGAGGAATCAGGCCCCGCCCACTGAGATCACCAAAAGGCTGGCCTCCCACTGGCAGCCTCCATCTCTCTTGTCTGTCGTGTCTATCTCCTGCTGACAATCCAACTTCATACATTGAGATTGAGTATTACACATGAACAGAAAATGCTTAACGACATTTTACGAGACATGTTTGTGATTTATGTGAATGTTTCTAAGATGTCTGTGAAGTATTTATGTACATGTGATAATACTTGTGTGTTGTTATCATTTCATATTCATCATGAAGTATCAGAATAAGACATTCTTAATTAATTCATAAATAATAATAGCGTGGACTTGTATTGCACTTAACAGAGATGACTAGTGCTATGGTAGGCCCATTCATTCCCTCTCCATACTCTTTGGTGGTGGTAAGATGCTTTTGTAGTCACGTTTGCTCTGAGGCTGACTGACAAAAGCGAGGTTGCTTATCTGTGCGTAAGACCTCTTCAACAACCACCAGTCACTCTTTCACACCCCCACACATTCCAGTTAAGTTAAACCAAGTTACAAGATCACAATACCACCTTTTACCCCAAATTCATTTCCAAATTAACTTGTGCATGTATGTAAAGCTAGATTCATGCAGCATGTATTTTGTAACATTTAAAAAACAGTGTGAGGATAGAAACAAACAGGATCAACTTCACTAAACATTGAGTAGGAACCATGTATGCAGTTGGATTTTCATCAGGAAATATGTTCTGCTCGTTTGCAAATTGTAAGTCGCTCTACCATAGAGTGGCGGCTACTGGCCAAATTGTCCCGTCTTGTCCTTGTCTTATATATGTCTTTATAATGTTATTGTTACAAACTGAAAACCGCTTTTGTCACTGTAATGTGTTTTGACCCGTGTAACTCCTGCCCCGTGGTGTTTGTGTGTGTAATTAACATGTGATCACACCTCTGCAGAGCGCGACATCAAGGTGTTGAAGCCTCTCTACAGCGTGGAGGTCACAGAGACAGAGTCTGCCAAGTTTGAGATCGAGATCTCCGCTGACGATCTGCACGCCACATGGAAACTGAAGGGCGAGACGCTCATGCCATCTGCTGTAAGACTAAACAAAGCTTTTTTTTTATCACTTTCAATAATTAGCTGAATTCACTGAGCATTTAATGTAATGTTATAACAGCTGTGCGAGGAATAATTTAAACTACAAATATAATCTTAAACTGGAGGAGTGGAGCTAAATGATGAAGTGTAGACTGTATGATGGAGTGTGTGTTTTTTGTTTCATAGGATGTTGAAATCAAAGAGGAGGGCGCTCACCACATTTTGATTCTCTACAACTGCCGCAAAGACATGGCCGGAAGTGTGGACTTCTCTGCAGGAAACGCTAAGTCTACAGCTCAGCTCAGGGTCAAAGGTGAAAGAAATTACTTGCTAATAATATTTTGCTACATATTTAACATAAGCAAAGAACCTAACCATGTTTAAAGTTTGACTTGTGTCATTAATGTAAAACAGTTTGGCCACAGTAGAAAATTGAGTATTTTTAGTCTGTATAAATATTCTAGGTTTATATACAGGCTTGATGCTTAGACGGAGATGAAATGAAATTATGTGGTGAGCAGATAATAACTGACAGCTCAGTGATTAAACAGACTCTCATCTCATGGTCCAGCTGTCAGCAGCCTGTCTTTAACTGCCTGTAAAGGGGCATTAATTCTGGCATGTGAAGCAGTCTGTTGTAAATACTTGATACCACTTGTTAATCCAGTGCGACACTAAACTACTACAACATGTCAGCGTTACAACACAGCCTCGTGCTGTGATGTCAGAAGTACTGTCTTACATTGGGTAACTTCACATTTTTCTATTCCAAGAGAATTGCAGGTCTTTGATTGACAGTAACAGACTGTTATAGCACTGATGGGTTTGGCTGTGGTGGGCTCCCAGCCAATCAGGCGACTCGGTTATTTTAGAAGGCGCATGCCTTTTCTAGAACAGGTTTCCAGTGATTGGCAATGGGGCAGGACGTGACCCCTGATTTTACTGGTTTGTACCGGCCCTATACATATTCCATCATTGAATATGCTAATGAGATAACCCCCCCAGGACCAAGTTTCACTGTGGCTGTCTTTAGTTGGCCTGAGGGCTTCAGCGGCCTGCCTTCAGCTCAACCGAACCATGCGGATTAACCATTAAGGATTAGCCGTTTCCCTGAGGAGCCTTTTGGGATTTACTGACTTGTTTTGGGTGAGGAGCTAAACATGTCTTCTCCCCAATCCAAAGCCCGGGTGATCGGCCTGAAGAGGCCTCTGAACGATGTGACCGTCATCGCCGGGGAGACCGCTACCTTTGAGTGTGAGCTGTCTTACGAAGGCATCGCTGTCGAGTGGTTCCTTGGGGGTACTAAGCTGGAACCAAGCGACAGAGTAAGTCCACGTCCATGCACTTCCACCATCACACATGACTTCACTTCCTGCACCCACCACTAGAGACACTATCCCTCATTGATGCATGCTGTGGTTGGTGTTAGGCCCTCTATTGTTTGTCCCATCACAACAGAACAACATGTACAGCAGTGTCTTCATATAAGGGCCTGCTGCGGGCCCAGATGCCAGCGGAGCATACGATCCTGGTTTTGAGATAACGCAGGAGGGAGACTTTTTGCCCTGCTAGCGTTTCTCCTGGGTTATTTTTAACAGGAGGTTGAAGCACTGGGCAGGTGGCAACAAGAGCAATTTGACAGCTTCACTTTTTAAATCACCTACCGTGCTGTAAATGTGATTTCCTTGTGGTACTGTAGTCAAATTAAGACATGAAAAGAGTCTGGCAATAAAATCTAAGTGTAAAGGAGGATTAGGTGATTATTAGCTGTAACCTGAGACCTTGTGATTTCTACTGTCATTTGATACGTGCCTTACTTTGTGTAAGTGCTACATTCAAAGGGCTGTTTTGTAAAAGCATAGCAAAAAAAATAGCAAATTGAAGCTATTAGGTAATCAGGTTAAAGTTAGGTTAAAGACCTTATAGCTAAAATGCTCAGCTAATTTACATGAACATATATTTTTATGGTGAAATACCAATTGAGAATGTCCAAAGAATTTATCGCTGCAGAGAAATATTGCAATAAATGATAATGCTGAATCTACTGACACTGACAGAAACTAGAATAATCCCAGTAAACACGTTTTTAAAAGACATGAGCTGTAACAAATAAATTGCAGAAATAACCAATAATTAGCCACAGAATTTAGTTTTTCAACCCTCTAATGCTCAAATCGTACAACAAAAATAACAAAAAAAAAGGAAAGAAAATTGATAAAAGTATAAAAATGAAAATTACTGAGCCCCAACTTTCATATATTGAACGATAAATCAATATCGTGTGTTATAATTATGGTGACAGACTTACAAAGAAGTGTTAAATGCAGATAAAAACAAACCGCAATTCTGGATAGTAGAAAATCTGAGCCAGTTAGTAGCCTTATAAAACTATTTGTTTGTGTGAGAGAGCAATAAAAGTTTTACAAGCTCGTCAAACAAGGACTATTAAAAACTTTCTAGGAATAAAATACAAAAACAATTGCTTTATATTTGTGTTAAATTTGGTTACAACACATATGCAGTTGAATATTTGAGGTTTAAAATCCAGTTGGAACTATTAAATCTTTTGCTTGTGTCATTGAATTGCACTAAACTGTTGTTTAAATATAACTATAAAGCTTACTGTCCACATTGTTTAGCTCTATTTAAGGGAATTATCTCGTTTTACATCGGATTCCCTTTGAGCGAGCCTCAGTGTTGTAAAATACAGTGAGTGGATATGTGTAAAAGCAGCGAGGTGTCAAGGGTCATGTGGTTTAAATCTGTTGAAGGAGAAAGCAGCTGCTAGAGTTCTTTTTAGCTGTCACGACTGGGCCTGCTCAACTTTTACACATGTAACTCTAATTGATTTCAGTTGTAGCAGGTTTTTAGAGTGTCGGGAAAATCGGAAAGTTTGAAATATTTGTAGAGCTGCAGAAAAAAACGGAAAGCTGATTTTTGTGGGTATCTTTCTAATCTTGACTTGTGCAGAGTGAAGGTTTATTCTAGTTCAAAAATGCCTCTCAAAAAACTTTAAAATATGTGTATTATTTAGCTTGAATTGAGATTTTATACTCTGCTAGTGTTGATTTGACTTGGCTGCAAACAGGTGGCATTCAGCTGAACCTGCAGGCAATTTTATGAGGTCCATAAAAGTTCCTAAAATGAAAGTTATTAAAATAAAAATGAAAAAGGTTATTCTTATGACGATCATATTATTATAATCGTGTAGAGCATTGTTTCCCAAAGACTGAGTCACGATCCTCAGAGATTTTTTTTTTTTTTTGGGGTCACTTTGTCACGATCTGCTTGTAGTTCTGACACTGATATGCGTGTTGCGCTCTCCTCCTGCCCCCCAGACTGGAACACGCTACAAAAAAAAAAGCAGACAGGTCCACCTATCGCATTAGAAACGTTGAAATGTTAACACGTTTTGTATCATTTCTAATCCTTTTGTAATTATTTTATTGACTGTTTTGTTCCGATATTGCTGGTTCAACTGAATGTTAAAAAGAAAAAGAAATTAATGTCCAAATAGGCGACTTATGGATCCTTTTATTGCTGTTTTTCGGGTAATATTTGAGTAATACTAATTGTTCAGAGAGACACAATCACTCAGTCAACAATAAAATATCCTCATTAATGTTCAATAATGCTCAAATCCACCTTTATTATGTGATTTATGAATAATGTCTTTTGACTTGGATCGTGAAGATTTCTGACTTTTAAAATATGAGTCCCCAGAAAAAAAGTTTGGGAAACACTGGTGTAGAGTAAAGCTTAAAAAATACTGAAATATGTGTATTATTTAGCTTTGAAATTTGCTTATGATTGGTCTGAGCATAGATTTTTTTCAAATAAACATGAAAAAGCTTTTTGTAGTAACTATCACAGCAGTTTAACACGGTAAAGTTTTATTCTAGTCCAAAAAAGTCCTCCTAAAAAAACTGAAAAATTTGTTTTATTTTGCTCTAAAAATGTACTTATAATTAGCCAGAACAGACTTCCTAAAATGAAAATGAAAAAGCTTATTCTTTTAACTATCATATCATTATAATTGTGAGGAGTATAGTTTTATTCTAGTCTAAAAATTTCCCTCCAAAAAACATTGAAATATGTATTAATTTGAGATTTTTTATTCTGTTGAACCTGCTACTGTTGATTTGTCTTGGCTGCAAACCGGTGGTATTCAGTTGAACCTGCAGGGAAATTTACAAGGTCCATACAAGTTACTAAAGGCGACAAAGAGTCACATAACAATTTCATTCTCAAAAACAACAGGTTTGGTGTGAGAGCTTAAATTTTATGTTCTGTTTGATTGTAAAAGAACCCGTCTAAACTACCTTGATTTTGCCTGACAGGTGGTGCTGAAGGCGGACGGTAATGTCCACAGCTTGACTCTCCGTAACGTTCAGCTGCACGAGGCTGGGCTGGTTAAACTCGTCGCTAAAGATTTCACAACAGAGGCCACTCTCACTGTCAAAGGTAAGAGTCAATACAAAAAAAAATGTACCACAGCATGACTCTATCTTACATTTATACAATTATAGGTGGTTTTATAGCTCAAAATCTTAGAAAAACAGGCATTCTGACTGTGAGCTGGGTTGCCTCTACATCTGATTGAAAGGTTTAATATCATACACTGAAACATTCTAGACCAGGGGTGTCAAACTCAAATTCACAAAGGGCCAAAATCAAAAACTGGGACTAAGTCGTGGGCTAAACTAAATATTTATTGCAAAATTTCTGCATGTTTTCTCTTTTTTTGAGGTATGTAATGTTAAACCTTTTCTTAAATTAAATGTTTAATAATAGTTTTGCTTAAACATTGAATCCAGAACAAGCAGAATATAAAATAATAGCCAAATTTGATCTGTAGTTTGACATGTCTGTTCTAGACAAAGCAATAACCTCTCCATGGAGACAAAATCAGGTGGCTGATTCACCAGAAAAGCTACACAATGCACTAGGAATGTTTCACAGTATGGCATTCAACTTTTCTATCTTCATGGAGACCAAACCAGACCAAATTACAGGTCAGATTTGTGGAGCGGCGACCCTGTTCACAGTCAGAATGCCTGTTTTTCAAGGTATTTTTGAGCTATAATTGAGTAAATGTAAGGTAAATGTAAGGCTCTTGGTCTGAATGAAGAACCTAATAACATAAACTTAAGGTAAAGCTGTTTAATGTCATACTGTGGAACATTCCAGGCAGAGAAATTACATATCCATAGAAACAGGTGATGGACGTTCCTCCAGCCCTGTTGTCCATCACAACATTTTCATAATTAACTGTACCAAAAACTGTGATTGCAGATAAATGTACTATAATTGCACTAACACTATGAATTATTTGTCTCCAGAGCCACCAGTAGAGTTCACAAAACCACTGGAGGACCAAACAGTAGAAGAGGAAGCCACCGCGACACTCGAATGCGAAGTGTCCCGAGAAAACGCAGAGGTCACGTGGTTCAGAGACTCACAGGAAATCAGGAAGACCAAAAAATATGAGATCTTAGTGGACGGCCGCAAACGCACACTGCTCATTCACGACTGCACTCTGGACGACTCCAGGACCTACACCTGCGACGCCAAAGATTTCAAAACCTCCTGCTTCCTCAATGTTGAGCGTGAGTGCCTCCGGAAGTTAAAGAGATTTCGTGTTACATTGTTTGATTAATTTTATTTTGAGCTTACACATACAACACATATTTGCACACATATAACTAAGACTAGGCTCGGTTAGTACCCGAATGTGAGGCCGCCGGGAATTGCTGGAATAAAAAAATCAAACTGTTGTTGCGTCCCAAGAAGTAGGCCTGTCACCCTAACACAATATATCACTGCAGAGAAATATATAATAATAAAATGATAATGCTGAATCTACTGACGCCGACTGACAAGTAGGATAATCATTAATCATTAGAATAACCAGTTTTTAAATAGACAGTATCATTAAAATATGAGCTGTAACAAATAAATTGCAGAATGAACCAATAATTAGCCACAGAAATTTGTTATTCAACCCTCTACAGCTCAAATCCGACAACAAAAATAACCAAAAAAAAAGGAAAGAAGCTGCAGAGAAAAATATAATAATAAAATGATAATGCTGAACCTGCTGCCACTGACACAAAGTTGGATAATCCCAGAAAAAACAGTTTTTAAATAGACATTATCATTAAAATATGAGCTGTAACAAATAAATTGCAGAATGAACCAATAATTAGCCACTGAAATTTGTTATTCAACCGTCTACAGCTCAAATCTGACAACAAAAAAACAAAAAAAAGGAAAGAAAATGACACATGATAGATACTGAGCCCCAACTTTCTAACTAAAACTGTTGATGTGTCCTTAGGCAAGACTCTTTACCTATATTGTCTTGTATGAAAGTGGTTTGTGTGTTGGTGGTGGCTGGACGGCCGCAGATTGGCAGCCTCGCTTCTGTTAGTCTGCCCTGGGCGGCAGCTGTGGCTACAGTAGTATCTTACCACCGGTGGGTATGGAGTGAATGAATAATGCACCAAAGTGTAACATACACACACACCTATGTTCATTCATAACTATACAAACTTTTGAAATGATTTACAAAGTCCATTATAGCTCGAAATGGAGGAGTAATAAGGACAAAAACATATAAACTCACAATTAAACCTGTCACGGTAATTACAAAATGGCTTTGCTGTTCAATATATGAAAGCTGGAACAATATATTTTGGGGCTCAGTATCTTGTTTGCTTGCCATTTTTAATTAATAACGTGAGATTTGATCGGCAGAAGGTAGAATAGATTAGCCAGGCTGGTGCCATCTAGTGCCTCCGTTCAATTTCATTTCTCGCCAGCGACTAGGTCAGGAATTAAAATACAATAGACGCTTCGCAAAAACCCCAGAAGTGCAAATTTGGGCACCAGCCAATCAGCGAAGAGCCATATATTCAGTGTTACCAATGATTTTCAAGATCGAGGATTTAAAGCCGGAATAAAGAGAATGTTTGGTGAATTTCATCAAGAGGAAAGACGTTATTGTCCTTCTTCCAACGGGATTTGGAAAAAGCTTAATTTACCAGTTAGATAAAAAAAGTTAAATAAAAAAAGTACCCGCCTACAGTCGAGCGAACGAATTCTAACACTGCGAGGTCAGATGGTTTCTACGAAGTAAAATCGGCTGACGAACCAAGCTAAGAATAAATAACTTCCAGGGCTAATTATTAGTTAATTCTGCTTTTATTTATCTTTATTTGTTGCAGCTTATGGCTTTTATTGTTGTAGTATATTTAAAAATATGTTCACTGGGATTATCCTGCTTTGTGTCAGTGGCATAAAGTAGATTCAGTATTATCGTTTATGGCAATATTTCCCAAAATTTCCCCAAAAATGTCAAAATTTGTTATTGTGACAGGCCTAATCCCATCCTAAATTACCTTGCATCATGTGCTTATAGTTATTTGGCTCATAACTTTTTGATTAACTATGATATTAATATGATATTTTACTCTTGACTGATAAACATGGACCTCAGTTTTTGCCAAATGCCAGTAGATTAATTTAACACATTCCCATAAAACATTAAGGCCAGTTAAATATTATGCATCGCCCCAAAACTATATTTTCTACTATAATATGAGGCATATTTTCTTTTATTTAGATTCGATCCTCATCCAGAGATATATTTATTTTATATTTTTGTTATTTTGTTCCACATTGTACAGCAAATAATTAGAAATAATGTTAAAACCCAGGGCTAGTAAGTTGTGAGGAAAGACTAGCCACAGAATAAAATAAATAAATATGTGCAGACCTCCTTTTGTAACTACCTGCGTTTTGTTTCAGTCATCATGTTCAATTTTACTTATTTTTTTCCCCTCCTAGCTCCACATGTTGAGTTCTCTAAGCCGCTCCATGACGTCGAGGTCAAAGAGAAGGAATCCGCCAGGTTTGAATGTGAAGTGTCCAGAGAAAATGTCAAAGTAAGTCTTCTGAAAAACGTCAATACCGAGCGACGAACTGTTCTGTTTTCTTGACGTAGCCGATCATTGTTTGTACTCTAGGTCCGCTGGTTCAAAGACGGAAGTGAAATCAGGAAGGGAAAGAAGTACGAGATTATTGCACAGGGTCGCCAACACATTCTCGTCATCCACAAGTCCGTGTTCGATGACGAGGCAGAATACGAATGTGACGCCAAGACCTCCAAGTCCTCCGGCATGCTCACTGTCGTTGGTAAGAATTTGAATTCAGTTTCAGTTCAGTTCATCTTTATTCTGGAGTCATGGTTGATTTTTAAAACCTTATTATTATTTTGTAAATGTATTTTAATATTTAACAAAAGCAAAACAAAAACAGACAAAAAAAAAAAAGACATAACTAGATAAAACTACGCACAACACTCCACAAACTCTGCACCAAAAACAGAAACTACCAGGCAATCAGACATCGAGAGCCGCTCAAATCCACTTCCGACAAAGCACCCAGAAAAGGTGTCTATGCCTGTTCAATAGGGATACAACGATATGGCTTTCCCACGATTCGATACGTATCTCGATATCAGTTCAATTTCCATATATTTTAAGATGCAAAAAAAAAAAAAATCTCATGTAACAATGCATACAATACATTACAGTACAACTATAGTTTATATGTGAAATGTTTTAGCTCATTTGGTTCAGTGATTTACAGCATTTTTATGGGGTGAAAATAAGAATAGTGCTTTCTCAGGCTATTTTATAATTCACTACACTGTTGCTTTTCCTCTTGAGTCTCACTGGGTGCTTCTTCCCGCAGCAACAGCAGCTCCTCCCACACTGCCCCCTACAGTCTGTGCTCTTAACAGACACACTGCACTCCCCCCTTTCTGAACACTGAAATACGTTAAATTACATAGAAATGTCTCAACGGACCGTTTTCTGAGTAAAGTTATGAGTTAGAGTTTGAGAAATAGATCATGTATATCTCCGGTGTGGATAGGAGCGCCTCTGATTGAAGTCGATGTGAAGCCAAAAGTGATTCTAAAGTATTTAAAAGTTAATATCTTTGTCATTCCTGGGTCTATCAACGTAAAATAAAAACAGACTGAAAGATAAAACCCACCTCTGTTAGATTATCTCAGCTCTAAGTCCCCTAAATCCCTATGGAGCTGTTTTCTGCTGCATCTGTGGAGGATGCTGCCGTAACCGTTTTCCTTTCGGACCAAAATAGCAGCACAGTATCGATCGAACATGTGTATCAAATCGTGAGACCAGTATCATACGATTCAACATTATATCAAATATCGTTGCATCCCTTTTGTTCAAAGTCAGGTTGTCTCCCCCTTGTGGAGTGCAGAATAACAAAGAATAACATTCATTAATCCAGCGCAGTTGTTCTTATGCGTCAAAAGAGGCTAAAATAAGATTTTTGTCGAGTTTTGAAAGTTTCTTTTTTCAGCCTAAGAAGGTTGTAACTGTTAATGGTGAAGATTATAAGAACAAGAAGTGTAACCGATAAAACTGATCAAATAAATTTAGTTTTACAGTAATATTTTAAGTACAAATTGAAAGTATGTTTAAAATTACGCTTAAAAGTACAACCACTCAAGTCAGTTGCTGTCTCTACAGATTAGGTGGTGAGATTTACAAAGAACCTCCAGACTAGACTAACTCATAGCAGGAGGTGTAATTGATAAAACTGATCAAATAAATGTAGTTGACAATAATATTCCAAGTACAAATTAAAAGTCATTTGGAGTATGTTTAATATGACACAAATTACAACCACTCAAGTTAATTTCTGTCTCTGCAGAGGAGGAGGCGAGATTTACAAAGAACCTGGCCAACGTGGAGGGCACAGAGACCGACAGCGTGAAGTTGATCTGTGAGGTGTCCAAACCCAGCGCCGACGTGACCTGGTACAAAGGAGACAAGGAGCTGCCCGAGGGCGGCCGCTACGAGCACATCGTGGACGGAAAGAGACGCATCCTGCTCATCCAGGACCTCAAACTGGACGACGCCGGGGAATATAACTGCAGACTCAGCCCCAGCATCAAAACCTCAGGGAACCTTAAGATTAACGGTATGTGTTTAAAGGCCCATTTTACTCTATTCTGTGATCTGTTATAATGTGGTTTCCTCATTACAAACAGACCTGGAGTTGTGTTTTGTTTCATTCACACATGTTTAACACACAAGCCCTGCGGATTTAGGCTTTACTTCTTCTCTCAAACAGAAAACAATCTGCTCCACTTTTGTCATGTCATTTGGTTATACGGGAAGTGCAGGAACTGTTTTTAAACTCCATACGTCTTCACTAGAATCATTTGGATGATTTCCAACCTGTAATTACCAATCTCTACTGAACAAAAGGTAAAAGGTAGCTGTTACCACTTCACGACATTACAAGGTGGAACAGAACATTTTGAACATGTAGACAGACTAATAACAAAGAGTTACTCAAACATGTGTGAATGAAACTAAACACAACTCCAGGTCTGTTGTTGAGGGGATAATAACATTATAAAATGGCTTAATGCTCATAAGAATCAATTTTGTGTAACGTAGGGCCTTTAAAATTATTAAAATTAGCTCCAGTACATCCAGAACGCTGCAGCTCGGGTCCTGACTCGAACTATGAGCACATAAGTCCTGTGCTCAGGTCTCTGCACTTTCCCCTGTGGCTCAGAGACTTTAAAGCAGCTCTGCTTGTGCACAAATCTTTCCATGGCCGAGCACCAAAGTCCATCTGTGACATGTTAGTGCCATATGAACCATCTCACACTGTGAGGAGCTCAGGGCCCGGCCTCCTGCTGGTGCCCAGAGTCACGACTAAACACGGGGAGTCAATGTTTCAGATTCATGCAGCTAAAATCTGGAACAGTTTTTCTGAACATGTGAGACAGACTCTACTTTGACACTGTTTAAATCCAGGCTCAAAACAGTTCTGTTTAGCTGCAAATCACTGAAAGCCATTCCATACTCTTCTCTCTAAATTAATGTTTCTCTCTCTCTCTTTTTTAATTTTATGATGATTATTTATGTTTTTATTTGTTTTTATTGTGATTTTAATGTATTTGTTATTCCTTAAAGCACTTTGAATTACTTTGTGTACGAATTGTGCTGTACAATTAAACTTGCCTTGCCTTTAAATTAAAACCAATTGAGATTTAAATTGTTGCATTTTCTTTCTTTCTTCAGAACTGGCTGCCGAGTTCATCGCCAGGCCACAGAACCAGGAGGTGGTGGAGGGTCAGAAGGCAGAGTTCACCTGCACCGTCTCCAAGGAAACGTTTGAAGTCAAATGGAAGAAAGGTGACAAGGAGCTTGAAGCCGGTGACAAATACCAGATGGTCAGTGACGGAAAGAGGAGAACGCTGGTCATCAAGAACGCCGACCTGAAAGACGAAGGCGCATACACGGTGATGATCGGAACAACCAGAGCCAGTGCTGACCTCACTGTGCACGGTAAGACAGGCCTGAGACTTACACTTATACTTATGGACATAGGAGGGTAGAATAGTACAGTTAATTTAATATAATAACGTTCAGACTGCAGCTTGAAGTGACCCAAATCCGATTTTTTGGCCTCTATGTCACCTGTATCTGATCTTTTAATGACAGTCTGAACGACACAGATCCAATTTTTTCAAATTTAACCCAGGACACTTGGATATGTGCTCCTGAAACCGATACATATCCGATCTTTTGACGTGCGCCTTCAGTCTGAACGGCCAAAGCGCATTCATTCGACCTACACGTTATCAACAAGCCACAAACGTCACTATTCTGCGCTGAAGTAGGTGAAAATTGTTAATGAACTCCGTGTCACTGAAGCGAAGCACATCACCACTCACCACTCTTGGCTACGTCTCCACATCCACACGTTCCTTTCAACGGACGTCGCTGCCACTGCCCCACAAAACGCCACGGCCAAAAACCTCGTCCTTCTCCTTCTCAGTCTCCTCTTTAAAACAAGTAAGTTGTACATGTTCTGGCTCCGGTACAAGAGAAACATACAAGTCGCATTTAATTGGAAATGTGAACGACCTCGCAAAAACATAGGATTTCACAAAAAAATCTGAATTGAGCGTTAAGCCCTGCAGTCTGAACGTAGCCCTAGTATCAGTTTTAGGAGCACATATCCAAGTGGGCTGGGTCACATTTGAAAAAATCGAATCTGTGTCATTAAAAGATCAGATACGGGAGCATAGGAGCGAAAAAATCAGATTTGGGTCACTTCAGGCAACAGTCTGAATTTAGCCTATAGCTAAATAGTTTTCATCTGCAGTCCCTGATTTATAGAAATTAATTATTATTATTATTTATATTATTATTATTATTATTATTATATTCAACAGTAAGATAAATTCACACTGTCCACTCAGACACAAACACACACACACACAAACACACACACCCCATATCACAGAGCAAAGCATTACCCTGCCACACTGTGCTCCAAACCAATGCCTGCCTGTGTCCCCTGCAGAGAAACTGAAGGTTATCACGCCGCTGAAGGACACCGAGGTTCTGGAGGGGCAGGAGATCGTCCTGAACTGTGAGGTGAACTCGGAGGGAGCCAAGGCCAAGTGGCTGAAGAACGACGAGACCCTCTTCGAGAGCAGCAAACACGTGATGGTTCAGCGCGACAATGTCTTCTCCCTGAGGATCAAGGACGCCCAGAAGGGAGACGAAGCCAACTACAGCATCAACCTGACCAACCAGAGAGGAGAGCAGGCCAAGAGCTCTGGCAACCTCACTGTCAAAGGTCGGTTTTGATTTAAAGGGTCTGTATTACACTATTGTCTGATCTAGGGCTGCATTTCATTATGAAGTTGTCGATACGATACATACCTCGATACCGTGCACTTTTGATTCAGTGCAATATATTTCAAAACAATTCGATACAGTTCAATAAAAAATAATGTCTTAAATAATGGCTGTGACACTAAAAGTCTTTGTTAAACCACTTTTTTATGCAAAGTTAATATGAAACGTAAGTATTTTAATCATCAAAACAGTGAAAATGTCAAATGTGTCACATAAACTAGTTTCTTTCCTCTAAACAAGCAACAAAACTGTAGCTCTGTAACAAAATAATTTAGTAAAATATACCCAAAAATACTCTTGGCGATATATCAGTACAGCAGCCCATGATATCGATACTGTATCAGCACATTAAACGATACGATATATTGATATTTTTGCACACCCCTAGTCTGATCTATGTTATAACGTTGTTTCCTTGTAACAAACAGTTGTTCTCAGTAATACAGGAAGTGCTCCACTGTTTTTAAACTCCATACACCTTCACTAGAATCATTTGGATAATTTCAACCCTGAATTTGCCAATCCCTATCGACAAAAGGTAGTTGTGTAATGTGAAAACTACCAATACATGACCTCACACGGTGGAACAGAGCATTTTGAGCTTTGGAGACAGACTAATAATGCAAGAAAATTCAACCAAAACACAACTTCAGGTCTGTTTTTGAGGTGGTAATAGCATTATAACATGGTTTAACTCTTTCCCCCATGAAGACGACATTTGACGACCCCCCTGAACCCTTAATGACGACTTTTGACACCTCCGCCGTATCACTAAAGACGTGATTTGACGACCTTTAGAAATGGCTCGGTTTTTCACATTTAAACAGAGACTGTGATCGGTGGGGGCCACTACAACCCACACTAGACTGACCATTAGGATTCAAGGATATGTTTTCGCCGATTTTTTCCGAAGTTAATCGAAGTAGTGACGATGGTAGCTTCCGGAAAAAACACAACACGAAACACGTGTAATGGAAAGATCGCGCTGCGGCGCACAGTTTTAGAAATAATGAGGAGCGGACGTATTTTATGGATAAGTTTAGAGAAAGTGACTTTTATAGATTTCAAAGTGATGATGAGGGTGATTATAAAGTGGAAAACAGCGACAGCGACGGACTTACACAGAGTGAAACTTATGAAGATGAGAATGCCGCTGATGCGTCTGTCCAAACAAACTATCCGGGCTTTATACTTGATTATGAACCAAAATTGCCCTGAAATCACTCGTGGAAGTCTGTTTTCTTTTATGCAGTTATGCTCTATGGGCAGCCCTAGTAACATATGTATGGGTTGTTCCTAGTAGGCGTCCAGGGGGGAAAGAGTTAAAGCTCACAAGAGTGAATTTTGTGTGATATAGGATCTTTAAAAGGCAATTTTGATCCTGTGATAATGTTAAAAGTGCACTTTGTACTGTTTATACGTAATCCCACTGGGTGAAAAACACAAGAATAATATAAAACAACTTTTGCTTTCTTCTTGATTCAGAGGAGAGCCTGAGAATCATCGTCCCTCTGGAGGATGTCGACACCCAAGAGAAGAAGACCGTCAGCTTCTCCTGCAAAGTCAACCGTCTCAAGGCCACGATCAAGTGGATGAAGGGCGGCGAGGAGATCACCTTCAGCAAACGCGTGGTCTACAAAGTGGACAAGGACAAACACACGCTCACCATCAAAGACTGCCTGCTGGCCGACGAGGGCGAGTACACCGCCGTGGCCGGGGAGAGCAAATCCACGGCAGAGCTCATCATCAGCGAGGCTCCCACAGACTTCTCCGTGCACCTCAAGGACCAAACGATTACAGAGTTCGAGGACGCAGAGTTCACGTGCAAACTGACCAAAGACAAGGCCGACGTCAAGTGGTACAGGAACGGACGCGAGATCAGAGAGGGACCCAGGTGAGATAATCATATTCTTGGGTTTCAGATGACATCACAACATTCTATAGGGCCATATTAAAAGTGGAATTTATGTTGTTATGATGATGTTTTTTGTTATAATACAGTGAGTTCTTGAGTCTAGTCACTCTTAGAAATGATCAGGTTCAACATTTGTGAATTTACCTTTGTAACCAATAGGAAAATCTGTCTCATCATCACACTCTAGAATTTGAATACCAATAATAGGAATTAGAGATGTAACAATAATCAAAATATCGTGATATCGGTTCATCAAAGTTCTCATAATAATATCGTGGACCATCAAAATATATCGAATTACAAGTCTCTTTGCTTCAGTTAAAAGTTATGGTGCAGCAATGGCTAAAAAAGACAGAGGGAACTACATAGACCATGATCCTTTGCTCCATTTCAGTGCAAATTTCAAGAAGAAATAACAGTTCTAAGCACTTTTAAGTCTTATTCCTTTGGATTAAGTCTTGTCAAGGCATTTTAAATTTTGTTTTTGTTCACTTCCATAACATATCGCAATAGATATATATCATGAAAATAGCGTACAGAGTGATTTGGATATTGTTACTTCCCTAATCGTGAGCTTTCCCACGATATCGCAATAAATATCGTACTGTGAGGTTCATACTGTGATGATATCGTATCGTGAGACTTGGATATCGTTACACTCCTAATAGGAATGTAAGAATATCGAAATCTTTTATTACAATATTTTCACAATATGCATCTCATGGTACAATATTTTTAGAATATGCTACTTTTCTGTTATAATCCAAATAATTAAGATTTAAAAGTACTTAATACGGCTATTTCAACATGTAGATCGGACTGACACAGCGCAAAGAATCATGGGATATGTAGTTTTCTCTCATTTCTAGCTGCTGCTGCACCATAACAATAAATTTAAGCAAATAAACTTGTAATTTGATATATTGTGATGACCCACGGTATTACTGTGAGACTTTTGACGATATGATATCACAATATTTCGGTTATTGCTACATCCTAGAGTCATATAACGACGATGAAATCTGGCAATGTTGAGAAATCTTGACATTATTACTGAAAATGTTCAAGAACAAGAAGGATTTATTTTTATTTTTAGCACAAACGTCAGATAGAACTAAAAGATAATTCTAAAGATTTTTTACTATTTTTCAACAGTTACATTTTTATCTGTTTTGAAATATTATAAAATGTATTGTTTCAACAGATATAAATTTGAGAAAGAAGGCAAAATCGCCACCCTGCGCATCAAAGAGTGCCGACCTGACGATGAATGTGAATACGCCTGCGGTGTGGACGAGAAGCGATCCAGAGCCAGGCTGTTCGTTGAAGGTAAATTAAAAATGTTACACTATTTTTCAATCTATGTTATAATGTAGTTTCCTCATCAAAAACTCCAAAACAAAACACAACTCCAGTTATGTTTTTGAGGAGGTAACAAAATTATAACATGATTTAAAGCTCACAGGCGTCAAATATTCATAAACCTTGTACAATCAAATACTTTTCATGCTGCAGAAACCCCAGTGGAAATCATCCGACCGCCTCAGGACATTTTCGAGCCCCCGGGTTCAGACGTCGTGTTCGAGGTGGAGCTCAATAAGGACAGAGTGGAGGTGAAATGGCTGAGGAACAACATGACGGTGGTGCAGGGAGACAAGTACCAGATGATGAGCGAGGGCAAAGTCCACAGGCTCCAGGTGTGTGAGATCCGACCCCGCGACCAGGGAGAGTACAGAGTCATGGTGAAAGACAAAGACGCCAAGGCCAAGCTGGAACTGGCAGGTAAGAAACTGGGTGGAAATTATATAAAATAACCTTAAGACTTTCTCACTGTAATCTGGCTACTTGGGAAGTGCTTGGAGTAAATGGTTTAGACAATAAATTAGTAAAACAGGATTTTCAGGATATTCTGTAATATATTTTTAATAAATTAATAATACGCCTAATAATACACTTAGCAATTTGTAAATATTGTAAATATATTGTAAATATAACTTTATTTTGAAGACTTCAGTCATTATATTTAGATATTTAGACTTTATTTGATTAAATAAAAATATGACTAATCAAAAAAATAATAATAATTTTTCGAGTTTTTGTCTAAATAAATAAAACAACATAAAACAATATTTTTTGGGCAATCACAAAACCTTCAGGAAATCATTCTGACTTTTTACTGATCTTGCTAAAAAACAACATGTATAATACAACATGTATAAAATGATCAAACTATCTATATAAAGTTTGATAATTTTATACATATTGTAATGATCATTTTATAAATATTGTAATAGTTTTTTTGCAAGATCAATAAAAAGTCAGGATGATTTTTTTAAGTATAATATATGTAGAGTCATTCTTGTAGAGCCAAAGTTAATTGTGTAATGATCTGTGTTCCAGCTGTGCCTCAGATCAAGACCACAGACCAGAGCTATGTGACCGACGCTGGTAAACCCATCGTCATGGCAGTGCCCTACAGCGCCTACCCTCAGGCCAAGGCCGACTGGCTCTACAACAACCTGAGCCTGCCCAAAGACAACATCTTCACCTCCTCCGACCGCACCGAGTACCGCCTCAAGGACCCCAAGAAGTCCGACCAGGGACGCTACAAGATCACCATCAAGAACAAGCACGGAGAGGGAGAGGCTTTCATCAACCTGGATGTCATTGGTGAGGACATCCAAGATTTTTTGTAGTAATTAATGTTTTTTAAATCTTCAAAACTTAAATCTTCTCCATTGTTAACACACACCCCCTCCTCCCACGGGCTAAGAACCACTAACTAAAAAAAAAGTGAGACCGGGGTGGGTTGGGGGATGGTAATAAAGAGACATAATGGTTCCTTAATAACAAAAGAAAACACACGGCAAGACATGACATACACCAGGGATCTCCAGCCTGTCCCTCGGGAGCTGCCAGTAGCTCTCCACCCCCTTCCAAGCAGCTCGCCAAAGGATTTATGAATTATATGTATTGCGCTTAATAACTAAAATCTGATTAATTACCACTGTAAATGTGTAATATTGATGCTGAACTTGTGCACTAAGAAATAGACTATGGTTTATGTTTTATAGGCATCTTAACTGTACACAGTCTAAAGCTTGTTATAGCTCTTCTACTTTGTCAATTTCTTGTGACCGCTAAAATGAAAAGCTCTCTGGCATTTTCATTTTTTTAAAGGTAGCTCACCAGAGGAAAAAGTTTGGAGACCTCCCACATACACAAACATGCATTTTCAACAGATATTCATACAAGAAAACCCAAGAATACACAAGCAAAAATCCAAATTTGATAACATTGCATGCCCAAACATGGCAAAGTTTTCTCTTTTGTAAAATCTCTTACAATTAATAATGGCAAAGAATATGAAATACATAATTCTACAGCGATATGGCTTGTGAAATTACAACCTGTGCACCAAATTAAAAGAAATGTTCAGACTATTAACCAAAATTATTATCATCCATCAGTCTATTTTGCCTTGAAGACTTATTTAATTTACTTTAAAGTCTATTTAAATTTTGATCTCGCTCCGTTTACTTTCTCAAACTTACAAAAACATTCCTAACTGACATGCCCTCATCCTCTCTACCTAGATGTTCCTGGACCAGTGAAGAACTTTCAGGTCATGGACACCGCCGATGGTGAGGTGAGTCTGGCCTGGGAGGAGCCTGAGAGCGACGGAGGAAGCAAAGTCATTTCCTACATCGTGGAGAGACGCGACGTGAAGCGCAAGACCTGGACCCTGGCTACAGACCACGTGGAGAGCCCCGAGTTCACAGTGACCGGGCTCCAGAAGGACTCCTTGTACCTGTTCAGAGTCTGCGCCAGGAACCGCGTGGGCAGTGGACCCCTCGTGGAGACCGACAAACCCGTGCAGCCCAAGAACAAGTTTGGTAAGGGTCATGAAAGAGAAATCACAAAGCCCAAGTTTCATGATAGAGTTTTTGTGGTTTTCTGATTGTGAAAATTTTTGTTTTATTCCTATAGAAAATATTTTATGTTATATGTTCAAGAATATTTTGCTGTGTTACCAAAATAACAATTTGTCATTATTTATTTTATTTAAATTTTTTCTCAAGTAAAGATTATATAAAAATCACACATTTAACTTTTAAAATTTGTAATCATATTTAAGTATAGCAAAAGAAAAATTGTATTCTGTCAACTGGAGAAAAACTTTTTGAGTGAAGACTTTTCGCAGCTCATTAAAAAAATATTTAAGTATATTAAGATTTTATTAGATCATCTATAGTTTATTTTGAAATGTATAGTTGATAATAAATTCAAACATAAATAATTAGTACACATTAATTTAATAATTGTTTTTTTATTATGATTATTTTTATTTATTTTATTTACTTTTTTATTTATTTATTTTTTAAATATTTTTAGTTTTTAGTTTTTTTTTTATTTTAGTTTTTTTGCTTTTTGGTCCTAACAAATCAAACAGTACAGTGATTAATTGTAAATACATTCACATCTGATTAGTCCTAAAATTGCACGTTTACATGTATTTATTATTACATTTTATCATCAATAATGATTACAAAAATATATATATTTTGTTTCCCAATTCTGAGCATATAAATTTTAACTTTTTCAGATGTTCCTGACGCTCCTCTGAACGTCATTGTTGGAAATGTGAATAAGTTCGGCTGCACAGTCGGCTGGGAGCCTCCTGTGTCCGACGGCGGATCTCCCATCACCTCTTACATCATCGAGCTCAGAGACAGAACCTCCGTGAAATGGTCCCCGGTCCAGGTCACCAAAACTGACGAGCTCAGTGCCGTCATCAACGACGTGATTGAAAACAAAGAGTACATCTTCAGAGTCAAGGCTCAAAACAAGGCTGGTGTCGGAAAGCCCAGCGCCGCCTCTCAGCCCGTCAAGATTATGGATCCAATTGGTATGATTATTTTTTTTGTATTTTTGCTTTTCATCACACATCACAACATTTTATAGTCCTGTAGTTGAGGCACGTAAAGATCTGTAAAGGTTGTAGCGTGTTAGGATAATTATACCTGGATTATGGACCTTACATCTAAATCATGACGTGTAATATTTGTTATAGATAGAATTTATAGAGGGATATCAGATAAAAAAGAAAAGACAATTTAGATTGAACTTTTAGCCCCATCCACTTAGTCCCACTGTCTGACAACTGTGATAGTGTCAGGCAGTTGTTTCTTTATACTTCTCTGATCTCTGTTTGTTTTTTGTCAGCCTTGTAAATGTACCATGACAGAGAATCAAGCGTTTGAGATTGTGTCAGGCACTTGGTTTTCCATGATTTTTAGTAACAATGTTCCAGTGAAAAACACTAGGATCATGTAGAATCCGTGTATCATTCATTTATTTGTTTTTCAATATAAAATCGAAAGTAAGAAAATGAAAAAACAACAATTTTCTTCATTATTTGTCTCTAAAACCAAAATGAAAAAAAAAAAGGATAACAATTAGTTTTTTGATTTTGTGTTTAAATGAATAATGGAAAAAACGGATAACGGCTGTGTCCCGTTTCCGTGACTTAGACTGTGATGTCGGACTGAGCGAGAATTGAACCAGGACTAAACCGGTCTGAGTCCTCGTCTCAGTCTCAGGTCCGGTCTCGGTCCCGGTCTCAGTCCCTGTCTCAGTCCTGGTGTCAGTTCTGGTCTGGTCCCGACCTCAGCACCGGTCTCAGTTCTGATCCTGTTCCCGGTCTCAGTTCTGATCCTGTTCCCAGTCTCAGTCCTGGTCTTAGTCCTGGTCTCAGTCCCGGTCTCAGTTCTGGTCTCAGTCCCTCTTCGGTCCCGGTCTCAGTTCTGGTCTCAGTCCCTCTCCGGTCCCGGTCTCAGTCCCCGTCTCAGTCCTGGTTCTGTTCCCAGTCTCAGTCCTGGTCTCAGTCCCAGTCTGGTCCTGGTTTGGTCCCGGTCTCATTCCCGGTCTCAGTACTGGTTTAGACCTGGTTCAGTCCTGGTTCAGTCTGGCATCTCAGTTTAAGTCATGAAAACGAGAACACTTAAATACAAACTCGAAAACAAAAAAAAACAAAAAACGAATCGTTATCCGTTTTTTTTTTATTTTGGAGACAAATAATGAAGAAAATTTATGTTTTTTTGTTTTCTCATTTTTGGTTTTACCTTGAAGAACGAATGAACGAATGATGCACAGATTATGTGTCGCAGGTTAATACGAACATTTTAAAACCAAAATGACGAGGCTTAATGCAGCAGTTATAGAGAGAGGAGCCACAAGAACCAGTGTAAGTCAATGGGAACCAGGGTCAGAAAGATAAAATGCACGATGTAAAGAGCATTTATGTTGACATGAATGCATTAAATCAAACATAGGGTCTTTAAAACCACAAATATGGTACATAATTGTCCAGTTTTCAACGTTTTCTAATTTATACGTTTCCATCTTGCAGAGAGGCCGAGCCCTCCACTGAACCTGACCCCGCATGAGCAGAACAAGAGCTCCGTGCAGCTGACCTGGGAGACTCCTCTGAGGAACGGCGGCAGCATGATCACCGGGTACATCGTCGAGCGCTGTGAAGACGGCACCGACAAATGGCTGCGCTGTAACGCCCGCCTCTGCCCTGACCTCTTCTACAAGGTAAAATACATCTACAAATATAAATACAAAATACAAATAAAAATTAAAAATACAAAACATCCCAGTCAGACTAACTGGATTCATGAACTTTTATCCTACTGGACTGGACTTCGAATGGATACGGACACTTTTTTTGAACATTTTGTACATGTTTGTATAATTTTGTGTTGATTGTGGAGAGAGACGTTAAGAATCTGTGTATCATTCGTTCATTTGTTTTTTCAATATAAAACCAAAAATAAGAAAATGACAAAACAACAGTTTTCTTCATTATTTGTCTCCAAAACCAAAATGAAAAAAATGGATAATGATTTGTTTTTTCAGTTTTTCATTTTGTGTTTAAATGAAGAATAGAAAAAACGGATAACGGACGTTTCCCGTTTCCGTGACTTAAACTGCGATGCCGGACTTTTGTGCCTCATATGGACTGAACCAGAACAAAACCAGGTCTAAAACAGGTGTGGAACAAGACTGGAACTGAGACCAGGACTGAGACGGGGACCAGACTAGAACTGAGACCAGGACTGAGACCGAGAACAGGACCAGGACTTACACCGGGATTGAGACGGGGACCAGACCAGAACTGAGACCGGGACTGAGATCAGGACCAGACCGGAACTGAGACCAGGACTGAGGCCGAGACCAGACCAGGACCAGACTGTGATTGAGACTGGGACCGGACCGGGACCGAGACCGGGACTGAGACCGGGACCAGATCAGGACTAGACCAAGACTAAGACTGGGACTGAGACAGGGACCAGACCAGGACTGAAAACGGTTTAGTCCTGTTTTAGTCCTGGTTCAGTCCGTATGTGGTGCAAAATTTGTCATCGCAGTTTAAGTCACAGAAATGGGAAATGACCATTATCCGTTTTTTCCATTATTCATTTAAACACAAAATCGACAAAATGAAAAAACAAATCGTTATCCTTTTTTTTAATTTTGGGTTTGGAGACAAATAATGAAGAAAATTTTTGTTTTTTCATTTTCTTATTTTTGGTTTTATTTTGAAAAACGAATGAACGAATGATACACGGATTATGTGGGAGGGTTTTGTTTTTGTCTATTTTTATTTTAGTTTTTTTTTGTTCTATAATTTCAAAATTGAAAACAGGAAAATAAATAATTCAAAACATTTCTATTTTATCTATTTAATTTATTTAGTTTATGTTTGAGTTGCATTTTATACATTTTGAGTTGGGGCTTGACTTATTTATTTATTTATTTATTTTATTGTTGTTGTTTTTTTTAAGGTGTCTGGCCTGAAATATGGAACGAAGTATAACTACAGAGTGATGGCTGAAAATGCCGCTGGAATTTCTGACCCATCCAACACTATTGGACCTCTGCTGGCCGATGACCCACACTGTGAGTTTAATATCACTAAACCTAAACCTTTCTATTGCTTTTTATTTTTTGTTGATATTATCTCTTTTTCTCTTTAGTTGCCCCAACCTTTGACCTTAGCGCTTTCAAAGACGGCCTGGAGGTGATCGTCCCTCAGCCTTTGACCATCCGAGTCCCCATCACCGGATACCCCATTCCTGTCGCCAAGTGGACCTTCGGAGAGAAGCTGATGACCCCAGAGGATGAGCGCGTCACCACCACAACGAAGTCCACCTACGTCGAGCTGGTCGTGACGCCGAGTGTCCGCCCCGACAAAGGCACCTACTCTCTGACTCTGGAAAACGACGTCGCTTCCGCCTCTGGAGAAATCGACGTCAACGTTATTGGTAGGTTAAAATGGAATCAGATCATTTTCGATAACATTTCTTTTTCTTTATTTGATCTCTGAGGGGCAATTCTAGTGCAGCCAAAAGCTTAAAAATATTCACATAAAAACATCACATAAGCAAGAATCAGAAGTTCCTAAAATTCAACAACAAGTGCAGGTAAAGGGAAGATGCAACGGTGACAAGTCCTTTAAAGGTGCACTACGTAACGTTTTGATTGGAGGTCTGTCACCTTCTTGTTTCTACGGTTATGTCCTTGCTCTGCCGGGAATGTTCCACAGTATGACATTAAACGTCTGTACCTTACATTTACTCAATTACAGGTGTTTCTATAACTCAAAAATACCTAGAAAAACAGCCATTCTGACTCCACGCCACAGATCTTACCTATAACTTGGTCTTTATGAAATAGAAAGGTTTAATACCATACTGTGAAACTTTCCAGACAAAGCAATCACATCTACATGAAGAAAAGCATTTGATGGACCCTCAGCCAGAAAAGTTACACAGTGTAACTTTAAGAGATGTTAAGGAGGCTGATGACTGTAGGGATGAAAGAGTTTTTAGGTTCATTTTGGATTGATCGTGTGAAGTATGAGACTATGGGCCAATTGTCTTATAATGTTTCTGACTAGGGCTGCAACATTAATAGCATTTGAGTCACAATCGAAATTTGAATGGACACAATTAACAAATTTCTTTCACAAAAAGCAAAATACCCTCCATAAAAAGTGCTAACCGTGTAGTTCAGTTTCATTCAAACATGTTCTGAAATGTGATTCTTGTAGTAGTTTGTCAGTTCATATTTATAAATAATTGCAATGCTTTTGAGAAATTGGAAATATTTTTCCCAAATCGTGCAGCCCTATTTCTGACCTTTTTCAGTTTACTTAATTCTTGCTAAATTATTTTAGACTTAATTATTTAGCCAAATTTTATTGATCCACAAGGGAAATAATTTGAGTACAGTAGCTCATAGGGATGGGCATTCGATGAAATTTTCTTAATCGATCGTCGGAAGAATTAACGATCGATTATCGATTAATCATTAAAGTTTTTATATTAAAATGATCATCATTATTATTACTATCTGCACTACTAATCTGCATAAATAAATTCAACTTTACGACATATAAACCGTAACGACTCTAGAGCCACATCAATCCGTTTTAGATTATAATGTGTTTAATTCAGTTTAGCGCAACTCTCACAAACAAAACTTAAAACCACATCGCTAATTTGCATAAACTCAGCGAAGGTAAAACTACAGCTCTTGTGTCGCTGATGCGGTCAGTTTCTGTCGGATTAAAAGACATGACTTAGTGGAATACAGGTTAGTGTGACCAGATTTGCGTTTGTCAAAACCAGGACACCGTACGGGGGGAGGGAGGTGGGGACTCGTCATCAACATTGCGCGACTCTCACCTGGTAAAACTTTTTCCCACTGGACACTGAAACATATGTTCCTGCTTTATACACTGTGCACATGGACTCACACTTGTCCCGAACGCAACGGAAAGCGTGGAATTTCTTGTGCAAATCATCGTTACATACGCATTTGTGCTTCGGTACGTTACAGACTGACCGAATGTTTGTGTTTGCTCGCTCCTTCTGATGCAGAGACACATGTACAGACCCCTGTTTGGTCACGCTACGCACAGCAACCTACATTCGGTTTGTCGATTAAAATTAACGTAATCGATGAAATTCTTAATGATCAATTATCAATTAATCGATTAATCATGCCCATCCCTAGTAGCTCACACATCACAATATATTATAATAACAAAGAGAAAAAATAATAATACATAATAAATGGTAATAATAAATTCTAAATAAGTAGCAAAAATAGCAAGAGACAGATGTCAAATGAGACATAATTATATAAATGTACGTACATGTACAGGTCAAAATAAAATGTTGAACGATAGTAATACAAATATATCTCTGCTATATACAAAAGGTCATGAGGAAAACATTAGTGCATCAGAGCCAGAATGAGGTACTATATTCTTAGCTGTAATACTCACCTTTTGAATGTATTTTGTAGCTGCTCCCAGTGCACCCAAAGACTTCAAGGTCCTGGAGGTGACACGTCAGCATGTGCACCTGAGCTGGGAGGCCCCCGAGCACGATGGAGGCAGCCCACTGATCGGATACCAGGTGGAGAAACGCGATGTGTCCCGCAAGACCTGGGTCAAGGTGAGATTAAGGCCCATATTACTCTATTTTCTGATCTGTGTTAGAATGTAGTTTCTTCATCACAAACAGACTAGGAGTTGAGTTTTGTTATCTTATCTTACCTTTGCTTGTTTTCAAAAGGTGGCGACAGGAATCCAGGATCAGGAGTATTCAGTTACTGATGTGGTTGAAGGAAAGGAGTATCTGTTCAGAGTGACCGCCTGCAACAAGTGTGGCCCCGGAGAGCCCGCTTACATCGACGAGCCCATCAATGTGTCATCCCCAGCCAGTAAGACCCACGACACAACAGCTTTGATTTTATTATTTTGTTATGAAGACTGTATAGATACCATTTCTAATAAATAATAATAATAAATTGTATTAATATAGGGCTTTTCTAAACACTCAAGTCCATTTAACAGATCCACGAGGTTGAAGGAGATCGGTGCTACCTTCAAACGTGACCCTTCTTATGCTCTATAGATACAGTGTACAGTTATATATAAATATCTGTTTTTCTTTTGTGGAGCTAAATTATCCCCTGATTGTTGGAAAGATGGACTTGCATGGACAGAGTTGTGTTTTAGTTTTTATTTTTCCTCGAGCGATGCAGAAAATAGGGAGCCACTGTCTGTGTGAATATTCATGTATGTTAGCATTTTAAAAACAAGGTAATCTAACCGTGTTATCTTTGTGCTTCCATAGCCGTGCCAGACCCACCAGAGAACCTCAGGTGGAGAGACAAGTCGGCCAGTGGCATCTTCCTGACCTGGGAGCCTCCCAAATACGACGGCGGCAGCGGTATCCGTGGTTACAATGTGGACCGGTTACAGAGAGGATCTGACAAGTGGGAGCCCTGCGGAGACTTGGTCCCCGAGCTGAAGTGCCAGGTGACCGGCCTCATCGAGGGACAGTGGTACTCCTACAGAGTGCGCGCCCTCAACAGACTGGGAGCCAGCCTCCCCTGCAAGGCCACAGACGAGATCCAGGCTGTTGATCCTAAAGGTACTTTCAACACAAGCAACACACGTCTTTATCTAGTTTGCAAATCATAAAGGTATAGATGAGCTAGTCTGCAATTCATTTGACAGTACTAATTTGACCATTTTAATGCTTTTCACTTTTTTGTTTTGAAATAAAACCTTTGAAATATGAAAAAAAACACTTCAATAACCAAATAGTCATTGGCAAAAAGTAAATAAATATAAATGTAAGAATAATAAAATTAAATTGTTAACTTTTTATCTGCTATACTGTAATATTTATATTTTTCTAATTTTTATCCATGTGTTTTAATTCAATGTACAATATTAGGGTCTAATTGTGATGTATTGTACTGCAGTCCCTTAACTAATAATAATAAGAATAAGTATAAGAATAAGAGTAAGAATAATAATAATAATACATAACACTTGTATAGCACTTTTCAAGATACTCAGAGACGCTTTACATGAGAAGACAAACAATGACAAGCAAGAGAAAAAGGCAGTTTTTTGTTTTTTTTTAATTCTTCAGGGCTTTTTTAAACATGGGGATTGTGCATGAGTCTCTGATGTGTTTGGGGAGAAAGTTCCAGAGGGTTGGGGCAACAGCAGAGAAGGCCCTGTCTCCCCCGAGGTCTTATGTTTAGTCCTGTTGGGGGGAGACAGGAGGTTGAGGTTGGCATCAGCACGGGCGGGGGTGTGGTGGTGGTGTAGGAGGAGCTCAGAGAGGCAGGTTGGGGCCAGGTTGTGGAGGGACTTGTACACGGTGTTGAGGAGTTTGAACTGGACGCGCTGGGGGATGGGGAGCCGGTGGAGATCTCTGAGGACAGGGGTAATGTGTTCACGGGAGGAGGTGCGGGTGAGGAGGCGGGGAGGCAGCAGCGTTCTGGATGTACTGGAGTCTGTTGAGGAGTTTGGAGGGTGAACCGTAGAGCAGCTGTTGCAGTAGTCGAGGCGGGAGGTGACAAAAGTGTGGATGAGGGTTTCAGCAGACAGAGGGGAGAGGGCTGGGCGGAGGCGAGCGATAGAAGGCGGTTTTGGTGATGTATTTGACATGGTGCTCAAAGGAAAGTGTCTGGTCAAAGAGGACGCCGAGGTTATATAAGGGGAGCGGAAGGGGCTGTAGTAATAAAAAAGATCCAAGGGTGACATTGTGCGAGAGTCTTGAAAACAAAAAGTAAATTTGGAAATAACAATACATTTTTTGGAGATACAACCCCAGACTAGAACAATAAACAATAATCTGGACTTAATACATCTAAACTCGTTACAAATCAAGATAAATATTCTCGATTCATATTTGTGCTTTGTCTTTCCACAGAACCTCCAGAGATCCAGTTGGACGCCAAGCTGCTGGCCGGTCTGACCGCCAAGGCTGGTAGCAAGATTGAACTCCCGGCCGAAGTGACCGGCAAACCTGAGCCCCGCGTGAAGTGGACCAAAGCCGACCTGGTGCTCAAACCCGACGACAGAGTCAGCATTGACACCAAACCCGGACACTCCACCGTCACCATCGCCAAAACCAAGAGAGACGACACTTCCACTTACATCATCGAGGCCACGAACAGCAGCGGACGCGCCACAGCTACCGTTGACGTCAACATTCTTGGTAAGCACAAAGAATCTTAGACTTTGACAAACTTTATCAATCCACAAGGGAAATTACTTGAACACAGGAGCCCACACATCACAATATATTATAATAACAACCACAAAAATATAAATGGTAATAATAAATATATCTGAGCTTAAGACAAGAGGTCATAACAAAATGAGTGCAAAGATGATATGATTGATACAGCACCGGTCCAGTCCTGTCGATCTGAGCTACCCGTCGAGAATTGGAGTAACAATTTAAAAGTGTATTGGTTTTATTGTACGTTTTGACCAATTAAGCAGTGACATTTGCGTGTTAGATTTGCGGATGAATATCTATGTTAGATGATTGAATAGTTTGGATTTAGTTATCATTTTCATTACATCGTATTTTATTTTGTTTCCATGTGTAGAAAACGTTGTAACTTTGTTTAAATAAACTATCACTATAGCCTATGACATTAGCGTTAAACATTATATTCTTACTATTTAATATAGATTTCAGTGTTTCCAGTCATTTCTTTCTCTTATATAGTGAGTTACCTCTGCCCAAATTCATATAAATGAGTGAATAATGGTGATTCTACAGTGGGAGCATTATTCGATGGCTAAATTGGCCTGTCAATATGTGCTACCTTTAGTCGGAGCCCTATTTGATTGCCTAACTACGCATATTCATATAAATTTGTTGAAATTTGACATAACTAAGGTATAAAGTATAATCAAAACTTTGAAATATGAAATAATTCACTTAAAGAACCAAATAGTTATTGGCAAAAAGTAAATATATATAAATGTAAGAATAATTAAATGAAATTCTTAACTTTTTATCTACTATACTGTAATATTTATATTTTTTCAAATTATTATCCATGTGTTTTAATTCATGAGAAATTGGTGCAAAGTTAAAGTATAATCACCGTGTGCAAAGAAATATGTTGTAAAACTGGGGAGATTAGGGTTAGAGTTTGGCTTTATTGGATCTATACAACTGTAAATGGAAAAACATAAGGTCGCTTATTTTGCCGGTGTGAATCGATAGATGTTGATTGAGGCTGCTGGTAGCTCATTTTGACAAAGCAGCGCATTTCGACAGAACACTGGATCAACTCTGGAAATGTCTCATGATTTTAAAATACCATTTGCCAAATATTAAAATATGGTGTTTGTTTCCCATTAATACAAGAGACTATGGTGGCTCCTGTAATATAAAAATCTATCCCATAGTAAAAAAAAAAACATGGAGTAAAAAAATCACTTCTTCTCATTGTATTGTCATTAACATAAAAAATAACTGCACTGTTCAAAAAGGCTAAAGACTTAAATATGAAATTGAGGCAATAAGTGACATTTAAACTCCATAAATTGACATTAAACTCCACAAAGAGAATTATTATTATTATTATAGAAAGTATTTGTGACACCATAGTCTAAATAAAATCTATGGGAAACACAGGATAATGTATTTTCAGACCATCAGTGCTGTTAGACACTTGGTTGAAATTTCTATATTCATTACACAAACTTTATTTATTGACGTCTTATTTTTGTTGCGTTATATAAAGTACATTTCCATGTGCATGAAATTATATACATCATGTCTAGTTTGTACTAAAATCAGTTTCCATGTTTTGTTTTGTTTTTCAGACAAACCTGGGCCTCCCGCTGCCTTCGACATTTCCGAGATCACAAACGAGACTTGCTTCTTGGCCTGGAATCCGCCCAGAGACGATGGCGGCTCTCGTGTCACTAACTACATCGTGGAACGCCGCGCGGCAGACAGTGAAATCTGGCACCGCCTCTCTTCCACCGTGAAACAGACCACATACAAAGCCGTCGGACTCGTCAAGTTCAAGGAGTACATCTTCAGAGTCTTCGCCGAGAACCAGTTTGGAGTTGGTGTTCCGGCTGAGCATCCTTCAATCATTGCCAGATATCCGTTTGGTGAGAATGATAACAAGTTAATAAAAAGATGTCATAAATGAACTGGAATATTTGACTGGTTTTGTCGTTTTTAGACACTCCTGGAGCTCCTTACAAACTGGAGGCTTCGGACATCGCTAAGGACTCCGTGACCCTGAACTGGTACGAGCCAGATGAGGACGGTGGTAGCCCCATCACTGGCTACTGGGTGGAGAGATATGAAGCCGATCATGACAAGTGGATCAGATGCAACAAGCTGCCTATCAAGGACACCAACTTCAGGTCAGTGCAAACCTTAATCTTAAAGGGGCTGGATCTGATTATTTTCATGTAATAATGTAAAATTAGCATTGGCACTGTACAGATTGTAAAAGTAGATCAAAGTGGGGCTGCTGTGCTGAATCCGTGTATCAATCGTTCATTCGTTTTCTAAATAAAACCAAAAATAAGAAAAGGAAAAAAGAACTATTTTCTTCATTATTTGTCTCCAAAACCAAAATGAAAAAACGGATAACAATTCCTTTTTTCTGTTTTTGATTTTGTGTTTAAATGAAAAATGAAAATGAGAAAAAAAACATGAGTTAAACTGAATTGCCGGACTGAGCCAGGACTGAACCAGTACTAAAGCAGAACTGAACCAGGAGTGTTGGGACAAGTGTTGGGTGATCAGTACTGAGACTGGGACCAGAGTGGGACCACACCAGGACTGAGACTGGGACTGAGACCGGTTTTGTCCTGGTTTAGTCCTGGTAGACCTGGTTCATTTCTGGTTTAGACCTGGTTTAGTCCTGTTTTAGTCCTGGTTTAAACCTATTTTAGACCTGGTTTAGTCCTGTTTTAGTCCTGGTTTAAACCTATTTTAGTCCTGGTTCAGTCCGTATGCGGCGCAAAAGTCCAGCATCACGGTTTAAGTCACCGAAACGGAAAACTAAACCTAACCCTTATACATTTGTTCCATCATTCATTTAAACACAAAATCGAAAACGAATCATTATCTGTTTTTTTCATTTTGGTTTTTGGAGACAAATAATGACGCATATAGTTGTTTTATCGTTTTGTTATTTTTGGTTTTATTTTGAAAAACAAATGAACGAGTGATACGCGGATTTGTCTGCATCTTGAGTATCTATCAAATCTAAGAATTTTTTATTATCAGAGAACCAAGAAGGGAGGCTGGTGTGCTGTTAGCATGCTAGTTGTTGTTAGTATAATAGTGATGGTAATACTCCATCTGGCCTTTGAAAATAGTGAAAAATGTTTATAAACTCATTGGTGTGGATTATTAGGATGCAAACTGTTTAAACTGAACTACCTTGGTTTTTATCAGTTTTTCAGACAGAAAAAAAAACTAATTTAGGTCCATAATCTCCACAAATGGAAATTAAATCATATAATATTGTGTGTGTATTATTTCTCATTGCAGAGTGAAAGGCCTGCCCACCAGAAAGAAGTACAAGTTCAGAGTCCTGGCTGAGAATCTGGCTGGAACTGGAAAGCCAAGCAAGGAGACTGAGCCGATCCTCATCAAGGATCCAATTGGTACAAAATATATAAACTACTTTGGTTTAGAGCTACAAAACACAAAATACTCATTAAAGGTTACGCTATTTTCAGATCTGTGTTATAATGTTGTTTCCTCATCAAAAACATACTTTAGTTGTGTTTTGTTTCGTTCACACAACATATAACATAAAAATCCTGCATATTTAGACTGAGTTCTTCTCTCAAACCTAAAATGCTTGGATGATTTCAGTCTTGGATTTGCCAGTCTCTACAGAACTAATAATAAATTGAGCTGTTAACTTGAAAACTACCGCTTCATGACATCACAAGTTGGAACAGAGCATTTTTAGCTTCGGAGATGTAGACAGACCAGTAATAAAGAGTTACTCAGACATGTGTGAATGAAACAAAACACAACTCCAGGTCTGTTTTTAATGAGATAAGAACATTCTGACATGGCTTAAAGCTCATAACAGTCAACTTTGTGTAATATAGGATTCTAATATAGAAATTTAATACAGGAATTTTACTGAGATATTGACATATTATTGATTGTCATTGTTGCTTACCTTCAGATCCTCCATGGCCCCCTGGCAAGCCCACAGTGAAGGATGTGGCCAAGACCTCATGCTTCCTGATGTGGACCAAACCAGAGCACGACGGTGGAGCCAAGATCGACGGCTACGTGATTGAGATGCTGAAAAGCGGCACCATGGACTGGATCCGTGTGGTTGATAACATCAGCCTGCTCGAGTACTTCCTCAAGGGACTCATGGAGAAACAGGAGTATTCTTTCAGAATCAGGGCTGTGAACGTGGCTGGAGAGAGTGAGCCCAGCGAGCCCAGTGACCCTGTCCTTTGCAAGGAGAGACTGAGTAAGAAGAACTAACTAGTTTTTTTGTGTGCTGATGTTTTCATCTTTTTCATCATAGTTATTTACTGCTGCTGTTGGTGACTTAATATACAAATAGTTGCATGGTAAGCTTCAACTTTTTGTTTTAGTGAAACCAACAGGGATAACAGCTTTTCTTAAACACTGAAATTACTTTGTTGTCAAGTCATTCAGTGGAAAGATATTGTTTATGAACACAAATAATATACATGTTTAGAAAACCCTATTTTCACCAAAAACACACTAAAACAACATTTTTAAAACAATTCTTTATTCCTTCAGACCCTCCCTCTGCTCCTCGCTGGTTGGAGGTGATTGGCATCAGTCGTACTAGTGCTGACCTGAAGTGGACTGCCCCTGAGCGTGATGGAGGATCTCGCATCACCAACTACGTAGTGGAGAAGAGAGATGTGAGGCGTAAGGGCTGGCAGGCTGTGGACACCACAGTCAAGGAGCTCAAAACGACGGTGAGCCCGCTGAACGAGGGCTCCCTCTACGTGTTCAGAGTGGCTGCTGAGAACGCTGTGGGCATTGGACCCTTCTGTGAAATGGAGGATTCTGTGCTTGCCAAAGACACTTTCAGTAAGTTAGGAATGGCTACTACAAAAATATTATGGTTTGGTGGCAGAGAGCTTAAGTCTTTTATATTTATCTTATAGCTACTCCTGGACCACCATACGGACTCACTGTGAATGCTGTGACCAAGCGCTATGTGGATCTGATGTGGGAGGAACCTAAGAATGATGGAGGAAGACCCATTCTGAGGTAATGCACTCTACCAGTCCTCCCTAATTTTTTCAGATTAAATTAATGTTTCAACATTTACTTTTATCCTGGTTTGTTTTTCCAGATACTCCATTGAGAAGAAGGAGAAGCTGGGAACCCGCTGGGTGAAATGTGGAAAGACCTCTGGCCCAGACTGTAAATATAGAGTGACAGACGTCATTGAGGGCACAGAGGTGCAGTTCCAGGTACGTGCTGAGAACGAGGCCGGCACTGGACATCCCAGTGAGCCCACCGAGATCCTGACTATTGAAGACCCCACTGGTGAGTTACACTTTATTTACTGGGGAAACTTCAACTATAAGCATAGACTGCATACTATGCCTCTTTTTCAACAGGTGTGCCATCTCCTCCCATTGAGCTGCATGTGACCGGAGCGAGCCGTGACTTCCTGTCCATCGCCTGGAAGCCCCCGCAGCAGGATGGTGGCTGCCCCATCAGCGGATACCACATTGAGATGTGTGAGGCCGGCACTGAGAAGTGGATGAGAGTGAACTCTCGTCCAGTCAAGGAGCTGAAATACCGCGTGGAGGAGGGAATCGTCCCCGAAAAGGAGTACATCCTGAGAGTCAGAGCGATCAATGCTGCCGGAGTCAGCGAGCCATCTGACATCTCTGAGAACGTCTTTGCCAAGGAATCTGACTGTAAGTCACACTTACTCTTTTGTAACTTTATTGGTGTTTCAACTCAGTGTAAACTATATTTCTTTTTTGTAGGTAACCCAACTCTGGAGTTCCAGACTTTGGATCTGGTTGTTGTGGAGACAGAGAAGCTGCACATCCCAGTTCCCTTCAGAGCTGTTCCTTCTCCCAAATCACATGGCACAAAGACGGCAAGGAGCTGAAGGCTGACGACCGCCTCGGTTTCAGGTCAGTATCTCTCCTATTTCACTGTACTGTATGACCTTCAAAATTCAAGCTAAACTAAAGTGTATTTGTCCTACAGAAAAGAATATGATGCTTGTCACCTGGAAGTTGACAGCAGTGTTCACGCTGATGCTGGACAGTACAAAGTGACTCTGGAGAACAAGCTTGGAGCTGCCAGTGCAACCATCAACGTCAAAGTCATTGGTACATAAACCTTAGTGAGTATTTTCCTCTGTAAAGAAAACTGGTTTATTCAACTCTTTTATTCTTTTCAAAAGGTCTCCCTGGCCCTTGCAAGGAGATTGTGGCTTCTGAGATCACCAAGAGTTCCTGTAAAGTGACTTGGGATCCTCCAGATTATGATGGTGGTACCCCCGTCCTTCACTATGTCCTCCAGGTCTGTAGAATCCCCAAATAAAGACACTTTTTATAAAATTCTAAAATTAAAAAGTAAAACATTTTGTCTTGCAGAGGCGTGAGGCTGGCAGAAGAACATATGTCAACATGATGTCTGGTGAGAAGAAAGTCAGCTGGAACGTTAAAGACCTGATCCCCAATGGAGAATATTACTTCAGAGTCCAGGCTGTCAACAAGATTGGCGGTGGAGAATTTATTGAGCTGAAGAACCCAGTCATCGCTGAAGACCAGAAGCGTAAGGACATAACTACAAAATATAAAAAAATGTTCTTAAATTATACATTATTTTAATCATATTGTGCGGTCCTTTCAGATCCCCCAGACCCACCAGTCGACGTCGAGACCCACAACCCGACCTCCAGCACCATCACCCTGACCTGGAAGCCTCCCATGTACGACGGAGGAGCCAAGATCATGGGCTACATCCTGGAAAAGCAGATGAAGGGCACCGACACTTGGGAGCGCAACGACTTCCTGGTGCCCGTTCTGTCCTACACTGTCAGGGGGCTCACCGAGGGCAAAAACTACGCTTTCAGAGTCAGGGCGGAGAACGCAGCCGGGATCAGCGAGCCCTCACGTAGCTCGCTCTTCGTCAAGATCGCAGATGCTATTGGTGAGAAACTTCCAACATTCCTATTCTCACTACTGACAGTATGATATTGAAAAAAATAAATAAATAAACACATCATAGATAGAGTTAAACTTATGTTAGATTTCACATTAATTTTTTTTGCCTTGCTTAAAAGAAGTTGGAAATAATATATGGTTAGGTTTATTCTAGGTAGAGGTAGGCATAATAAGACTTAAACCTAATACATTTAAAGACACATTTGAGCACATTACTGTTGGAATATTTTTTATCTAGATACTATCGTCCACCCCTAATTACAGGTCCAAGTGAATAAATAAATTCTAGTCAAAACTATTTGAATCAAGATGCAGTAAATATTATAAATTCAGATCAATTTGTTTAGTTTTTGCACAGTACATCATCTTACTAAAAAAAAAAAATGTAAATGTTCTTGATGCAGACCCACCCAAGGTCTTCTTGAGTGGCAGCCTGCAGTCCGGCCTGAGCGTGAAACGCGGATGCGAAATCTGCCTGGACGCCAACATCTCTGGCGCCCCCTACCCCCAGATCACGTGGTACTTCAACAATGAGAAAATTCGTCCCGAGCCTCTCCGCAAGCGCCCTGAGAGGCCACTGAAGAAGAAGAAGGAAGAGAAGAAGGAAGAGAAGAAGGAGGGTGAGGTGAAGGAGGGAGAGAAGAAGGAGGGAGAAGTCAAGGAAGGAGAGAAGAAGGAGGAAGAAGTCAAAGAAGGAGAGAAGAAGGAGGAAGTAAAGGAGGCAGAGGAGAAGAAAGAGGAGAAGAAGGAGGAGCCAGAAGAGGAGCTGCCTGAATACCCCACCATGAACGAGCGTGCAGAGATCAACAACAGCAGGAGGGGCACGTCCTCTATTGTCGTTAAGGATTCCATCAGAGCTGACCATGGCATATTCATGATCAAGATTGAGAATGACCACGGCATTGCCTCTGCAACTTGCGAAGTCACTGTCCTAGGTAAGACATAATTTTTGCTTTGTGTTAAAGAAACTATTTGTGTTTTTTGTTTTCAACGTATGTTAGTAGAGCCAAAACTCTAAAATGTTAGCCCTTTCATTACTCTACAGACACTCCTGGACCTCCTGTGAACTTCAGATTTGAGGAGGTGAGAAAGAGCTCTGTCATCTGCAAGTGGGATCCTCCTCTGGATGATGGTGGCAGTGAGATTATCAACTACATTCTGGAGAAGAAGGATAACTCTAAGATTGAGTTTGGTTGGAGTACTGTCACCTCTACACTCAGAGGCTGCCGCTATCTGGTGCCCAAACTCATTGAGAAGAAGGAGTACATCTTCAGAGTTGTGGCTGAGAACAAATTTGGAGCTGGACCACCATGCGTCTCCAAACCACTTATTGCAAAGAATCCATTTGGTACTTTTTATTTTCTCCTTCTTTTTTCACTCTAATGTCCACATTTGTTCCAAATTAACTTTATTTTGTGTTTTCTAGATCCTCCTGAGACTCCTGAGAAGCCAGTGGTTGATGATGTTACTGCGAACTCCATGTTGGTCACATGGAATGCGCCCAACGACAATGGCAGCCCCATTATTGGCTATTGGGTGGAGAAACGCGAGATTAACAGCTCTCACTGGGCTCGCGTCAACAAGTAGGAAAAGACTTTCATAATTTCAAATGAATACTATTTAAAATGTATGTTTCTAATTTTTAACATGTCTGTTGTAGGAACCTCTGCCCTAATACTGAACTGAACGTTGACGGTCTTATGGAGGGTTTGACTTACATCTTCCGTGTTGCAGCTGAAAACCAAGCTGGTCCCGGAAAGTTCAGTCCTCCTTCTGAACCTAGGACAGCTCAGTCTCCAATCTGTAAGTAACTTGAGAAAAAGTATGTGAAAATTTGTTGAAAAGAACACCACTGAGGTCTTACACATATGTTCAATGCAGTGCCTCCTGGCCCTCCTATTCCTCGTGTGGCTGAGACCTCTGACCACTCTATCGATGTTGAGTGGGACCCACCTGTCGATAATGGTGGAGGAGAAATTCTTGGATACCACGTGGATAAGGTCACTTCATCTAACCTAAAACAGTTATTTAACAATATACACTTATAATGGACTTGTTTGAACTGGATGTTCTTTGCTGTGCCACAGGCTATTCTTGGCTCTAAGGACTGGTCTAGAGCCACCGAGCGCCCCTGGAAGAACCGTAACTTCACTGTCTATGGAGTCCGTGAAGGAGCTAAATATGTGGTCCGAGTCACTGCTTGCAATGCTGCTGGAGAAGGAACTCCAGGATTCACTGAGTCTGTGATTGTCAGGAATCCAGCAGGTGAGAAAATTATTCAAACCTGGATATATTCATTGTGTATGCGTATTAGTTCAATGTTGTTTTAATTTCCTCTCTTTTGCCGACTCTAACAGAGATGCCAGTGATTGACCTGGGGCTGTCCATGAAAGCTGGAGTTTACATCCGTGCTGGTGAGCATCTTCTTCTCCCAGCTATTGTCACAGGCAAACCCTACCCATCCATCAGCTGGAACAAAGATGACAGCAAACTTGACAAAGACCGCGTAGAGGTGCTTACTGAGGGCAACGCCAGCATCATAAGCATCAAGAACATTCAGAGACCAGACTGTGGCAAATATCAGATCACTGCCTGTAACCCCAGTGGCATCAAGTCAGCTTGGACCAGAGTAGAAGTCCAGGGTAAGTGTGTCCATTTAAACATATTGTGAACAGATTGCTTATGAAAGTTTAAAAATACTAAACATTGTCCTCCACAGATGTTCCTGGACCAGTCACAGATTTGAAACCTGTGGTGGTTACACGCAAGATGATCTTCCTGAACTGGGATGACCCTGACGACGATGGTGGCAGTGACTTGACTGGTTTCCTTGTGGAGCGCAGAGATGCTAAGATGCACACATGGAGACAGCCTGTTGAAACCACTTCCTCAAAATGTGAATGTGTGGGCATTGTGGAGGGACAGGATTACTACTTCCGTGTTTTCGCCAAGAACAAGTTTGGTCTTGGTCAGCCAGTTGAGCTCGGACCCATCAAGGCCATTGATCCACAAGGTGAGAAATTGGTTTTGAGTTTTGTGAGTTACATTTAATACTTGTGCTTTTATTGGAAGCACATTTAACAAGGCTGTGGTCTGTTCGTTAGGTCCACCTTCATACCCAGAGAAGTTCCACTACACTGAAAGGACCAAGGACTCCGTCACTCTGACCTGGAAGCCACCTCGTAATGATGGTGGTAGCCCAGTGCTTGGATACTTTGTTGAGAAGAAGAGGCAGGACAAGCAGAACTTCGAGCCCTGCAACACTGAAATCTGCCCTGACATGACCATGACCGTGACTGGGCTGGACGAGGACTGGATGTATGAGTTCAGGATCAAGTGTACTAACCAGATTGGAGAGAGCGAGCCTTCTATCCCCATGACTGTGATTATCAAGGATGATGAAGGTGAGGTTTTGTAAAATTGTAGTTCTTTTGGGTAATTAAGCTGTTCTTTTATTATTTGCACAACATTAACTTGATCTTGATATCATGTCCAGTCGCTCCTGAAGTCCACATGTTGAAGATTTTCAAGGCTGACACCATCACCGTGAAGAAGGGAGAGCCCATTGAGATGCCCGCTGACGTCTTGGGTCTTCCCATCCCCAAGATTGAATGGACCAAGGATGATGTGGTGATTGACAAGCCCACTGAGGAACTGAAGATCGAGACAGTGGTGACTGGCAGGCTGAACTGCATAACCACTCTGTCCATCCCATCGGCCAACAGAAGAGACAGAGGCACCTACACTGTGACTGCCTCCAACAACATGGGATCCGCCCATCACACCACCTACGTTATGGTGCTTGGTGAGTAAACATCCAAATTCAACATCTATCGATCTTTTAATGTTACTTTTAGGAACATAAAAGAACTGAATTACAAAACAATAACGTTTCATTCACCTGTGGATAATAAAATAATTGTACAACATTCTTCTTTTACAGACCGCCCTCTGCCACCCAGGAACCTCACTGTGCCCAACATTAAAGCTGAGGCCTGCTTCCTCCACTGGGAGCCTCCACTGGACAATGGTGGCAGTGAACTGACCAATTACATTGTTGAGAAGAAGGAGATTGTGAAAGATGTGCCGGAGGTGGAAGAGGGACAGGAGCCACCACCTGAACCACAGTGGGAGGTGGTCAACAACAGCGTCGTCGAGAAGAAATTCTGGGTAAATGTTTTTATTTAGTGCTTTTCTACCTTCAAGGCACTCAAAGCACTTTACAACAAGGAACCACTCACCCATCCACACAAATATTCATACACAGTGTACACAGACACTGGGGGCAAGGTAAGTGAACTGTCTGGCCCAAGGACACAACGACAGCATTCTGTCCGCTCAACTTATTATGTGTATGTCGAGAGCGGGTTTCGAACCGCCAGCCTTCGGATCTGTGGACAAACGCTCCACCAACTGAGTTACTGTCACCCTATGTGTCATCTTAATGCTCCTCGATAGATCAGCCTATCCTTCTAATAGTAATATATTTATCATTTTTGTAAATACATTTGGTTAATTAATGTAATTGTTTTTAAAGGCTTGGAACCTTGAGACAAACAAGACCTACATGTTCAGGGTCAAAGCAGAGAACCGTTACGGCATATCTGACCCATGCTGCACCGAGGAAGTTCAGATCACTGATCCATTCGGCCTCCCTGGCCCTCCAGAGAAACCAGCCATTGCAGAGTACTCCAAGACAGCTATGACTCTGACATGGGAGCCCCCAAGAGACACTGGTGGTTCTATGATCACTGGCTACTGGCTGGAGAAGAGGGAAAAAGGCACTGCCTACTGGGCCAGAGTCAACAAGCTGCCCATCACAAAGAGAGGTACAAAGGGATGGGAGTACCAGGTGAGAATCATTGTGAATATGGTTTATTATACAAGCATACATGGATTAAAGCTTTAAAAAGTGTGTGTGTGTGTGTGTGTGTATTTTTAACTTTTATGTAATTTATCTGCCCCCCAGGTCACTCGTTTGTTTGAAGGCATAGAATATGAATTCAGAGTCGCAGCCAGCAACAGTGCAGGAACTGGTCCTTTCAGTGCACCATCTGACTCTGCCTTTGCTGTTGACCCACTCAGTGAGTATGAATCAACTTGTTCTCCGACTGTCCAACACATGATAGTGTCTAAATTATACTACCAAATCACACAGCTCCTCCAAGCATGCCTGCTGCTCCTGAAGTGGCCGACAAGAACAAGCACAGTGTGACACTGGCCTGGAAGCCCCCTGAATATGATGGTGGCAGTCCCGTTAAGGGCTACATTATCCAAATCCAGGATGAGGGCTCTTCCAATTGGGTGAGAGTGAATGACCCTGACACTCTGCACCCCACCACTGAGTTCACTGTGCCCAGCCTCCGTGAGCTCAAACGCTATCGCTTCAGAATTATTGCCGTTAATGACATTGGGGAGTCTGATCCAAGCCCACGCACCACTGAGGTCCTGGTCCAAGATGTTCAGCGTAAGACCAAATTAAACTTCCCTTGTTTAATTTGATAATTTTAATGTGTACACAAGATGTTGAGTGATTTGTCTTTCCACAGTTCCTCCAGCCATTAGCATTGATGTGTTGATGGATGACTTCCTTTGCATTCGTGCTGGAGATCCAATCAGGATTCCCGCCACAATCAAGGGTCGTCCTGCTCCTAAAGTGACTTGGGATTTCACTGGAAAGGCCAAATCACACAAGAAGAACAAGCTGCATACACTTCCAGTTGACTCTGAAGTAAGTTAAATTCTTCTTTGTCTATTTGTGTTTTCTGTCAAATTTTTCTGTCAATTTCTTTTTTCATTCCAATATTGTCTTTGCACAGGTTGAGTCCACAGATACCACTTCTGTTGTGACTATCCCTGTCAGTCAGAGGACGCACAGTGGTCGCTACACAATCACTGCTAAAAACAAGTCTGGCCAGAAACATGTCAATGTCAGAGTCATTGTCCTCGGTATGTTTGTCACACATTCTGAAGCAAAATGAACCAAAAAAGGAGGTTATTGTATTCTATTTTGAAACTGTCTTTTGTCGTAGATGTTCCTGGACCTCCAAAGGACCTGAAAGTGACTGACATCACCAGATCCACCATGAGGCTCATCTGGAAGCTACCAGACACCGATGGAGGAGAGAGAATCAAGAGCTACTTCATTGAGAAGAAGTCTTCAATTGACAAGGCTTGGACCAAGGTGCCCATCTTTGTCATTTACTTTCATAAACTTTGTATTGACAGTTTATGAACAGATTGTATTTTGTTTTGATTAGGTTAATGCTGCCTGTGCTAGCCAAGCTTTTGTGGTCCCTGGTCTTTTGGAGGGTCAGGACTATTTCTTCAGAGTACGGGCTGAGAACAGACTAGGATTTGGTCCATTCACAGTCACCACTGACCCCGCCAGAGCCACAGATCCAATCTGTAAGTTCTTTTACAATAACCACAGCCAGTGAAAACTCTATGAAAACTATTTGTAATGCTGATGCCTTTCTTTTCAGATCCCCCTGATCCTCCCACCAAACTCAAAGTGAACTTAGTGACCAAGGACACCGTCACCCTGAGCTGGGAGGCACCCAAAAATAATGGCGGCTCCCCAATAAAGCACTACATTATTGAGCGTCTAAGCTGGGACACTAGCGGAAAGGAGAAGGAGACATGGAAGCAGTGCAACAAGAGAGATGTTGAGGAGCTGACCTTTATTGTGGAAGACCTGAAGGAGGTGAGAATTTCTAATGTTTTTCTATCTGTGCTTTATTTGACAGTTGTTGTGTTTGTGTTGTGAAAGGGTGGAGAGTATGAGTTCAGAGTAAAAGCTGTGAACGCTGCTGGACCCAGTCGTCCCTCTGCTACCGTTGGGCCAATGGTCATCAAGGACCAGACATGTAAGTCATAGCTAATTGGACGGTGGACGTCTTCATTCAAATAAGCAGTAAGTAACGTACATCTCTCATTCTTACAGGTGCTCCCACTATTGAGATGCGTGAGTTCCTTGAGGGTGAGGAGGGCTGTGATGTGAGTATTGTGGCAAAGGTCAGCGGTTGTCCATTCCCCACTCTGACCTGGCACAAGGTCAATGCAGCCAAACCCGAAGAGAAGACTCCCATCCAGTATGACCAGCACATGAACAAACTGGTGACACATGACAAATGCACCCTGCTCATCCAGCAGGCCAGCAGGCATGACAGCGCCCTCTACAGCCTGTCAGCCACCAACAGCTTGGGCACCGTGTCCAAGGACATTAAGGTCTCCGTCTATGGTAAGAAATACAATATTCTATGAACCCATTATGTATTTTCAACAAAGGTAATTAATTAGTTATGTAACACCCCTCATTGTGCAGGACCACCTGGAGTTCCTATCGGACCAGTTAAATTCACAGAGGTATTTGCTGAGAGGATTGGCTTGGCCTGGAATCCGCCTAAAGATGATGGTGGCTCTAAGATCACCAACTACGTTATTGAAAAGCGTGAGGACAACAGAAAATCCTGGGTCCATGTCTCTAACGATCCCAAGGAGTGTGCCTACGTTGTTACTCGTCTGACCGAGAACCACGAGTATGAGTTCAGAATCATGGCCCAAAACAAGTTTGGAGTTGGACCTGCACTGGTCAGCGAGCCAGAGAAAGCTAGAAACCTTTTCAGTAAGTATAGTCATTTATCCTACACATATGTTTTAAGTCCTTTAAGTCCTTTAATTGCTTTTCTCTTTTGCAGCTGTCCCTGGCCAATGTGAGAAGCCAACCGTGACTGATGTCTGTCTTGAGTCCATGACAGTGAACTGGGATGAGCCTAAATACGATGGTGGGTCTTCCATCACCGGGTACTACGTTGAGAAGAAAGAGACAACGTCTAAGCGCTGGACTCGCGTCACACGTGAGCCTCTCAGGGCCTTGCCTCTGGGCAACAACTGTTATGTGACTGGCCTGCAGGAGGGAGCCTTGTACCAATTCAGAATCATCGCTGTCAATGCTGCAGGCTGTGGACTACCCAGCATGCCCTCTGACCCCATCGTTTGCAGAGACCCCATCAGTAAGAACCTTTAACTTAACACTTACTTGTTTAAGGTTTAGACTACATTTTCGTACTAAAGGAACCTGTGAAATGAATAAAACTAAATTGATTGTTCTTCTGTATAGAGCCCCCTGGTCCACCCACACCAAAGGTAATTGACTGGACCAAATCCACTGTGGAGCTGGAATGGATTCCTCCCTCAGTGGACGGAGGTTCAAAAGTCACTGGATACATTGTGGAGTATAAGGAAATAAACAAAGAGGAAGAGGAAAAGAAAGCCCAGAGAAGGCTTCTCCTGAGTGAGGAAGAGGAAAAGCAACCAGAAGCAGAAGATGAAGCATGGAAAAAGGTGAACTATAATATATTATACAATAAAGAATAAAGTGAATGGATCACTAAACATTTTCAACATTTTCACAGGCTAAGGACACTGAGGTCAGAATCACTAAATTTGTTGTGGATGGCCTGACAGAGGGAGGCCTCTACCAGTTCAGAGTCAGAGCTGTGAATGTAGCTGGAGTTGGTGACCCAGGATATGTTTCAGAGCTCATTGAAACCAAAGACAGGACAAGTATGAGTTTTAAATATTACAAACAAATAGTTTACAAAGGAGAAGTAAAAAAACATTAATTCTAAATTATTTGATGCAGTTCCACCAGAGATGGACCTGGATGCATCTGTGAAGGAGAAGATTGTTGTCCACGCAGGCGGCACCATCCGTATCATTGCTTATGTGTCTGGTAAACCAGCTCCTCAGATTGCATGGTTCAGAGATGACGCTGAGGTGCCCAAAGAGGCTGTGGTGGAGAAGACAGGAATCTCCAACTCCCTGGTCATTAAGAACTGCAAACGTGCGCACCAGGGCATCTACACCCTCAGTGCCAAGAATGACGGTGGAGAAAGGAGGAAGGCTGTCATTGTGGAAGTCCTGGGTAAGTCTGAGGAATTTTTATTAATAATTTACTACAAAAAATATAAAGTTAAAACACTGATTAACCCCTGTGTTTTTTTCCTCTAGATGTACCTGGACCTGTTGGCCAACCCTTCTCTGGTGAGAACTTGACTAGCGACTCTTGCAAGCTGACTTGGTACTCCCCTGAGGATGATGGTGGTTCAGCCATCACCAACTACATCATCGAGAAGAGGGAGGCCGACCGCATGGGCTGGACCTCTGTCTCCTACACTGTCACTAGAAACAATGCCGTAGTGCAGGGGCTCAATGATGGCAAAGGCTACTTCTTCAGGATCGCAGCTGAGAACATCATTGGTATGGGACCCTTCACCGAGATCGAGAAGATGGTCATGATCAAGGACCCCATCTGTAAGTCATGCACTCCAACTGGTATATTGTTAAAATGCTGATTTTTGTTAACTCTGTATTCAAGGGTATAGTCACTAACAGAAATGATTACGATTAGATTTTTTAAAGTATAATATAATCGTCACTATCTGGGAATATAACATCCTCATATTCTAAAATCTGAAAACCATCCATGGTATTGAAAAAAAAAAGCGACTTTCCATTAAACTGTATTTTTTAAATCTTTTGTAGCTGTCCCTGAGCGCCCAGAAGACCTTATCATCACTGCAGTCACCAAAGACTCTATCTCTGTTGCCTGGAGACCACCCAAATATGATGGTGGCACGGAGGTGACTGAGTACGTTCTGGAGTCGCGCATGGTTGGACGGGACACCTTTGTGCGTGTGGGTGCCGACACCAAACTGATGGACAGGAAGTTCACTCTCACCGGTCTGAAGGAGGGCTCAAGCCACGAATTCAGAGTCTCTGCAGTTAACCTAGTGGGACAGGGCAAAGCATCCTTCGCCACCAAACCTGTGCAGTGCAAGGATGAACTTGGTGGGTCTTTAAAAATACGGAATAACATCTCGACTTTTTAAAATACCTCACTATAATTAATGTTCCTTTTACAGAACCGCCCACGCTGGAAATGGACATCAGAGAGAAGATGATGGTGAAGGTGGGAGACATGTGCACTCTGTCTGGACGTTACAGTGGCAAGCCAGCCCCAGCCATTGCCTGGAAGAAGAATGATGAAGAGCTGAAGGAGGGTGAGGAGATCAGCCTCCACAGCACAGCCCGCCACCTCAGCCTCAACATCAGCAGAGCCAAGAGAGAGCACAGTGGCTGCTATGCTGTCAGTGTCGAGAACGCAGCTGGTACTCGCACTGGAATCTGCACTATAACTGTTGTTGGTATGTAACAAATAGCATAAAATTTGACATATGCTTCCATTATTTACTTATAATGGCTAAATGTTCAATCATGGCATAAATTCTCCCCCCAGACCGGCCTCAGCCACCAGAGGGCCCAGTTGTTTTCAATGAAATCTACAGAAACTACATGGTAATTTCCTGGAACCCACCTCTGGATGATGGTGGCTGCGCTGTGTCCAACTACATCATTGAGAAGAGAGACACAAACAGAGACTTGTGGATGCCTGTTACTGAATCTTGCACTAGAACCACATGCAGGGTATTTCCTCCACAATGACTGTCAATTATATTATTGAAATAGTATGAACATAAGCGTTCTATAAATAATTTTAATTCCAATCCCAGGTGCCTAAACTGATTGAAGGCAGAGAGTATATCATCAGAATCATGGCTCAGAACATCTATGGTATCAGCGATCCTTTACTTTCCGCTGAGACTAAGGCCAGAGACATTTTCAGTGAGTCTTTTATTACATGAAAGGTTCACCTCCCTCTTAAACAGATTCAACGGTGTCTGACAAGTATTATTCTCTTCCCTATTGCAGAGGTGCCTGACGCCCCTAAACAGCCCACCGTGAAGGAGGTCTACCATGATTCTGCTCTTCTTAGCTGGGAACCTCCTGCAGATGGCGGAAAACCAATCTCTGGCTACATTGTGGAGAGAAAAGAGACCATGGCCAACAGGTACTGAATGACTAAATATATTTTACAGTAGTAGTGAATTTTCACTGAATGGAAACACATTACATTTGTTTGGCTTTACAGATGGGTTCGTTGCAATACAGAGAGAATCCACCCTAAGGTTGAGTACTGGGTGACCGAGCTGTTGCAGGGCTGCGAGTATGAGTTCAGAGTCAGTGCTGAAAATGTGGTAGGAGCTGGTGACCCCAGCCCACCATCCAAACCAGTCTTTGCCAAAGATCCCATAGGTGAGTCAGTCTGTTATAATAAAAATATATATTTCAAATTGTTGCTGTAACATTACTATAATTTTTAAATATTTGTTTACCACAGTTAAACCCAGCCCACCAGTGAACGTTCACTGCATAGATTTCACTAAGGAGTCTGTAACTCTGGCCTGGGAACCACCTAAGGACACTGGCCGAGGAAAGATCTTCGGATATCTGCTGGAGTTCCAGAAAGCTGGAGAAGAGGAATGGCAGCAGGTGGTTGTCTAAGCATGGAGTAGATTTTACAGGAGGATATAATTATTTAACTTAACATTTAAAAAAAATTATACACAGAATAAATGTTTTTCTTTCTTTGCTTGACCATTGTTTGTTGTTGTTTTCAGGTCAATCAGACTCCTGATTCTTGCCAAGATACTAAGTTCAAGGTAATCAACCTGGAGGATGGAGCTCTGTATCGGTTTAGAGTTATGGCCGTAAATGCTGCCGGCGAGTCCGACCCAGCTTCTATTGCAGAACCAATCTTAGTCCAGGACAGACTTGGTAAGAGTTAAGCACAAAACACAATGTGTATCAAAATGCAACATAACTAACAAGACTGTTCTTTGCCCCTTCAGAGCCCCCAGAGTTGATTCTGGATGCTGGTATGACCCGAGAGGTGAAAGCCATGGCTGGCACACACATCGCTCTCATCGCTGAAATCAAAGGTGTTCCATTCCCCACTGTCACTTGGAAGAAGAACGAGGCTGAGGTGCCCACCAGAGCGGACATTGAGACCAACCAGACTGGTACCAGGCTGGAGATGAGGTTCTGTAACCGTGATGATTGTGGAGATTATACCCTCACTGTGGAGAACCCTGCTGGATCAAAGACCGTTACATGCACCGTATTGGTTTTTGGTAAGCCTGTGAATCTAAAATAGTTAAGGCTTTGTGCTTTCAGTAAACAAGCATCATTTTAACTTTCTTCTAGTGACAAAAGTAACCTTATGAATGTTTGTGCATATAACATTTTTGTGTTTTCTTTAGACAAACCCGGCCCCATTCAGCATTTGCGTGTATCCGATGTTAGGTGTGATTCTGCTTACTTGTCCTGGAAAGACCCTGAGGACAATGGTGGTACTCGTATCACTAACTTTGTTGTGGAAAAGAAAGACACAGCCTCCACCCAATGGGTCCCTGTCTGCTCTACCTCCAAGAAGCGCAGCATGATGATCAAGCATCTGATGGAAGGCACTTCATACACATTCAGAGTGGCTGCGGAGAACCAGTATGGACGCAGTGAATATGTGGAGACACCAAAGGCTATCAAAGCCATGAACCCATTGTGTGAGTAAAGACGTCATACCTCTGTGTTTTACACGTGTCTATTATTGTAACAGCTTAAGGAAAACATGTATTCTCATCAGTACATTTGACCTCTTCTCTTTACAGTCCCTCCTGGTCCTCCTAAAGATCTGCACCATGTTGATGTTGATAAGACAGAGGTATGGCTGGAGTGGAACTGGCCTGATCGTAATGGAGGCAGTGAAATCACCGGCTTCTATGTAGAATATCAAGAAGAGGGTGAGAAGGAATGGGATGAGTGGAAGACTGTGAGCATCCCTGAGACTCATGTCACTGGCCTTGAAGAAGGCAAGACCTATCGCTTCAGAGTCAGGGCTGAGAATGCAATTGGCCTCAGCAGACCTGATACCACTGTGCCAATCCTCTGCCAGGAGAAACTTGGTGAGACATTACAGCATACAGAGCACATGTATTATAAGTGAAGATTGAGCTACTCTAATAAATATTGTGTAATTGACATTCTCTGTGCCTTTGTATTTTAGTGCCGCCCATTCTGGAGGTGGATGTGAAGCTCACTGAAGGTATCATTGTGAAGGCTGGCACCACTATCAGGCTGCCTGCTATCATGAGAGGTATCCCTGTTCCCACTGCCAAGTGGAGCATTGAGGGAGAAGAGATCACAAGTGCAGGCAATATCAAGATTGACACTGACAACTTCTCCACTGTGCTCACCATTAATGAATGCACCAGAAACCACACTGGAAGCTATCTACTCACTGTGTCCAACCCAGCTGGAACAAAGACCGCAGCCCTAAACGTGACTGTTTTGGACGTTCCAGCAGCTCCTATTGGACCTGTGAACATCTTGGAGGTCTCTCCTGATGCTATGATGATTGAGTGGCGTCCACCGAAAGATGACGGTGGCAGTCCAGTCACAGGTTACATTGTAGAGAAGAGGGAATCCAACAAGGAGACTTGGGGAGGTGTGAGTTCTGGCAGCTTGGCCACTCAACTCAATATTACCCGTCTGCAAAAGGGAGTGGAGTATGTGGTCCGTATTCGGGCTGAGAACAAGATGGGTGTTGGTGCTCCACTGGAGAGCAAACCCACAGTGGCTGAGCACACCTTTATGCCTCCTAGTCCCCCGGGTAAGCCCAACGTATCTGATGTGGCTGAGGATGCTGTCACTTTAGGATGGACCATGCCTCTGGCAGATGGTGGTAGCCCAATCCATGGTTACATCGTTGAGCGCAGGCACAAAGGCGGAAAGTGGATTCGTGTGAACAAGACACCTCACAAGGACCTTAGGTTAAGAGTCCTGGGTTTGTTTGAGGGCAATCAGTATGAGTTCAGAGTGTTTGCGGAGAATATTGCTGGCTACAGTGGACCATCTCCTATTTCTGACCCATGCGTACCTTGCAGACCCATTGGTGTCCCAAGTGCCCCTATCAACCCCAAAGTGAAAGACTACAGCAAAACCACTGCCGACTTGGTTTGGATGAAACCTTCTAAAGATGGAGGCAGTCCAATTTTAGGCTACACTGTGGAAATGAAGAAGGGTGACAGTGAAGAGTGGAAGAAGGTCAACCTGGATGATTTAATTAAGTCCTGTGTGTATACAGTGAAGGGCCTGGAGGAAGGCGTGACATACAGATTCAGAGTGTTTGCCTCAAACATGATCGGAGATGGAGAGGTCAGAGAGATCCCAGAGTCTATCACAGCTCAGGATATCCTCATTCCTCCAGAGATTGAGATGGATGATACATGCCGTGAGCGTGTCACTGTGCGTGTTGGACACAACATCAACATCACAGGCTACATCAAGGCTCGTCCTGATCCCGAAGTACTCTGGAGCAAGGAAGATACTGTCCTGGAGAACAGCAAGCGTGTAACCATCACCCAAAATCTGCCTGTGGCTCATATTAGGATTAAGGAGGCTACAAGGAATGACCATGGCAAATATACTCTGAAGGCATCAAATGAAGGCGGTGAAGCATCCTGTACAATTACAGTCAATGTCCTGGATAGACCCAACCACTGCCAGAACCTCCACCTGACTTATGTCACAAAGAACTCCTGCATGATTAACTGGGAGGCCCCTCAGGACAACGGAGGCTCTGAGATCACACATTATATTGTTGAGTGCCGTGAACCCAGCATTAGCGTATGGACCATGGTCTCTTCTTGCTGCACTAATCGCAAGATTAAAGCCAAGCTCATGGAGGGCCACGAGTACTTGTTCCGTGTTTGTGCTGCAAACAAGGTCGGACCTGGACCCACTACTGAGACCAAAACAGCTCTTTTGGCTGCTGACCCCCTGCAAAAGCCTGGCGAGCCTGAGAACTTCAGAGTCACGGACATTGGTAAAAACCATGTCTATCTTAGATGGAGGAAGCCCGACTATGATGGTGGAAGCCCTAATATCTCGTACAACCTTGAGTGCAAAGCTGCTAATGCTGAAGAGTGGGAAAAACTCAATACCGGCATCCTCACTGACACCTTCTTCTTGGCAGACAATCGTGCTGAGAACCAGACTTACAGCTTTAGGTAAGTTGCATTAATATTTTTTCAAAATAATTACAGAAGTACGGTTTAGAAGTGCAGTGCAAATAGTTTCTGTACTACTCAATAAAAATCACTTGAAATACCATGTTATTTTATTCTAAAACCATGTTTAATTGTTCCAGGGTGCAAACTGTTGGCGAGGGAGGTGAGAGTGGTTGGGTGAAACTTGACAACATTTTGGTGAAGGAGGAGATCCAGAAGCCTGTCATTGATCTGAAGTTGTCTGGAACCCTGACTGTCAAGGCCGGTGAGTCTGTCAGAATCGAAGCTGGCTTGAGAGGCAAACCCCAACCTGAAGTCAAATGGGTCAAGGATAAGGCTGTGGGCGATAACCCCAGAATGAGCTACGAGACTGGGGCCGACTACTCTAAGTTCCTCCTGACCAAATCCAGAAGAACTGACACTGGAAAGTATGTCATCACCGCCACCAACTCCGCCGGTACCTTCACCGCTTATGCCAATGTGAATGTGCTGGACATCCCAGGACCAGTCAGGAACCTCAGAGTCACTGGCATTGGACCAGACAAGTGCAGAGTGGTTTGGGACGGCCCAGAGGACGATGGAGGCTGTGAGGTAGACAGCTACATTTTGGAGAAGTGTGAGACCAGAAGAATGGTCTGGTCCACCTACTCTGCCTCTGTGGTCACGCCTTATTGCAATGTTACCCGTCTGGTGGAAGGCAATGAGTACATCTTCAGAGTGAGGGCTGAGAACAAGATGGGAACTGGCCCAGCTTTGGAGACCAAGCCGGTGACAGTCAAGACTCAGTTCAATAAGCCTGGACCTCCTGAAGCCCCAGAGGTCACCAAGGTAAACTTTTTTTACATTTAGATAAATCTGCTTCTATAAAGCAAATATTTTTACACCATTTATCCTCATTCACTCATTTCATGTTTTCTGCTCCGTTAAGGTGAGTAAAGAGGAAATGACAGTGGTATGGGCTCCTCCAGAGAACGATGGTGGAAAGTCCATCACTGGTTATATCCTGGAGAGAAAGGAAAAGAGGGCAGTGCGCTGGGTTCCTTGTAACAAGAGTCCTATTTCTGAGAGGCGTATGAAAGTAACCAACCTGATCCCCAACCATGAGTACCAGTTCAGGGTGAAGGCTGAAAATGAAGTTGGCCTTGGTGAGCCAAGTAAACCCTGCAGGCCTGTTGCTGCCAAAGATCCAATTGGTGAGTTTTCAGCTTGTTTATAACAAATTTTAAATAATATGATTTTTTTTTAAATGTTGATTATTTTCATAATTGTGGTTATCATTTTAATTTCCAGAGCCCCCAGGCCCTCCTGCTGGACTTAAAGTGGCTGACAGCACCAAGACCTCCATTACTCTGGGTTGGTCCAAACCTGTCTATGATGGTGGAGCACCTATTATCAACTACAGTCTGGATATGAGACTGAAGAGCGAGGTTGACCCAGAGAAACCCACAGAAGGCTGGAAGAGGATTGATACCCATGGCCCGCTGGTTCTCACCGAGTTTACTATCAGTCAGCTTGATGAGAAACAGGAGTATGAGTTCAAAGTCTCTGCACAGAACCAGGTGGGCTGGGGACGGCACGCATACCTAAAGGAGGCTGTATCTCCCAAAGAAGTCCTGGGCAAGTATTGCGTTTCAGTGATTAGTTTTAAAACTTTCTAAATAGCTGCAGCCATTTAAAGTGTGCTGATTATATGATTACAGAGGCCCCAGAGATTGACTTGGATGCAAGCCTGAGGAAAGGCTTGGCTGTTAGAGCTGGATGCCCAATTAGGCTCTTTGCTGTAATCAGAGGTAGACCTGCTCCTAAGGTCACATGGAAGCGCATGGGTGTAGACAATGTTGTGCGCAGAGGTCATGTGGATCAAGTAGACACCATGTCCTTCCTGGTCATTCCTGAAAGCACAAGAGAAGACTCAGGAAAATATTCTCTGACACTGTCAAATTCAGCTGGAGAGAAGGCAGTGTTTGTTCGCGTCAAAGTACTTGGTGAGTTTTTTAATGCGATGCAAAGTCATTTCCAGGACATACATGCTTCAATACATAAGATCAGATCATTGAATAAATGCTGATTCTTGGACATCTGTATTTTAAAGATACACCTGGACCTGTTGGTGGTTTCGAGGCTACTGATATCACAAAGACGACTGCGCAGCTATCCTGGCTGCCACCAGAGAATGATGGTGGAAGTCCCATCACTAATTACATTGTTGAGAAGCGTGAAGTTGACAGAAAGACTTGGACCAAATGTACTGAGGACCACAAGAAGCCTAGTTTCAAAGTTACCAACATGACACCTGGAATTGAGTACTACTTCAGAGTTATGGCATGCAATAAATATGGCATTGGTGTTCCTCAAGACTCACCGAAATCCTACTTGGCTGTTGATCCTATGAGTAAGTCTTAAAGTACATAAGTATTAAACTGAAACCTATTGTTCTTATCTAACCTTTGCCCACTGTGCAGGTGAACCTGATCCTCCAAAGAAGATGGATGTGCTGGAGATAACCAAGAACAGTGCCACATTGGGATGGTTGAAACCTCTCAGAGATGGAGGATCAAAAATCAATGGTTATGTGGTAGACTACCAGGAAGAGGGAGCTCCCGAGGACAAATGGACACCCTATTCAGTGGTCAAAGATCTGACGATTGTGGTGGTTGGCCTGAAGGAAGGAACCAAATATAAGTTTAGAGTGGCAGCTAGGAATGCAGTGGGAGTAAGCTTGGCTAGAGAGGCAGAGGGAGTGTTTGAGGTGAAAGAGCAGCTCAGTAAGTAGTATGCACCTTTTAAATGTAAAGTCATTAAAAATATAAACTATAGTATTTAGTAATATTGAATATTCTTCTTTTCTCAGTGGCTCCAAAGATCATCATGCCTGACATTGTTACTGTTAGAGCTGGATCTAAATTGGTGGTTGAAGCCATTGTTGCTGGAAAACCTGCTCCATTCTGCAAGTGGAAGCAGGGCAATGAGGATGTTCTAACTTCAGATCGTCTGCAAGTTGTAAAGACACTGACAACATGCACACTCATTATCAAGAATGTGACAAGACAAGACAGTGGCTACTACAGCCTGTCAGCTGAAAACAGCACTTCCAAAATTAACCAGATTCTCAGAGTCACTGTCATGGGTCAGTCTTAAACTTATTTTTTAGCATTCACTTCATTGTTCCTTCAGTTGACCTGTGCCCTTCTTTGCAGACTTGCCTGGCCCACCTGAGGGTCCTCTAGAAATCCTTGAGCGGGATATTGATGCCTGCACACTGCAGTGGAACTCACCGCAGGAAGATGGTGGCAGCCACATCACCAACTATATTGTTGAGAAGTGTGATGTAAGCCAGGGTGACTGGGTGACCGTGTCCACCGCCTGCACCAAAACTGAGTTCAGAATGACTAAGCTGACTCCTGGCAAGGAGTATGGTTTCAGAGTACGTGCTGAGAACAGATTTGGCACTTCAGAGCCTATCTATTCTGAGAGGATCATTGCTAGATATCCATTTGGTGAGTCTAAAAGTACATTTATACATGAAGTCTTTTATGGAGTCTAAAGCTGAATGATGTTTGTTTCTTTCAGATCCTCCTAGTGAGCCTTTGAACTTGCAGATCAATAAAATCAATAAGGACTTTGTCATTCTGTCATGGGAGCGTCCTAGCAGCGATGGCGGCAGTCCACTCATTGGATACTGTGTTGAGAAAAAGGAAAGGAACAGCATTCTTTGGGTCAAGGCTAATGAGTCTGTGGTCAAAGCCACTCAGTACACATGCACTGGCTTGATGGATGGCTTGGAGTACAGCTTTAGGGTTTCTGCACTCAACATTGTTGGACAGGGCAAACCTTGCAAACAGACAGACTTTATTACTGCCAGAACTGCTGTTGGTGAGCAAACAACTTAACAGGTTTTACACTGAATTGAACAATATGCTCTTTGTCTTACATTGTATCCTTTTCTCTACCCTCAGATCCACCTGGTAAACCTGAGCCCATGGATGTGACCAAGAGCTCAGTGTCACTGGTCTGGGCCAGACCTAAACATGATGGTGGTAGCAAGTTGATTGGATACTTTGTAGAATACACAAAGCTTCCAGAAGAGAAATGGACACGCTGCAATGCAAACTGCATGAACATCCAGACTGAGAGCTATGTGGTGTCAGGCTTGGAGGAAGGGCAGCAGTACCAATTCAGAGTCATTGCTAAGACTGCCATCAACATTAGCATGCCATCTGAACTCTCAGATCCTATTCCAGTCATTGCAGAGAATGGTAAGAATAAGTGAAATCGCTGAATGTTCAAATGTTATGATGAGACATGCAGTACTAAAAATGTATTTCTTTTCTGTGCAGTTCCTCCTCGTATTGAGTTGGGTGTCAACATGAAAAATTTGATCATTGCAAAAGCAGGTGAGAATGTATTCCTGGATGCAGAAGTGTTTGGTAAACCCTTGCCCAAGGTGAGCTGGAAGAGAGATGGTGCACCTCTTATTCTTGCGGAGGGAATGAAGATGAAGCAATTGAAACATGTTCATCTGCTTGAGCTGTACTCGGTCACCAGAAAGGAATCTGGAGACTATACCATTACTGCTGAAAACCAAAATGGCTCCAAGTATGCCACTATCAAAGTCAAAGTTCTTGGTAAGTGGTTCTACCTCAAAGCTCACTTAATACATATTCAAAAATGATAACTGCAAGTAATAACATCTGTCACCTTTGCAGACAAACCAGGTCCTCCAGCTTCAGTGAAAATTGCAAAGGTGTTTGCTGACCGTGTAAAAATACGTTGGGAGCCACCAAAGGCAGATGGTGGTTCTGAGATCACCAACTACATCATTGAGAAGCGTGAGACCAGCAGAGCCAATTGGGCCCTTGTTACTTCCAATATTCATGGTCACATCACTGACTGCTCTGTGGAGAAACTGATTGAAGGTCATGAGTATCAGTTCAGAGTCAGTGCTGAAAACCAATATGGAGTCGGAGATGCCATTATGACTGATGGCGTCATGGTGAAGAATCCCTATGGTATATTACTGATAATACTTTTTAATATATTTACAGACACATAATGCATCTTTATTTACATGCAACCTTCTTTATCATACATTTTAGATGTTCCTGGTCCTTGTGAGCCACCTGTAATTACCAACATTACCAAGGATTCTATGACAGTGAGTTGGAAGGCACCAGCTAATGATGGCAAAGCGGCCATCCTTGGATACCTGGTTGAAAAACGTGAAGCCACTGAGCTCACCTGGGCTAAGGTTAACCGTCGCCCAGTGATTGACAGGACTATCAAAGCTACCCAACTGACCGAAGGCTCAGAGTATGAATTTAGAGTTATTGCCATTAACAAGGCTGGTCTGGGCAAACCCAGTGATGCATCGAATGCTGCCCTTGCAGTTGACCCAGTCTGTGAGTATAAATGTCAAATAGCAATTTCTGTCACGGGTTATCAATTTTAACACAATGTCTCTGTCCCCTAGATCCTCCTGGTCCACCTGCTTTCCCTAAAGTCGTAGACTCCACTAAGAGCTCTATCAGTCTTAGCTGGACCAAACCAGCTTACGATGGAGGCTGTGAGATTATTGGTTATTTAGTGGAATGTAAGAGAGCTGATGCTGAGGACTGGAATAAATGCAATGTTCCTAAAAAACTTCAGGCTACTAAGTTTGTGGTGACCGGTTTGATGGACAACACAGAATACCAGTTCAGAGTGATTGCTGTTAACAAGATTGGCAACAGTGAGCCAAGCGATGTCCCTGGAAATCACATGCCTAAGGATATTCTGAGTATGTTTTTCTTTGTTTTTTTTTCCTTTTAACGTGGCCTTGCCAAATGCCCCAAAATGTCTTGATTAACAAATTGTCTGTTACTTTTTTAGTTGCTCCTGATGCTGAGCTGGATGCTGACCTAAGGAAAGGCCTTGTTCTCCGTGCTGGTGTCACCATGAGATTGTACGTCCCTCTTAGGGGCCGCCCAGCACCCAAGGTGACCTGGTCCAAGGTAGATGGCAACCTTAAAGAGAGACGCAACGTGCTGATTAAGACATCAGAGTGGGACACATTGCTCATGATTGAAGATGTGAACAGATATGATGCTGGCAAATATGTCCTGACTCTGGAAAACAGCAGTGGAACAAAGAGTTTCACCATTGTTGTCAAGGTCAACGGTAAGCCTTTACAGGAAGAGTATGCATACAGACAATGTTATAACATGTTCTGTAGACTTGAATTACTAAAACTCTAAAATCTTTATGCTTAGACTCTCCTGGACCACCTACAAACCTCATTGTGAAGGAGACATCCAGAACTCATGCCTGGATTACCTGGGATGCTCCTCTTATTGATGGTGGAGGCCCAGTCAAAAACTACATTGTGGAGAAGCGTCTTGCAGAGAGAAAAGCCTGGACCTGTGTGGCAGCAGATTGTCCTAAACCCTCATTTAGGATTATGAACTTGGAGCCAGGACAAGCGTACTGCTTTAGAGTACTGGCTGAGAATGCCTATGGAATCGGAGAGGGCATTGAAACAGCTGGAAGCGTTCGGGCATCAGGTAAAGGGCACTAAAGTGTACTTTTGAAAATGAGAAAATTTCTTTCATTGTAAGTTTATTTAATTGCATTTAATTTATTTCCACCACAGAGAGACCTGGACCAGTTAGTGAGTTCAAAGCCACAAAAACCACTAAGAATTCAATTACACTGGGATGGAAAAAGCCCATCAGTGACGGTGGCAGCTTTGTAACTGCTTACATCTTGGAACAAAGTGAAGGCGAGGACAAATGGAAGGAGATCTTGAAAGGCAAAAACACCTCACACAGCATTAATGAGCTGTCTGAAGGCAAGGAGTACTTGTTTAGAGTCAAGGCTCTCAATGAGTCAGGAGAAGGACCACCGACTGACCTAACTGTTGTTGCCAAAGATCAATTTGGTGAGAAAACAAACCCTACTCTTGCATCGGTTCTGTTTTAATACAAATCTATATTTATTTTTATGTTTTTCTGTTTTAGTTCTTCCTGACTGCAACTTGAGCAGTCTGCATGATGGCTGCTGTGTGGTTAAGGAGGGCAGCACCACACGTATCAACATCCCACTAATTGGCATTCCTCAACCAACTGCCACCTGGAAGAAGGGAGATGTTGGCATTGGAGAAACTGGACACATGTGTATTGAGGCATCCCCAGGTGTAACTACTTTGCTTATCAGGGACTGCCAGAGGGGAGATGCTGACACATACTCCATTCATGTCAGGAACAGTGCCGGAACCAAAGACTGTAAATTCCAACTCAAAGTGGTTGGAAAACCTGGTATCTGCACAGGTCCCATTAAGTTTGATGAAATTACAGCAGATGCAATAACACTGGAATGGGCACCACCTAAAGATGACGGTGGTGCTGAGGTGTCCAACTATATTGTTGAGAAGAGAAGAACAACAGATAATAAGTGGGCCACAGTGGCTTCTGCCATCCAGAAGACCACTATGAGGGTGGTCCGCTTGCATGATGGCATTGAGTATATCTTCAGAGTGTTTGCTGAAAACAAATATGGGGTTGGAGAGTACCTGAGGTCAGACCCTGTCATTGCCCAGCATCCATTCAGTAAGTATTGTACCTGTCAGTTTTTATGGGTACTTAATGGCTATTTGTTTTTCATGTATAAATCTGTTATAACCTTTTTGCACAAATAGATGTGCCTGAGGCTCCTGCTCCTCCAGAGATTTTGAGCATTCGTCATGAGTCTGCTATTCTGAGTTGGACAGACCCAAAAGACACTGGTGGCTCCCCAATAACTGGTAACATCCTGAAATTAATCTAAGCTATGCATATGCATATTAGGTCTATTTGTTGATCCAATTTCTTTCCTCAGGCTATCATGTGGAGTTCAAGGAAAGAAACAGTCTAATGTGGAAACGGGCTAGTAAAACTCCTTTGAGAGTGAAGGAGTGCAGAGTCACTGGCCTTATTGAAGGTCTTGAGTATGAGTTCAGGGTGATGGCTATGAATATGGCTGGCATTGGAAAGGCAAGCAAGGTGACAGAGGCAGTTGTTGCCTTGGATCCTATTGGTAAGTAACTAGTTATTAATTAGAATGATTAAAATGTGGAAGGATGAACTTGGTAATCTGCATCTCTGTTTTCTCAGATCCTCCCGGAAAACCTGAAGTTATTAACATCACCCGCAGCACTGTCACTTTGATCTGGACTCCTCCCAAATATGATGGAGGCTACAAGTTGACTGGCTACATGGTGGAGAAGCTTGAGTCTGGTGGAAAGACTTGGCTGAAGGCCAATCATGTTAACATTCAAGGTTGTGCCTTTACCGTAACTGATCTCACTGAGGGATCACAATACCAGTTCAGGATCAGAGCTAAGAATTCTGCTGGCGCAATCAGTGTACCATCAGAGCCAACGGAGTCTTTGACATGCAAGGATGAGTATGGTAGGTTACTGACACAAAATGTCATAATGTAAATATTGTGCTATCTGTATGCTTGAATTTTATAAAATGCACGTACAATGAAATTTACATTTCATACCCTGCAGAGCCACCAACCATCACAATCGATCCAGATATGAAGGATGGAGTATCTGTCAGGGCAGGAGACACAATTGTGATTACTGCTTCCAAGATTGTTGGTAAACCTCCACCTACTTCTGCCTGGTCTAAAGGAGGACGTGAGCTGAAGAACTCAGAAGTTGTCGCCATCACTACCACCCCTACCTCTTCCACAATTGCTATCAAGTATGCTAGCAGGAAGAACACTGGAGACTATGTCATCACAGCAAGCAATCCATTTGGAATTAAAGAAGAGCATGTAAAGGTTAAAGTCCTAGATAACCCTGGTCCACCAGGTCCAGTTGAGGCCAGTAATATTTCGGCTGAAAAGTGTACATTGACTTGGCTTCCACCAGAAGAGGATGGAGGTAGTTCCATTAAGTCCTACATTCTTGAGAAGAGGGAAACCAGTCGACTGCAATGGACCAAAGTCGCTGAAAACATAATGGACTGTAGATTTGTAGTCAGTAAACTAATCAAGGGCAATGAGTATATCTTCAAAGTGTCTGCTGTAAATCAGTATGGTGAAGGAGATTCAAGCCAGTCTGCTCCAGTGAAAATGGTTGACAGTTACCGTAAGTTAATAATGTTGTTATGATTATATTTTACTTGATCAGGAATTTTGGATTCTTTTTTAAATTTATAACTCCTCTTTGCTTTTTTCACAGGCCCACCTGGTCCCCCATCAGTCCCAGAGGTTGATAATGTTAGCAGGAATGCGGTTACCATTTCATGGAAGAGACCGGTCCAGGATGGAGGAAGTGACATAAGAGGCTATTGTGTTGAGAGGAAAGAAAAGAGAGGAATGAGATGGGTCAGAGCATGTAAAAGAACAGTCCCTGACCTGCGCTTCAAGGTGCAAGGCCTGAGCGAGGGAGTTGAATATGAGTTCAGAGTCACAGCTGAAAACAAAGCTGGATTTGGGGAGCCTAGTGAGCCATCACGTCCTGTTATGACCAAGGACATTGTCTGTAAGTGATTATACACACTGTAACAGATTCTAAATAAAATATGGTTCATAATATTAATAAATAAGACATCTGAACTGGATTTTTTTCTTCACAGATCCACCAGGTCCACCATCCAACCCCAGAATTGTGGAGACAACAAAAACCACAGCTTCCTTTGCTTGGGGTAAACCCCATTATGATGGTGGTCTTGAAGTAGAAGGATATATTGTTGAGTACAAGAAAGAAGGCCATGACGACTGGGAGACCGAGACACAATATCCAATTAAAGTAACAGAATATGTCATTGGAAAACTGCAAAAAGGAGGCAAATATCACTTTAGGGTAAAAGCAGTTAACTCTGAAGGCACAGGAGAACCGGCAGAAGTTGAGAAAGTAACTGAACTGGTTGACCAGGAGTCACTGCCAGACTTTGAGCTGGATGCTGAACTCAGAAGAACTCTGGTAGTCCGTTGTCGTGCTTCAATTCGAATGTTTGTTCCCATTAAAGGTCGCCCAGTTCCTGAGGTAACCTGGAGCAAAGACGACACCAACCTTAAAACAAGGGCCCATATTGACACCACAGAGTCATACACATTGCTTGTCATACCCGACTGCACACGATATGATGCCGGAAAGTACAATCTCTGTCTTGAAAATGTTGCTGGAAAGAAGACAGGCTTTGTAAATGTCAGAGTTCTTGACACACCAGGACCACCAGTACACCTTAAACCAAGAGAAATAACAAAGAACAGCATTACCCTCCAATGGGAGATTCCTATTATTGATGGAGGTTCAAAGATTCACAATTATATTGTTGAAAAGAGGGAAGCCACCAAGAAAGCATATAATGTTCTGAGCACTTCATGGCAAAAATGTTCTTTCAAGATACCTGACCTGGAGGAAGGAGCTTATTATTATTTCCGTGTCTCCGCTGAGAATGACTTAGGTGTGGGTGAGCCAGCAGAAACACCAGAGCCAATCAGAGTCTCTCAAGCACCTTCTCCACCGGAGAACTTGTATGTTACGGATGTCACTGCAGATAGCGCAAGTTTGTCATGGACCAAACCCCTGCATGATGGAGGCAGTTTGATAACAGGTTATGTTATTGAGTATCAAAAGAAAGACACTGATCAGTGGGTCCATGCGACAACTATCAAGGCACTGGACTACACTGTCCCAGATTTGATTGAAGGAGCAGAATATACTTTCCGCATCATGGCTGTCAATGCATCAGGCAGAAGTGACCCACGTGAGAGTAGACCAGCTGTTGTTAAAGAGCAGACCTCTGCTCCATCCTTTGACATGCGGGCAGTGTACCAGCAGACTGTTATTGCTAAAGCCGGAGATCGTGTCAAGGTAGAAATTCCTGTTCTTGGTAAACCAAGACCTGTGGTTACCTGGAAGAAGGGTGATGTTGTGCTCAAGGAAACTCAAAGAATTAATGTTGAAACGACACATACATCTACTATTCTCAACATTGGAGAGATCAAGAGAAGTGATGGAGGCCAGTATTCTATGACTGGAAAGAATCTGCTGGGTACAGTAACAGAGACCATTACAGTACTGGTCCATGATATTCCTGGTCCTCCAACTGGTCCTATTAAACTGGATGAGGTCTCATGTGACTATGTTCTCTTGTCCTGGGAAGCACCAGAGAATGATGGAGGAGTTCCAATCAACAACTATATTGTAGAGATGCGTGAAACTACTGGCTCTGGTTCTTGGATGGAATTGGCAGCCACAGTTATTCGCACTACATTCAAGGCAGCAAGGCTCACAACTGGAATGACGTATCAATTCCGTGTTAAGGCTCAGAACAGATATGGTATTGGACCTTGTATTGTGTCAGAACCTGTTGTAGCAGCATATCCATTTGATGTGCCAGGTCAACCAGGAACTCCTGTAGTTACATCTTTCAACAAAGATTCCATGACACTGAGCTGGAATGAGCCATCTTCCGATGGAGGCAGCCCCATTCTTGGTTACCATGTTGACAGAAAGGAGAAGAATAGTATCCTTTGGCAGAGAATAAGCAAAGCTCTTGTTGTTGGAAATATCTTTAAGTCCACTGGACTTGTTGATGGAATTATATATGAACATCGTGTTACAGCGGAAAACATGGCTGGTCTGAGCAAACCAAGCAAACCCTCTGAGCCAATTTATGCCTTGGATCCAGTTGACCCACCAGGCAGGCCTGTGGCTCTTAACATCACCAGGCATGAGGTGACTGTCTCTTGGACCAAACCAGAGGGAGATGGTGGATTTTCCATCACTGGATATACTGTTGAGAGGCGGGAGCTTCCCAATGGACGCTGGCTCAAGGCCAACTTTAATAATATACTTGAAACTATTTATACTGTCAGTGGTCTAATTGAAGATGCAACTTATGAATTCCGTGTGTTTGCCAGAAACTCAGCTGGTGCTGTTAGTGCTCCATCACAGTCATCTGAAGCAATAACTTGCAGAGATGATATTGAAGAGCCTAGACTTGATGTTGATGCATCTTACAGTAGCAATGTTGTTGTATTGGCAGGAGAGGTCTTCAAACTGGAGGCCAATGTAACTGGCAGGCCTATCCCTTCATTGGTATGGACCAAAGAAGGAAAAGAGCTTGAAGACACAGCAAAGATTGAAATCAGGTCAACAGACTTCCACACAACTCTCATTAACAAAGATTCCCTCAGAAGAGATGGTGGTGCTTTTACTCTAACAGCAAGCAACCCTGGTGGCTTTGCCAAGTTTACATTTAATGTAAAGGTGCTTGATAGACCTGGGCCCCCAGATTCTCTTACAATTACTGATGTAGCTGCTGAGAAATGTGTTCTTAATTGGCTGCATCCAAGTCATGATGGAGGTGCAAAGATTGAGTACTTTATCATCCAGAGACGTGAAACCAGTAGGCTGGCATGGACAAATGTTGCCACAGATCTCCAGGCTAACAGGTTCAAAGTGACAAAACTTCTAAAAGGCAATGAGTACGTCTTCAGAGTCATGGCTGTTAACAAATATGGCGTGGGTGAACCTGTGGAATCTGAACCCATCATTTGTGTTAATCCATATGTGCCAAGTGATGCACCTTCACAACCAGAAGTCACCACTATCACAAAAGACTCTATGGTTGTGTGTTGGGAGCGACCAGAACATGATGGTGGAAGCAGAATTAACACCTATATCATTGAAAGAAGAGATAAGACAGGGATGCGATGGGTAAAGTGCAACAAGAGGACTGTAACAGACTTAAGATTCAAGGTTTCTGGTCTTACACCTGGCCATGAGTATGAATTTAGAGTATTTGCTGAGAACAATGCTGGTCTAAGTCAACCCAGTCCTTCCAGTCCATTCTACAAAGCTGTTGACACCATCTTCCAACCAGGACCACCAGGAAATCCAAGGGTCCTGGATACAACAAAGTCCTCAATTACTCTGGCATGGAACAAGCCTGTATATGATGGTGGTTCTGAAATCACTGGATATGTTGTGGAGACTTGTCTGCCAGAAGAGGATGAATGGACAATTCAAACTCCCAAGAAAGGATGGACTGCTACCTCCTTCACAATAACCAACTTGAAAGAAAATCAGGAATATAAAATTAACATCTGTGCTACTAACTGTGAGGGAGTGGGAGAACCTGCTGCTGTGCCAGGAACACCAAAAGCGGAAGACAGATTGCTTGCTCCAGAAGTTGAACTTGGAGCAGAGTTGCGCAAAGTTGTTTGCATAAGAGCTTGTAGCACACTCAGACTCTTTGTACCTATCAAAGGAAGACCAGCACCTGATGTGAAATGGGCAAGAGAACATGGAGAATCCCTGGACAAAGCCAACATTGAAGTTACCCCATCTTTTACTACTCTTCAGGTTGAAAATGTTGATAGGTTTGATGGTGGTAAATATACAGTCACTGTCGAGAATGCCTCAGGAAGCAAGACCGCTTTTGTTAATGTCAGAGTGCTTGATACCCCAGGTGCACCTCAAAATCTCTTAGTTAAAGAGGTTACAAGAGACTCTGTGTCACTTGTTTGGGATGCCCCTCTTATTGATGGTGGCTCACGAATTCGCAACTATATTGTGGAGAAACGTGAATCTGCCAGAAAAGCATACTCCACAGTGTGTGCAAGCTGCCACAAGTCCAGCTGGAAAATTGGAGAGCTTGAAGAAGGAAAAACCTATTTCTTCAGAGTCTTGGCAGAAAATGAATATGGCATTGGACTTCCTGTGGAAACACTGGAACCTATTAAAGTATCAGAGAAGCCACTGCCTCCTGGCAAAGTTTCCCTTGTGGAAGTGACAGGAACCAGTATCACTCTAAGTTGGGAAAAACCTGATCATGATGGTGGTAGCAGAATCACAGGATATATTGTAGAAATGCAGGGTAAAGGAAGTGACAAATGGACACAGGTCATGGTGGTGAAGTCCACTGGGGCTGTTGTCACTGGCCTTACTCAAGGAGAGGAATACATGTTCCGAATTTCAGCCACAAATGAAAAAGGGGTTAGTGATCCACGTCCCCTGAATGTCCCTGTTGTTGCTAAAGACTTGGTTATTCCACCTACTTTCAAAATGATCTTCACCACCTTCAGCGTGCTTGCAGGAGATGATCTGAAGATAGATATACCTTATGCTGCGTGTCCGATGGCCACTGTTACATGGCTCAAAGATGGGGCTGTCCTGAAAGAAACTACAAGAGTTAATGCTGAAGCCACAGACAAAAACCTCAAATTGGTCATCAAGGACTCTTGCAGAGATGATGTGGGAACATACACTATTAAATTACACAATACAGCTGGTGATGCATCTTCAGACATTAATGTAGTTGTGCTTGATAAGCCTGGTCCACCAACTGGTCCCATCAAAATGGAAGAAATCACATCAGACAGTGTGATTTTAACCTGGAATCCTCCAGAGTATGATGGTGGTTGTGCTATAAACAATTACATTGTTGAGAAGAGAGACACATCTACAACTAACTGGCAAATAGTCTCTGCCACAGTGGCACGTACAACTATTAAGGCTGCCCGCCTGAAGACTGGATCAGAGTATCAGTTTAGAATTGCTGCAGAAAACCGATATGGAAAGTCATCTGCCCTCCTCTCTGAAACACTTATTGCACAATATCCATATGAGGTGCCTAGCCAACCACGTTCCGTAACCGTACAGTCTGCAACTAAAGAGAGCATGGTTATTTTATGGGACGTACCCAGCAATGATGGTGGAAGCAAGATTCTTGGATATCATGTAGAGCTAAAAGAAAGAAATAGTCTCTTGTGGGTGAAACAAAATAAACAAATTATCCCAGAAACTAGATTTAAGGCAGTTGGACTTGAGGAAGGTATTGAGTATGAATTCAGAGTCTATGCTGAAAATATTGTTGGTCTCAGTAAAGCCAGCAAGGTCAGTGAGTTGCAAGTAGCTAGAGATCCTTGTGACAGACCAGGCAAACCAGAGGCTGTTATTGTCACCAGAAATGCTGTAACACTCAGATGGACCAAACCTGAGTATGATGGTGGAATCAAAATCACAGGCTATGTCGTTGAAAAGAAAGAAGGTGAAGGCCGTTGGATGAAGGCTAGTTTCACAAACATCATTGAGACCGAGTTTGTTGTCTCAGGTCTTACTGAAGATCAAATTTATGAGTTCCGCGTTATTGCAAGAAATTCAGCAGGTGTCTTTAGCTTGCCTTCAGATTCAACTGGAGCTATTACTGCAAAGGATGAGGTGGATCCACCTAAAATTGACTTGGAAGCTAAATACTCACAAGCTGTTGTTGTAAATGCTGGAGACACATTCAAGCTTGAGGCTTCAGTTTATGGTAAGCCCGTGCCCTCTATCTTCTGGATAAAGGAAGGACAAGTGATTACTGAAGCAGCTCGCTTGGAAATCAAAAACACAGACTTCTTAGCCTGTATTGTCGTAAAAGAAGCCATTCGAATTGACGGAGGACAGTACACATTGCTTGTTAAGAATGTAGGAGGAGAAAAATCTGTTAACATTAATGTTAAGGTATTGGACAGGCCAGGTCCTCCGGAGGGCCCCATCTCTATATATGGTGTTGCAAATGAAAAATGCTCTATTGCATGGAAATCACCCTTACAAGATGGAGGCAGTGAAGTTTCCCATTACATTGTAGAGAGGCGAGAGACCAGCAGGCTGGTTTGGACTGTAGTTGAACCTAAAGTTCAAACCCTCAATTTGAAGATTACTAAACTTGTTCCTGGTAATGAGTACATCTTCAGAGTAATTCCAGTCAACAAGTATGGAATTGGTGAGCCCCTGGAATCTGAGCCAATGATTGCTAGAAATCCATTTGTTGCTCCAAACCCACCAACAGAGGTAGATGTGTCTACCATCACCAAAGATTCCATGGTAGTTACATGGGAGAGACCAACCAACGATGGTGGCAGCGCAATCCAAGGATATGTTGTTGAAAAACGTGACAAAGATGGTGTTAGGTGGACCAGGTGCAACAAGCGTACAGTCAGTGAACTGCGATTTAGAGTGACTGGACTCCTTGAAAACCATAGTTATGAGTTTAGAGTTTCTGCTGAAAATGCTGCTGGTGTTGGGACACCAAGCCCAGCAACAATCTACTTCAAGGCAGTGGATCCCACATTCAAGCCAGGCCCACCAAACAACCCAAAGGTTGTGGATTCAACCAGATCTACCGTTTCTCTCACCTGGGGAAAGCCCATCTATGATGGGGGCTGTGACATTCAAGGATATATTGTGGAGGCTTGCAATGGAGCATCTGATGAATGGTTTATGTGCACTCCTCCAGCAGGAGTCCCTGAAACTAAGTTTACAGTAACAAAACTTCTGGAGAAACATGAATACACATTCAGAGTCTGTGCAATCAACAAAGTTGGGGTTGGTGAGCAAGCCAATGTTCCTGGTAAAATTCTTCTTGAAGAAAAGCTTGAGGCTCCTGATCTTGATCTGGATGCTGAAATGAGAAAAATGATTAATATCAGGTCTGCCTGTACTTTGAGACTATTTGTTCCTGTGAGAGGCCGCCCTGCTCCTGAGGTGAAATGGAGCAAGGCTGATGGTGAGATTAAAGAGACAGCCCAGATTGACAATACGGGTACCTACGCTTCTCTTGTGATTGAAAATGTTGATCGATTTGATAGTGGCAAGTACATTCTTACAGCAGAAAATGCCAGTGGAGTCAAGTCAGTTTTTATCAGTGTAAGAGTACACGATTCTCCAAGCCCTCCAACCAACTTAATTGTCAAAGAGATCTCTAAAAATTCTGTGACTCTTACATGGGAGCCCCCTCTTTTGGATGGTGGTGCCAAAATTAAACATTATATAGTTGAAAAGCGTGAAAGTACACGAAAGGTTTACTCTCCTGTCACCACCTGCAACAGGATGTCATGGAAGATTGAACCTCTTCCAGAGGGTGGAATCTACTTCTTCAGAGTTTCTGCTGAGAATGAGTATGGTGTTGGTCTTCCTGCAAAAACATTAGAGCCGATTAAAATATCAGAGAAGCCTCAGCCACCGGGCAAAGTAAGTCTTGTTGATGTTACAAACAGCACTGTCACCCTCACCTGGGAAAAGCCTATCCATGATGGAGGTAGTAGGATAAATTGCTATGAAGTTGAACTTGCACCTAAAGATAGTGAAGCCTGGTCTGTCTGTGCTGCTGTAAAGGGAATTGAGACAACAGTGACAAACCTTTTGAAGGGAGAAGAATATCAGTTCAGAGTTGTTGCTGTTAATGAGAAAGGCAAAAGTGACCCCAGACAACTGGTTCAGTCTGTTGTGGTGAAGGATCTTGTGATTGAGCCTGCTGTTCGACCTAAAGTCAGTACATACCATGTCCAGGTCGGGTATGATCTCAAAATTGAGGTTCCAATTGCTGGTCATCCAAAGCCAACGATTACCTGGACTAAAGATGGCACTGCTCTGAAACAAACTACCAGAGTCAACGTTACAGACTCAGTACATCATACAACACTTACTATAAAGGATGCTACAAAAGAGGATGGAGGCATGTACAGCATCAATGTTGCCAATAACCTGGGCTCTAAAGATGCCTCAATTGAGGTGATAACGCTTGACAAACCGGGTCCTCCAACAGGCCCTGTCAAGTTTGAAGACATCAGTGCTGAAAGTATCACACTTAACTGGGAACCACCCACATATACAGGTGGCTGTCCAATTTCCAACTATGTAGTGGAGAAGAGGGACACAACCACAGTAAACTGGGTGGTTGTATCTGCTACTGTGGCAAGAACAACGCTTAAGGTTTCAAATTTGAAGACTGGGGCTGAATACCAATTCAGAATCTATGCAGAGAACAGATATGGAAAGAGTTATGCGATTGATTCCGAACCTGTCCTTGCACAGTATCCTTTCCAGGAACCCGGTCCACCTGGAACACCATTTGTGTCATCATACACCAAGGATTACATGGTAGTTGAATGGCACAAACCCCCATCTGATGGTGGAAGTGCCATCTTGGGCTACCACTTGGAAAGAAAGGAGAAAAACAGCATCCTCTGGACTAAGATCAACAAGATTCTTATCCAAGATTGCAGATTCAAGTCTACACCCCTTGAAGAAGGCATTGAGTATGAGTACAGAGTATATGCTGAGAATATTGTTGGAATAGGAAAATGCAGCAAAGTCTCTGAAGTATGTGTTGCTCGTGACCCATGTGATCCCCCAGGCCGCCCTGAGGCTATAATTGTCACCAGGCACTCAGTTAAACTGAGATGGACAGCTCCAGTATATGATGGTGGAAGTAAGGTTACTGGTTATATAGTGGAAAAACGTGACCTACCTGAAGGAAAATGGATGAAGGCTAGCTTTGCTAATGTCATTGAACATGAATTCACAGTCACAGGATTAACAGAAGACTGTAAATATGACTTCAGAGTTCTAGCCAGAAATGCTGCTGGTGCTGTCAGCAAACCTTCTGAAAGCACAGGAGCCATCACAGCCAAAGATGAAGTTGAACCACCAAAGTGTGAAACTGATCCTATGTACAACCAAACACTTGTTATTAATGCTGGTGAAACATTTGTGCTGGAGGCCAGTGTAGAAGGAAAACCTGTACCAATTGCTCAGTGGTTTAAAGGAGACAAGGAAGTTGAAAATTCAGCAAGAGCTGAGATCAAAAATGAAGATTTCAAGGCTGTTTTGGTTGTCAAGGATGCCATCAGAGTCGATGGAGGACAATATACATTGGTCTTAACCAATGTTGCTGGAACCAAGACAGTTCCCTTCAGTGTCAAGGTTTTGGACAGACCAGGTCCATCAGAGGGGCCACTCACAGTGAGCAATGTCACAGAGGAAAAATGTTCTCTGTCATGGCTCCCTCCCAGACATGATGGTGGGGCTAGCATTTCTCATTACATTATTCAGAAGAGAGAAACCAGTCGCCTAGCATGGACTGTTGTTTCAGCTGATTGTGGAGCAACTATGTTCAAGGTTACCAAACTTCTGAAGGGCAATGAGTACATCTTTAGGGTCATGGCTGTGAACAAATATGGTGATGGTGAGCCTCTTGAGTCGGCACCAGTTATCATGAGAAATCCATTTGTTCCTCCAAGCTCACCCACTGAGCTTGAGATCACTAACATCACAAGGGACTCTATGACTGTTTGTTGGAATCGACCTGAAAGCACTGGAGGAAGTGAGATTGTTGGATACATTGTGGAAAAGAGAGACAGAGCTGGAATCAGATGGACCAAATGTAATAAACGCAGAGTAACAGATTTGCGTTTCAGAGTGACAGGATTGACTGAAGACCATGAATATGAATTTAGATTATCTGCTGAAAATGCAGCTGGAGTTGGCAAACCTAGCCCCGCCACTCCCTATCTCAAAGCATGTGATCCCACCTTTGAACCCGGCTGCCCAGCCAATGTCCATGTGGTCGATGTCACCAAAGACACTGTCACTGTTGCTTGGCAAAGACCTATCTATGATGGCGGTTGTGACATTCAAGGATATGCTGTTGAAATTACCAAAGCTGATGAGGAAGAATGGACAATTTGTACACCACCATCGGGTGTTCCTGCTACTAAATTCACCATCCCCAAGCTGACTGAGCACCAGGAATATAAAGTCCGTGTCTGTGCCATCAACAAGTTAGGTATTGGTGAGCCAACTGAACTCCAAGGAGTGGTAAAACCGTTGGAAAAGATTGATGCCCCTGAGGTGATACTTGATTCTGAACTCAGGAAAGGAATTGTTGTCCGGGCAGGAGGCTCCATGAGAATATGCGTCCCATTCAAGGGCCGTCCAACTCCTGAAATTAGCTGGTCTAAGGAGGGCGGAGAACTTCCCACTAAAGTACAAATAGAAACAGGCGAGGATTACAGCCAGCTTTCTGTTGACATCTGTGATAGAGACGACGCTGGGAAATACATCCTCAAACTGGAAAACAGTGCTGGCACCAAAACTGCTTTTGTTTCTGTTAAAGTTCTAGATACTCCAGGAGCACCCGTTAATCTCACAGTGAAAGACATTAAGAGGCAAAGTGTGACCCTAACTTGGGAACCACCCATCATTGATGGTGGTGCAAGAATCAAAAACTACCTTGTTGAGAAGCGTGAGTCCACCAGAAAGGTGTTTTCTAATGTGGACAATAAGTGCACCAAGACAAGTTATCGCATCACTGGGCTTACTGAAGGAACTGTCTATTACTTCAGAGTATTGGCTGAAAATGAATTTGGAGTGGGGCAGGCAGTTGAGACAGAGAGCTCAGTTAAATGTTCTGAACCTCCTCTACCTGTCGGTAAGGTGGCTTTGACTGATGTGACCAAGACCACAGCTACACTTTCCTGGGAAAAGCCAGATCATGATGGAGGTAGCAGGATTATGGGTTACTATATTGAGATGCAGCCTGTTGGATCAGAGGAATGGGTAGTTGCTGCCACAACAAAAACTTGTGAAGGCACTGTCCTTGGCCTCAGTGCAGGGCATGAATATCTCTTTAGAGTTTCAGCCTTTAATGAGAAAGGTAAGAGTGATCCTAGGGCTCTTGCTTCACCAGTCACAGCAAAGGATGTCACAGTTATGCCTGGCTTTAAGATCAGATACAGCACTTACAGTTTGCAACAAGGTGAGGACCTAAAGATTGAGATCCCCGTGCTGGGACGCCCTACTCCCAAGGTTGAATGGAAAAAGGATGGTCACTCTCTTAAAGAAACCACCAGATTAAATGTGTCAAGTACAGCCACTTCTACTAAGCTTCTTATCAAGGATGCAAATAGAGAAGACTCTGGAAAATACAGTCTTACAGCTACAAGCTCTATTGGAACAACTACAGAGGAAATAACAGTTATTATTCTTGATAAACCTGGTCCTCCCACTGGTCCTGTTAAAATTGAGGAGGTGAGCTCTAACTATGTCTGCCTTTCCTGGGAGCCACCAGAGTATACAGGAGGTTGCCAGATCAACAACTACATTGTAGAAAAGAGAGATACAACAACAACAGCCTGGCAGATTGTCTCTGCTACAATTGCCAGAACAACTATCAAAGTAACTAATCTGAAGACTGGAGTTGAATATCAGTTCAGAGTATCTGCTGAGAACAGATATGGAAAGAGTCCTGCTATTCTTTCACCTTCTGTAATTGCACAGTATCCATTCACTGAGCCAGCTGCTCCAGGTACACCAGTTGTTTCTGCAGCAACCAAAGATAATATGGTGGTAGAATGGAAACCTCCTACTAACAATGGAGGTAGTCCCATCTTGGGTTATCATTTGGAGCGAAAGGAAAAGAATAGTCTAATGTGGACTAAACTCAACAAGCTGCTTATTCCTGAACCTCGTTTCAAAACAACAGAGCTGGAAGAGGGCATTGAGTATGAATTTAGAGTTTATGCTGAAAATATTGCTGGACTTAGCCCAGCAAGCAAGGTCTCTGAAAGCACAGTTGCAAGAGATCCATGTGACCCACCTGGCACTCCTGAAGCTATTGAAATTACCAGAAACCATGTGACACTTAAATGGACTCGACCCCAATATGATGGAGGCAGTGCTATTACAGGCTATATTATTGAGAGGAAGAAGTATCCAGATACACGGTGGATGAAAGCCAGCTTTACCAACATCATTGATACTCAGTTCACTCTCACCGGTCTCACTGAAGATTGCGTATATGAATTTAGAGTTGTTGCTAGAAATGCTGCTGGTATCTTTAGCCGTCCTTCTGAGAGTACTGGAGAAATAACTGCCAAAGATGAAATCGAGGCCCCAGAAGCTAGTATGGATCCAAAGTTCAAAGATCTAACTGTTGTCCATGCTGGAGAGTCATTTGAAATTGATGCTGATTACAGTGGCAAGCCACTACCAGAAGTTATTTGGCTCAAAGATGGAAAGGAGATTGACCAAACAACACCAAGAATGGAGGTTAAGACCACACTTACACGTACTATCTTGACAGTAAAAGAGTGTATCAGAGTGGATGGAGGTCATTTTACTCTCAAACTGGTCAATGTGGGTGGAGTTAAAATGATTCCAGTAAATGTTAAAGTCTTAGACAGACCTGGTCCTCCAGACGGGCCACTGGAAGTCAAGGGAGTAACAGCTGAAAAATGTTATCTGCACTGGAACCATCCTTCACATGATGGCGGAGCAAGCATCTCCCATTATATAATTGAAAAGAGAGAAACCAGTCGTTTGTCTTGGACCATGGTAGAACCAAAAATTCAAGCCATCAGCTACAAAATTACCAAACTTCTTCCTGGAAATGAATATATTTTCAGAGTCACAGCTGTGAATAAATATGGTATTGGAGAGCCACTTGAATCAGAACCTGTAATTGCCCGCAATCCCTTTACCACCCCCAGTGCTCCCTCTACCCCAGAAGCTGGTGCCATCACCCGAGACTCTATTGTGCTTACTTGGGAAAGACCAGAAAGTGATGGAGGAGCAAGCATTGAAGGATATGTGCTTGAAAAGCGTGACAAGGATGGCATTCGATGGACAAAATGCAACAAGAAGAGGTTGACTGATTTGAGGTTCAGATGCACTGGTCTAACTGAGGGCCACTCATACGAATTCCGCGTTGCAGCTGAAAATGCTGCTGGCATTGGAAAGCCCAGTGCACCAACTGAGTATATCAAGGCTTGTGATGCAACATATCCACCAGGCCCCCCTAATAACCCTAAGGTCACAGACCATTCCAGCACAACTGTCTCCCTGTCATGGAGTAGGCCTATTTATGATGGAGGGGCATCCATCACCGGATACATGGTGGAGGTGAAGGAAGCAACAGATGATGAGTGGGTTACCAGTACACCATACACAGGAGTTCAGGCTACAAACTTCACTGTCAAGAAACTGAAGGAGAATGCAGAGTATAACTTCCGTATTAGCGCTATTAACTGTGAAGGTGTTGGCGAGTATGTGGAATTGCCTGGCACCGTAATTGCTGCTGAGAAACTTGAGGCTCCTGAAATTGAGCTTGATGCCGATCTGAGGAAAATGGTGAACATCCGTGCTACTTCAACACTCCGTTTGTTTGTGACTATTAAAGGAAAACCTGAGCCTGAAGTGAAGTGGTCCAAGGCAGATGGTACATTAAATGAGCGTGCTCAGATTGAAGTCACAAGCTCCTACACAATGTTAGTCATTGAGAACGTTGACAGGTTTGACACTGGAAAATATGTTCTGACTCTTGAGAATCTTAGTGGTTCAAAATCTGCCTTCATCAATGTGAGAGTACTCGACTCACCCAGTGCACCAACTAATCTGGCAGTTAAGGATGTGAAGAGAAGCTCTGTTTCTCTCTCCTGGGAGCCTCCCCTCATTGATGGTGGAGCTAAGATATCACACTATATTGTGGAAAAAAGAGAACAGAAAAGAATGGCTTTCACTAGTGTGTCTACAAATTGTGTGAGGAACTCCTTCATTATTTCTGATCTACAGGAGGGTGGCAGGTATTATTTCCGTGTGCTTGCTGTGAATGAGCTTGGAGTTGGCCTGCCTGCATCCACAGAGCAAGTCAAGGTTTCTGAGGCTCCTTTGCCTCCTGGCAAAATTGTGGTAGTTGATGTGACTCGTCATACTGTTACACTTTCTTGGGAGAAACCTGATCATGATGGAGGCAGCAAGATCACCAGCTATATTGTAGAGATGCAACCAAAGGGAGATGACAAATGGACTGTTTGCAGTGAATCAAAAGCACTAGAGGCTACTATTGAGGGACTAACCGCTGGGGAAGAATACTCTTTCAGAGTCACGGCTGTCAATGATAAGGGCAACAGTGATCCTAAGCCTTTGGCTAGCCCAGTTGTGGTGAAGGACATTACACTTGAGCCTACCTTTAACATGCTTTTCAGCACTTACAGTGTGAAAGCAGGAGATGACCTGAAGATTGATGTACCATTTAAGGGCAGACCTCAGCCAGAAGTGTCTTGGAAGAAGGATGGTCACACTCTCAAACAGACAACAAGGGTCAATGTTGTCAATTCTAAGACCTCATCCAAAATCTTTATCAAGGATGCAACCAAGGAGGATGTAGGAAAGTATGAGATCACATTAACCAACTCAGTTGGTACTAAGACAGCTGAAATCTCTGTTATAATCCTTGACAAGCCTGGACCACCTAGCAACATTAAGGTGGATGAGGTGAGCGCTGATTTTGTCTGTCTCTCATGGGATTCTCCTGCTTATGATGGTGGCTGCCAGATTAACAACTATGTGGTGGAGAAGAGAGACACTACCACAACTTCATGGCAGATAGTGTCTGCCACAGTTGCCAGGACATCCATTAAGGTCACACGTCTAAACCAAGGAACAGAATACCAGTTCCGTGTTGCTGCTGAAAATCGTTATGGCAAGAGCCATTCCATTGACTCCGCGCCTGTTGTCGCTCAGTATCCATTCGAGCCACCAGGCCCACCTACCAATCTTCATGTTGCCACTGCAAGCAAGTATGGCATGCTTGTTGTGTGGGGAAAACCTGCTAGTGATGGTGGTAGTCCAGTTACGGGTTATCACATTGAATGCAAAGACCAAAGTAGCATCCTATGGACAAAAGTCAGCAGAGGCTTGATAGCTGAAAATCAGTTTAAGATGACTGGAATTGAAGAAGGCCTACTCTATCAGTTCAGAGTTTATGCAGAGAACATTGCGGGCATTGGGCCAGCTACTAAGCCTAGTGAACCAGTGGCTGCCAGAGATCCATGCCAGTCACCAAGGAACCTTAGGGTCACTAATATTACTAGAACTACTGTTTCCCTCTTCTGGGAGAAGCCTGAATATGATGGTGGGGTCAAGATTACTGGCTACATTGTTGAGCGTAGAGAACTTCCAAATGGCCGCTGGTTAAAATGCAACTTCACCAACCTCCAGGATACCTTCTTTGATGTCACAGGTCTTACAGAAGATGTCCAATATGATTTCCATGTTATTGCCAAGAATTCAGCAGAGCAGTTGAGTGCGCCATCAGAAAACACAGGGCCTGTCACTGTCAAGGATGACGTAGATCCACCCACAATTACCATGGATGATAAATTCAGACAACTTGTTGTTGTTAAAGCAGGAGAGATTATTCAAATTGACGCTGAAATTTCAGGACGACCACTTCCACTTGTTTCTTGGTCTAAGGATGGTAAAGAAATTGATGCTAAGGCCAGATGTGAAATTACATCCACTAATTTTGCAACCACCCTTGTAGTCAGAGATGCTATTAGAAAGGATTCAGGCCAGTATGCTTTAACACTGCACAATGTGGGTGGAACAAGGTCTGTGGCTGTAAACTGCAAAGTTCTTGACAGACCCGGACCTGCCTCAGGTCCCTTAGCGGTTTCAGGCCTCACAGCAGAGAAATGCACCATCACATGGGGACCCCCTCAAGAAAATGGAGGCGCTGAAATCATGCATTACATTGTGGAAAAGCGTGAGACCAGTCGTCTTGCATGGACTTTAGTCTATAATGACATGAAGGCCACAACCTGTAAAGTGACCAAACTGCTTAAAGGAAATGAGTACATCTTCAGAGTCAGAGGAGTGAATAAGTATGGAGATGGTGAGCCCCTTGAGAGTGATGCCGTCAAAGCTATGGATCCATTCACTGTTACTGCTCCTCCTACTAATGTCCAGGTCACTGCAGTAACAAGTGAAGCCTATGACCATCTGTTGGGATCGTCCAGTTTCTGATGGAGGAAGCAGTATCGCTGGCTATGTTATTGAGAAGAGAGAGAAAACTGGACTCCGTTGGTGCCGGGTCAATAAAAAGCCTGTTTACGACCTTAGAGTGAAGGCCTCAAACCTACGGGAGGGTTGCGAGTATGAATACAGAGTTTTTGCAGAAAATGCTGCAGGACTCAGTGCCCCCAGTATCCCTTGCCCACTTACAAAAGCTGAAGACCCACAGTTCCTGCCTTCTCCTCCAGCTAAACCTAAAATCATTGACTCAACTAAGACTACAGTGACTCTCTCATGGAACAGACCCCTATTTGATGGCGGAGCCCCCGTGACCGGTTACAGAGTCGAGTACAGGAAGAGTGCAGATGATGAGTGGTTTGTTGGAGTGCAGAACACCAAGAACACAGAGTTTACAGTAGTAGGATTGACCCCGGGAGTTGAATATGTATTTGTTGTGAAATCCATCAACAAGATAGGAGCCAGTGAACCTAGCCCTGAATCGGACAGACAGGTGGCCAAAGAGAGAGAGGAAGAGCCATTGTTTGAAATAAGCAATGAAATGAGAAAGACTCTTATTGTCAAAGATGGCAGTTCATTCACTCTGACAGTTCCCTTTAAAGGCAAGCCTGTTCCTAATGTCACATGGTCAAAGCCTGATGTTGACCTTAGAGTCCGTGCTGTTATTGACACCACAGACACATTCACTTCCATTACTTTGGAGAAAGCCACTCGTAATGACTCTGGTAAATACACTGTGACTTTGTCCAATGTGGCTGGTACAGCATCATTGACCCTCAGTGTCAGGGTGCTTGACTCGCCTGGACCTCCAGCACATGTTGAAGTCAAGGATGTTACAAAAACTTCTGCTACTGTTGCCTGGGACACTCCTGAAAATGAAGGAGGAGGACCAGTCAAAAACTACCTGATTGATATTCGGGAAGCCAGTAAAAAGGGCTGGACCAGGCTCACTGATACATGCCACAGGCTCACATATAAGGTTACTGACCTACCTGAGGGAGGAGTCTTCTACTTTAGAGTGACAGGCGAGAACGAGTATGGCATTGGTGTTCCTGCAGAGACCAAAGAAGGAACCAAAATTTCAGGTATGTTCTAAAACAAATGTCACAATATTTACTGTAGTAGTTGTCCACATTAATGTAAAATAATGTAATCTTTCAGAAAAACCAAGCCCACCACCCAAGCTGGGAGTGACAGAAGTTACCAAAGAGAGTGTAACTCTGGCTTGGGCTAAACCTGAACAGGATGGAGGCAGCAGAATTACAAGCTACCTGGTGGAAGCATTGGAGAAAGGTCAAGAGAAATGGGTGAAGTGTGGCGTCACCAAGTTCATCCACTTGACAGTTTCTGGTCTGCGGGAAAATGCTGAATACTTCTTCCGAGTGAAAGCTGAAAATGCTGCTGGATTTAGTGATGCCAAGGAAATGCTCACCCCTGTAGCAGTAAAAGATCAGCTTGGTAAGTAACATACCTGAAAGAGCAGCAATATTGCATTGATATATATTAGCAACAAATCTACTTGTTACTTATGTTTGCAATTTTTTTCTGTTTGTTAATACAGAACCACCAGAAGTCAACATGAAGGACATCCCGCATAACACTGTTTATGTAAGAGCAGGATCAACACTCAAGTGTGAAATTCCATTGACAGGCAAACCTTTGCCTAAAGTTACACTTTCAAAAGAGAATGTTGTGCTCAAGTCAACAATGAGGTTCAACTCTGAAGTCACTCCTGACAGCATCAAGATCACACTGCGGGAAAGTATTGCTGGAGACTCCGGACGCTATGACATTACAGCTGCAAACTCGAGTGGGACAACTAAGTCCTTTGTCAATATCGTGGTTTTGGACAGACCCAGTGCTCCTCTTGGACCTGTTGAGCTCTTTGATGTCACAGAAGACAGTGTTAGCTTGAAGTGGCTTCCACCTGCCTATGATGGCGGCAGTGCCATCACAAATTACATTATCCAAAAGAGGGAGACAACCACAGCCAACTGGATGGATGTCTCATCTGCTGTAGCCCGATGCACCATGAAGATCATGAAACTTACCACTGGCCTTGAGTATCAGTTCAGAATCAGAGCTGAAAACAGATATGGAATAAGTGAGCACATTGATTCTCCAATAGTCTCAGTCAACCTGCCTTACAGTAAGTAAACTAAATATTTCACTCTGCATTTAATGTAGAATATATACATCTTAATGTTGCTTATGCTTTCTCTTTAGCTATTCCTGATGCTCCAGCTACACCAGAGATCACAGCTGTGACAAGGGAGACCATAACAGTCGCCTGGAAGGAGCCCAAGTCTGATGGTGGCAGCCATGTGTTTGGCTACCATCTTCAGATGAAGGACAAGAATAGTATTATGTGGCAGAAAGTTAACAAAACTGTGATTCGTGCAACTCACTTTAAGGTCACTAACATCAATGCTGGACTCATCTATGAGTTCAAGGTGGCAGCAGAAAATGCGGCTGGACTCAGTGCCTTCAGTAAGATTTCTGATGCTGTCCTGGCTATTGATGCTTGTGGTAAGTTAAATTTATAATAATGTGACAGAAAAGTTAATTACATTAGTTACATTAAAAACATTTGATCTGTTTACAGAACCACCTGTGAATCTTCGTATCAGCGACATCACAAAGAACTCCATCAGTCTAGCATGGCAGAAACCCAACTATGATGGCGGATCACCAATCACTGGATACATCATTGAAAAGAAAGAGGTTGTTAGTGGCAGGTGGTTCAAGGCTAACTTGACCAATGTTAGTGACACACGATACACAGTTACTGGCCTTACTCAAGATGAGTCTTATGAGTTCAGAGTCATGGCAAAGAACGCAGTTGGTTCAATCAGCAACCCATCTATAACTGCTGGACCAGCAACATGTGTGGACACTTATGGTAAGTCAGAAGTAATCTGTTTTATGAAGATTTTTAGGTTTTAAAAAGTTGAAGACTGCTTATAATTGAATTGACATTTTTTTGTATCATTGTCATTCAGGTGCCCCAGAGATTGAAATACCTCAGGAGTATCTCCAGGAGGTTAAATACATGGCTGAATCCAATGTTGAACTCAAGTTTAATATCACTGCCAAACCTGCTCCTACTATTGAATGGATGAAGGACGGCAGAGAGCTCAAACCATCTGCCCAGGTCTCATTTAAGCACACATCTGAATCAACAAGTGTATTCTTGCGGGATACAACCCGTCTCAACTCTGGAACATATGAAGTGAAGGTGAAGAACTCCCTTGGGTCTACTTGTGCTGTTGTCAGACTTCTTATACAAGGTACTAAAAGCATTATCCACTGAAGATAAGAATATAACCAGTAATACTAACATACTGTGTTTTCACTCTTTTACAGATAAACCTGGACCTCCAGCTGGAGAGATTCAGTTTAAGAAGGTCACTGCAGACAACATCACTATTATGTGGTCCCCACCTTCTGATGAGGGCGGTGCCATGGTTACACATTACATTGTTGAGAAGAGAGAAACTAGCCGAATCATGTGGTCCATTGTCTCAGAGAAACTCATGGACTGCATTGTTAATGTACCAAGACTCATCCAAGGAAATGAATATATCTTTAGAGTTCGTGGAGTCAATAAATATGGCATTGGAGACCCGCTTGAGTCCGCACCTATTATTGCAAGGAATGCTTTTGGTAAGCTATGATTAAGAGTATACTGTGTAATTTGAAATATAATGACAAGTTTATGTACCAGGAGAATGTTCTTACTAAATACAAGGCTTTTTTGTCTAATTTCCAATAGTTCCTCCAAGTGAGCCATCCAAGCCTAAGGTCACAATGATTACCAAATCCACCATGACTGTGATTTGGGAAAGGCCAGCATTAGATGGAGGTAGTGATATTGATGGTTACTATTTGGAGAAAAGAGAAAAGAAGAGTCTGCAATGGTTTAAGGTTAATCATGAGCATAATTAATAATAATACTATAAACAAATGCAATGTATAGTACTGTAATAATACTTATTTTATATTTCATCAGGTGGTGAAGGGAACCATAAGAGACACCAGGCAAAAAGTAAGCGGCCTTGTGGAGAATAATGAGTACCAGTACAGAGTCTGTGCTGTCAACAAGGCTGGAGCAGGAAACTACTCAGAGGCATCCGAACTATACAAAGCCTATGATCCAATTGGTAAGTAGTCTTTAAAATGTTTTATTCTTTTTGAGGAAATTGTATTACAGGGGCTTGTCTTAACATAATACATTTGTCATTTAAAGATTTGCCAGGGGAGCCAACCAAACTGCGTGTTATTGACTCAACAAAGACCTCTATCACATTGGGTTGGGAAAGACCAGTCTATGATGGTGGCAGCAAAATCACTCACTACATTTTGGAGCAGCTCAATGCTGAGGAAAAAGAATGGGTGGTTACAAACCCACAGGTTGAATCCTGTGAGTATGTAGTGTCCCATCTCAAACCAGGAACATACTACTTCTTCAAAGTTTCTGCTGTCAACTCCAAGGGCAAAGGAGAGAACATTAAGATGTACCAACCGGTTCAAGCCAAAGATATCTTGGGTTTGTATAACAATATAAATATAAGTGTAAGAATAAAAAAACAGTAGATCCGATAGCTAAAATGTTCTTTTTTTTTCAACAGAGGAGGCTGACTTAGACTTGGATGTTCAAATGACTACACAGTACACAGCCAAAGCAGGTCGTGATGTGGAAGTATTTATTCCATTGAAGGGTCGCCCTACTCCTAATGTCACCTGGAGACGTGGAGATCGTAATATTGCCAGTGATAATCGCTACACAATAAACAGCACTGAGCGGTCTACCACCCTGCTCATCCCCAAAGTAACTCGTGATGACTGTGGAAAGTATCTCCTAGAGATTGAGAACGGTGTTGGAGAACCCAAGATTGTCACTGTTTCCCTCAAAGTGCTTGACAGCCCATCAACCTGCCAAAAACTCATAGTCAAGAATGTGACAAGAGGAAAACTTACCCTCAGCTGGGAGGCTCCTCTCATTGATGGTGGTTCACCTGTCACTAATTACATTGTTGAAAAGAAGGCCTCCACAATGAAAGCTTACCAAGTCATCACTAATGAGTGCGCCAATACAACATATAAGGTCACTGGTTTGGAGGAGGATGTGGCTTACTTCTTCCGTGTGTCTGCTGAAAATGAGTTTGGTGTTGGTGACACCTGTGAGACTGTCGAGCCTGTCAGGGCCACAGAAACGCCTGGAGGTGTGAAAGATCTTGTAATGCAAGATTCTACAAAGACCTCAGTCACCTTGCAGTGGACCAAGCCTGACCACGATGGTGGCAGTCACATCACAGAGTACATCATTGAGAAGAAAGCAGATGAAGACACCACCTGGACTTTGGGAGCTACAAGCAGACGCTGCACCTGCGAAGTTAAAGGTCTCCAAGAAAATGCTATCATGGACTTTAGAGTGTTTGCCAAAAATGAAAAGGGCACAGGTGACTTTTCACAGATTGGTCCAATCATTGTGAAGGACTTCATCATTCCTCCTGAGGCCAGTCTTGTTGATTATCCCAATGGTGAACTGGCTGTTCGTATTGGTCAGAACATCCATATTGAGTTACCGTTTAAGGGCAAACCAAAACCTGTCATCAGCTGGCTCAAGGATAATCAGCCTCTGAAAGAAAGTGAAAGAATTCGTTTCAGGACAACTGACAACAAGACTGCCGTCACAGTCAGGGGGGCAAAGAAGGAGCATGCTGGCCAATACACTTTGGTTTTGGATAACAGGACCATTAAGAACTACTTTGACATTAATGTGATTACTCTGGGTCCTCCATCTATTCCAGTTGGACCCATTCGCTTTGATGAAATTAAAGCCCAGAGCATCATTATCTCCTGGGACCAACCAAAGGATGATGGTGGCAGTGAGATCTCCTGTTACAGTGTAGAGAAGCGTGAGACTTCTCATGCCAATTGGAAGTTGGTATGTTCAAGTGTTGTGAGGACCACTTTCAAGATTCCCAACTTGGTCAAGGGAACAGCATACCAGTTCAGAGTCCGTGCTGAGAATAAATTTGGAGTAAGTGAGGCCCTGAGCTCACCTGAAGTTGTTGCCCAGCATCAGTATAAAGCTCCTGGTGCACCTGGAAAGCCTGTATCTTATAACGTCACAAGTGATGGCATGACTATCAAATGGGAGGCCCCAGAGTTTGATGGTGGTTCTCCAATTTTGGGCTATCATGTGGAGAAAAAAGACAGGAACAGCCTGCTGTGGCAGAAGGTGAACTCAACCATCATTTCCAACAGAGAGTACAGGATCATTGGTTTGATGGAGGGTCTTGAGTACTCCTTCAGAGTTTATGCTGAAAACAATGCTGGACTTAGCCCTGTCAGTGAGCAGAGCAAACATGCCCTTGCTATTTCGCCAGTTGGTGAGTATTTAAAAATTATGTTTTGTGTTTTTATGTTAGTATTATACATACATATAAGATATAATGTTATTTTATTCATTTTTATTTTATTTGTTGATATATTGTGTACAATTTTCATTAATATTTAGCTACATTCAAATGTATTGTCTTCCTTTTTTAGATCCACCTGGAACTCCTGTCTGCATTGATGTGACCAGGGACTCTGTCACTCTGCAGTGGGATGTCCCTAAGAGAGATGGAGGCTGCAAGATTGTGGCCTACAGTGTTGAAAGACGCCAAGGCAGAGGCAAATGGCTGCGATGCAACTTCACTGACATCAGTGAGACACAGTTCACTGTAACTGGTCTATCTCCTGGAGACAGATTTGAGTTCAGGGTGATTGCCAGGAATGCTGTGGGTACAATAAGTCCACCATCCAATTCCTCTGCTTACATCATGACCAAGGATGAGAGTGGTATGTATTAAATTAAATTAAACTCTATTAAAGTCTATGCAAACTCAAATTACTTGATCCATTATCAGTTGATCATTTGTCTTTCTTTGCTTACAGTTGCTCCAGAAATTGAATGGTCACCAGATCAGATTTTCACGTTACGAGCTGGAGAGAATGTAAGACTGGGCTGCACCATTACAGGCCGTCCTGTTCCACAGGTTATGTGGTACAAGGATGGTAAAGAGATTGACAAGAGAACCATGATTGACATTGAGATCACCACTGGCATTGGCACAAGCAGCCTGTTCATCCGTGATGCAGATAGGAACCATCGCGGCATCTACACTGTGGAAGCAAAGAACAGCTCTGGAACCAAGAAGGCTGAAGTTAATGTCAGAGTACAAGGTATGCAGTTTATTTATTTATTTGCACTATTTGGATCTGGTTTATTATGTGATTGTAATTATTACAAATACCTATAGGCTATCACAATCCATACATTTTGCAAGTTGATTTTATTTCATTACTTTGAATGTATCTTTCTTAGATACTCCTGGACCGGTTGAGGGTCCCATTCGTTTTACTGGTATCACTGCTGAGAAATGCACTGTCTGGTGGAACCCACCAGAGAATGATGGTTGTGCTGCTATTACACACTACGTGGTAGAGAAGAGAGAGACCTCCAGGATTTCATGGGCTACGGTCACATCCAAGTGTGAAGCCTGCTCTTTCAACGCTACAAATCTCATCAAGGGCAATGAGTATCAATTCAGAATTTCTGCTGTCAACAAGTTTGGTGTGGGCAAACCTCTGGATTCTGATCCCATTATTGCCCAGATGCAGTACAGTAAGTGTCAAGTGTGACATTTGATTACCAGTATTACCCAGTATGCTGCTAGATATATAATATATTTACCTCTATTCCAGCCGTACCTGATGCCCCCGGCACTCCAGATGCTTCTCACGTCAGTGGAGACAGCATTACACTGGGCTGGACTAGGCCTAGATCAGATGGAGGCAATGAAATCAAGCATTACATTTTGGAGAGAAGAGAGAAGAAGAGCCTGCGCTGGGTGAAGGTCTCCTCAAAGAGACCTATCACAGAGCTGAGACATCGTGTCACAAATCTAACAGAAGGCAATGAGTATGAGTTCCGTGTCATGGCTGAAAATGGTGCCGGCATTGGACCAGCTAGCAGCACTTCAAGGCTCTTCAAATGTAGAGAGCCGACCTGCGCTCCAAGTGCTCCTAGCGTAATAAAGGTATGATTAGCTAAATACATCTGAATGTTTTGAAAATTCTTCCAGTTGCCAAATGTACTTAACTTATTTTCCTTTTTATTTATAGCTCATTGATTCAACCAAGTCCTCCATAACTCTGGAATGGACTAAGCCAGTGTTTGATGGTGGTATGGAAATTATTGGCTACAACATTGACATGTGCAAAGCCAGTCTGGAAGAGTGGCACAGAGTAAACAGCCAAATATGTATTCACACGAAGTATACAGCAAAGGGACTCGTACCCGGAGAGCTCTATAAATTCAGAGTCAGTGCTGTGAACGGATCTGGAGAGGGTGAAGCCTCAGTGATGCCTAGCCCTGTCCAAGCTCTGGATAGGCTAACCTCTCCTGAGATCGACATTGGAGCTGATTTCAAACAGACTCACATTGTGAAGAATGGCGGCACTGTATCACTCCATGTTGCCTTCAGAGGAAAACCAGCTCCTCTTGCCACATGGTCACGGGCTGATGGGGAGCTGCCTGTCATGGCTGATGTTAACACCTCAGACAACTTCTCTACTCTCACCATTGAGGGCTGCACAAGGTATGAAGCTGGTAAATACACTCTGTCCTTGGAGAACAACAGTGGACGCAAGTCCATCACATTCACAGTCAAAGTGCTGGATACACCTGGACCTCCTGGAGCCATCTCTTTCAAGGATGTCACTCGTGGAGCCTTGACGGTGATGTGGGATGCTCCCTCAAATGATGGCGGAGCAAGAGTTCATCACTATATTGTTGATAAACGTGAAGCCAGTCGTCTTGCTTGGCAAGAGGTCAGCACAAAATGCTCTCGCCAGATGATCAGAGTTGCTGGTCTGGACATTGGTGTGCCTTATGTGTTCAGAGTAATAGCTGTTAACCAGTACGGTCAGGGAGAGGCTCGTGAGATGACAGACCCCGTTGTTGCGACTGAAGAACCTGCTCCTCCTAAGAGGCTGGATGTTGTTGATACCAGTAGTTCCACTGCTTCTTTGGTATGGCTGAAACCTGAGCATGATGGTGGCAGCCGTGTCAGAGGCTATTGTTGAATTTAGGGCTAAGGGAACTGACCGTTGGGTTGCTGCTGGAGAGACCAAGCTCACAAAAATGCTGGTTGAGGGTCTGATTGAAAACACAGAGTATGACTTCAGAGTGAAAGCTAAGAATGACGCAGGAATTAGTGATCCTCAGGGAACATTAGGATCTATTGTCATTAAAGAGCCTCGCATTGAGCCTACAGCTGACCTCAGCGGTATCACCAACCAGCTTATCACTTGCAAGGCCTCCAATACATTCACAATTGACATCCCCATCAGTGGCAGACCTGCTCCTAAAGTCACCTGGAAATTGGAGGAAATGAAACTGAAAGAGTCTGACAGAGTTGTCATCAGAAACACAACTGAGAGATCCACTTTGTTAGTTAGAGACAGTAAGAGAAGTGACAGTGGAAAGTATTATCTTGTTTTGGAGAATTCTGCAGGAGTGAAGACGTTTGCAGTCACTGTACTTATAGTGGGCAGACCATCACCTCCTACAGGCCCCTTGGAAATTTCTGGAGTTTCCTCTGAGTCCTGCACATTATCCTGGTCAGAGCCAGCTGATGATGGCGGCACAGACATCTCTAACTACATTGTGGAGAAACGAGAGTCGGGTTCTGCCTCCTGGCAAGTGGTCAATTCCAGCGTGCAGAGAACTACAATCAAAGTAACTCATCTGACCAAATACATGGAGTACACCTTCAGAGTATGTGCTGAAAATAAATTTGGAGTTAGCAAGTCAATTGAGTCTGCAGCAGTTGTCATTGAACATCCATTTGGTATGTATTGGCTAACATACATTTAAAAGGTAGAAGATTTAGAACTAAATAACTGATTTGTTTTGGTTTGTATATTTGTTTTTCCAGTGCCTCCAAGTCCTCCAACTCGTCCAGATGTTGTGTCAGTGTCAGCCAATGCCATCGGCATTAAATGGGATGTACCATACGCTGATGGTGGCAGCAAGGTCACAGGCTACTGGATTGAGAAGAAGGAGAGGAACACTATCCTCTGGGTGCGGGAAAACAAGCTGCCTTGTCTTGAGTGCCATTACAAGGTTTCTAACTTGATCGAGGGCTTGGAATACCAATTCAGAGTGTATGCTATGAACATATCTGGTCTCAGCAAAGCCAGTGAGGCCTCGAGACCAGTGCTAGCTCTGAACCCAGTTGGTAAGTTTTTAAACACATTTTAAGACAAAACAAAACAAAATTAATTACCTTGATTTTAATTCACATTTTTTCAAAATAGATCCACCTGGAAAGCCTGAGGTGACCGACATCACTCGCTCCTCTGTATCCATTTGCTGGACTGTACCCTTAAATGATGGTGGCAGCAAGATTGTAGGCTACGTTGTGGAGAAGAAGGTCTACAGCACAGATGAATGGGATGACAACCGCTGGCTCAAGTGCAACTACACCACCATCACAGAGAATTACTTCACAGTCACTAATCTAGGAGAGGGAGACACATATGAGTATCGTGTTATTGCCAAGAATGCCGCTGGTGTCCAGAGCGCTCCTTCTGAGACAACTGGACCAGTCACCTGCAAAGATGAATACTGTAAGTTTAAAGTTAACATTTAGATTTAGCATAGGAAAAAAATAGAAGTTCATGCCACTAACTCAAATGTTTTATTTTGTGTAGCCCCGCCCAAAGCAGAGCTGGACAGCAAGCTGGTGGGTGAGACTGTTACTGTGATGGCTGGCTCCGACCTGGTACTGGATGGAGCTGTGGGTGGCAAACCAGAACCCACTGTTTACTGGGCCAAGGGAGACAAGATTCTGGAACTCGGAGAGAAATACTCTATGACCTACACTTCAACTAGAGCTATGGTCGTCATTAAGAACTGTGACAGATATGACACAGGCAGATACATCCTGACAGTCAAGAATGCCAACGGAGTGAAGACTGCCGCTGTCAGCGTCAAGGTTCTTGGTAAGAAATCATATTGAATAATATGTTTATTTTCTTTGTATTTTCAGTCTTAAAGAAACGGTCTTTATACCATGTTTCCTTCAGATACTCCTGGAGCTCCAGCTGATAAGATCGTGATCAGCAGAGTGACTGAAGAGAAATGTACTGTATCCTGGAAGATCCCTCTGGAGGATGGTGGTGACACTGTTACACATTATATTGTGGAGCGTCGTGAGACCAGCCGCCTCAACTGGGTCATCATGGAAACTGAGTGCAAGTCTCTGTCATGTGTCAGCTCTAGACTCATCAAAAACAATGAGTACATCTTCAGAGTACGTGGAGTCAACAAGTATGGCCCTGGAGTTCCACTTGAGTCTGAACCAGTCATTGCCAGAAATGCATACAGTAAGATTCTTCCCTTTAAATATTAAACATATCTAACAGCAATAAAGTTGTTAGATATGTTTAATGGAACTTTGAATAATTTTGTTTGGTCATCTAGATAAACAAGTTAATTAATACATCCCATCTTTTCTAGCTATTCCTTCACCACCGGGTACACCCGAGGTCACGGCTGTTGGTAAAGAGCATGTCATCATTGAATGGCTGAAGCCTGAAAGTGATGGTGGCAGTGAAATCAAAAACTACATTGTAGACAAACGAGAAAAGAGCAGCACAAGGTGGGTATGATCTCTCAGACAAAAAAATGCTTGGAAATGTTTTGTTTGCTAATTCATTTGCTTTCTCTACCCTAAATCAGGTGGACACGTGTGAATAGGACATACACAATCTATGACACACGTCTGAAGATCACTGGCCTGATTGAGGGAAGTGAATACCAGTTCAGGGTGACAGCTGTTAATGCTGCTGGCGACAGTCAGCCTAGCGATGTGTCACCTTACATTCTCTGCAGAGACCCAACATGTAAGATAATAATAATTATTATTATTACTATTATTAATAATAATAATAATAATAATAATAATAATAATAAAAATTATAATACCTGCTCTTTTTATAGATACCCCTGCTCCTCCATCAATGCCACGCATCACAGACACAACCAAGCACAGCATTTCCATGACCTGGACAAGGCCAATGTATGATGGCGGTTCAGATGTCACAGGCTATGTGGTGGAGATCTTGGAGGAAGGGTCGGAACAATGGTATAGGGCTACAGCAAAGGCTCTTAAGACCAATGAATATGTGGCTGCAGGACTGGTAGCCAATAAGAAGTACAGGTTCAGAGTTGCAGCTCTCAACAGCAATGGCACTGGAGAATTCAGTGAACCCAGTGCTGAGGTTGAGCCAATTGAGAAAGTTGGTGAGTAGAAAGCAAATCAACCTGTTACCTGTTAACACTGTGTTATGAAATTCCAGCATTGACTCATTGTAACTCCTCAATAGAAATACCTGACCTGGAGCTGGCTGATGACCTGAAGAAGACCGTGTGTCTGCGTGCTGGAGGCACCCTGAGACTGTTTGTGTCTGTCACCGGCAGACCACTACCTGTGGTTGGCTGGAGAAAGACTGGGGTTGAACTGCAGAGCCGTGGCTACATTGAGACCACAGACGCCTACACCTTACTGATAGTGGAGAAAGTGACTCGGTATGACTCCGGAAAATATGTTGTAGAAGCAGAAAATCCATCTGGCAAGAAAACTGCCACCATTCTTGTCAAAGTCTATGGTAAGCATCTATAGAAGACACAGCATTAACATAACATGGAGGATGTTTTCAGTGTACTAAGTATTTACATATTTCTTTCACCTATAGACACCCCTGGACCTCCAGGCTCTGTAAAGGTCAAGGACTACACCAAAGAGTCTGTTGTCATTACTTGGGATGTCCCAAGCCTTGATGGTGGTGCTCATGTCAGTAATTACATTGTGGAGAAGCGTGAAGCCAACATGAAATCCTACAAGACTGTGACTACTGAGTGCAGAAAGACACTCTATAGGATCACCGGACTGGAGGAGGGCGTTCACTACTTCTTCAGAGTACTGCCTGAGAATATATATGGTGTTGGAGAACCTTGCGAGACAGCTGAAGCTGTTCTGGTCTGTGAAGTACCATCAGTTCCCATGGATCTCCAGATGGTTGACGTCACCAAGTCATCCGTCACACTGCGTTGGGAGAAACCACTTCATGATGGTGCCAGCAGGCTGACAGGATACATTCTGGAGGCCTGCAAGGTTGGCACCGACAGATGGAGTGTTGTGGCTACAGTTAAAGCTTCAAGCAGCCAGTATACCATCCAGTCACTGACAGAGAATGACCAGTACCTCTTCAGGATCAGAGCAACCAACAGCAGAGGAGCCAGTGAGCCCATGGACATTATCACTCCTATCACCATCCAAGAAATTAAGGGTAAGAAGATTCTTAAAAAACACACACACACATTGCATGTTTGTCAAGCTTTTCTGTTGCTCATCTTTTTTTTTTTTTTTAAACAGTGATGCCTAAGATCGACCTGACAAATATTCCTCAGAAGATTGTTCATGTACACCGTGGAAAGAATATTGATCTGAACATCCCAATCAAAGCCCGCCCACAGCCTGTCTGCTCATGGTCCTTTGGCGGCGTCAAGCTGAAGGATAGCCTTGACCGAATCAAGATCGACAGCAACGGTAAATACACCCATCTCCTTATCCGCGACACCACCATTAACGACACTGGAGACTACACTCTGGAGGTGAAAAACACTGTTGGTGTTGCAACCGAGGTCATCAAGGTCATCGTCCTTGGTAAGTAGAGACTTGAATAAATTAAGCCATTTAAATGTGAAGACATTTGTGGATCATGTTAAATAATTATGTTTTTTGTGTTTACTAGACAAACCTGGTATCCCAGTTGGTCCAGTTAAGATTGAAGAGACTGATGGAATCTCTGTAACTGTCAGCTGGGAACCACCCGAGAAAGATGGTGGTGCCAATGTTAGTGGCTATGTTGTGGAGCAACGTGAGGCTCACCGCCCTGGATGGAGCACTGTATCTGAGTCTGTCACAAGACCATGCTTTAAGTTCACAAGACTCACTGAGGGAACTGAGTACGTGTTCCGTGTTGCTGCCATGAATCGCTTTGGGGTTGGTGGCTTCCTGCAGTCTGAAGTTGTGGAGTGCAAGAGTCCCAAGAGTGAGTGTCATTTAAACATTACAAATGTTGTAGTAGTACTAATCTACTGCAAAAAAATTACATTTATAGGCAAGAGTTGAAGAAAATGAAAATGTATAGTATTATATTTTGTTCTATTTATTTATTTGTTTGTTTATTTATTTTGCTACAGCCATTCCAGGACCTCCTAGTAGACCTGAGGTGCTTGATGTCACTCATGAGGGCATGACCCTGACATGGCAACCACCAGAGGACAATGGTGGTTCCACCATTGCTGGCTACATCATTGAGCGCAAAGAAGCTGGGTCCGACAGGTGGCTTAAGGTTAACAAGAATCCTGTCACTATGACAAGGTATCGCTCTTCTGGACTCATAGAGGGTCTGGAGTATGAACACCGCATCACCGCCATCAACTCCAGAGGAGCTGGCAAGCCTAGTGAGAGCTCTGCTATCACTGTGGCTATGGATCCCATCGGTATATCTTTAGACCTTTCATTTACCATTTATGTTATTGATTTATTGATTTATAGGCCAATAAAAAAATATATTTATGCTTAATAACTTGCTTATTTTACAGATCCTCCTGGCCCACCACTGGAGCCCAAAGTCACAGACACCACCAGGACTTCTGTCTCCCTTGCCTGGCTTCCACCAGAAGAGGAAGGTGGCTCTGTTATTACTGGGTACTTTATTGAAATGCAGAAGGTGGACCAGGTGGAATGGACCCTGTGCAACACAACTCCTACAAAGATGTGCGAGTACACTCTCACTCACATGCCTCAGGGCGCAGAGTACAAGTTCAGAGTCATTGCTTGCAATGCAGGTGGTACTGGAGAACCTGCTGAAATTCCTGGAGTCGTCAAAGTTCAAGAGATGCTTGGTATGTTGTTGTAGTTATCAAGTGGTAACTTGGAAGTTAAATGTGAAGCTCTACTAACATTTTCTGTATTATATTATTCTTAGGTTATCCTGACTATGTGCTTGATCGCAAATATGAGGAAGGCTATGTGGTTCGCCAGGGCGGAGTTGTTTGTCTGTCTGTGCCAATTAAGGGTAAACCTATTCCAACGTGTAAATGGACCAAGGATGGCCGTGACATTGCACACCGCGCTATGATTGCAACTAGTGATGATATGACTGAGCTGGTCATCAAGGATGCCCACAAAGATGACACTGGAACTTATGATCTGGTGCTGGAGAACAAGTGTGGCAGAAAGGCTGTCTATATCAAGGTATTTATTGGTATTCTATATTGGTATTTTACGGGATTACTGGTTAAACCTCAAAACTCTGTCACTTAAGCACAGGAATTGCGGATGTAAATAAATAGCTACAAGCATGCGTATATAAATAGAAGGCACATTCTAAAAGAAGGCATTATGACACTTTGTGTATTAATCAAAAAATTATCACTTTCTTAAGGTGAAAGTCATTGGTCGTCCAGATGTTCCAGAAGGACCTCTGGAGTTTGATGATATCCAAGCAAGATCAGTGCGTGTGAGCTGGAGGGCTCCATCAGATGATGGTGGCTCTGACATCCTAGGCTATGTGGTGGAGAGGCGCGAGGTTCCCAAAGCTGCCTGGTACACCGTAGATGCCAGGGTAACTGAGACATCACTTGTTGTCAAAGGACTGAAGGAAAATGTGCAGTACCACTTCAGGGTTTCTGCTGAAAACCAGTTTGGTGTCAGTAGATCCCTTAAATCTGATGAGCCTGTCACACCAAAGACACCGCTATGTGAGTATGACTATTTCTTTTAGGAATTGTATGTATTTTTAGTTGGAAATATGGAAGATATGTAAAACATAATTATTTTTAGGTGCACCTGAGCCTCCCAGCAACCCACCTGAGATCATGGATGTTACAAAGACCACTGTGGCCCTTTCCTGGGCACGTCCTCGTGATGATGGTGGTTCTCGTGTCACTGGATACTATGTGGAGAGGAGGGAAGTGTCCACAGAGAAATGGGTCCGCCACAACAAGACTCATATCACCACAACAATGTACAATGTTTCTGGTCTCATCCCAGATGCAGAGTATATGTTTAGAATTGTAGCTCAGAATGACATTGGAAAGAGTGAACCTGGTCCTGCCTCAGAGCCGGTAATCTGCAAAGATCCATTCGGTAAGTAATATGCTGTTTTAATACACATAGTGGTAACATAGAACAAATTGTATTGCTCAGTTTTTCTTATTTTAATGTTGTTGTTTTTTTTTCTGTGTAAGACAAACCAAGCCAACCTGGAGAGATCGACATTGTCTCTGTGACCAAAGATTCAATCACCATTCACTGGCTTAGACCTGAACACGATGGTGGCAAGGAGATCCTGGGCTACTGGATTGAGTTTAGAGAGGCTGGAGAGTCTGCATGGAAGAAATGCACTAAAGAGCGTTCCAAGGATCGCCAGTTCACTATGGGTGGCTTGATGGAGGCAACAGAATACGAGTTCAGAATCTTTGCTGAAAATGAAACTGGACTCAGTCGTCCTCGTCGCACCCCAATGGGCATCAAGACCAAACTGAGTGGTAAGATAGTATTTATTTTATAAACAAATCAAATAAAGAATTAATATGAATTAATATTTCAACTTAAACTGGTCAGAAACATATTTTCACAACACACAAAAAAAGGCAGTGACCTTTTTATATTATGCATAATTGTAATTGTAATCACAACATTAAAATGAGTGACTAGAGGTTCATCATCTCACCAATATACTTTTCTTGATTTTAATATATCATTCACACACATTTTTGTCTTTATAGTTGGTGAGGCCCCAGTTTTGAAGGAACAAATGGAAGACACAACAACCAAGCTTGGAGAGTCTGGCACTCTAACTTGTTGTATCATTGGGCGACCTCTGCCAGAGATCAAATGGTACCGCTATGGAAAGGAGCTTATTCAGAGTCGCAAGTACAAAATGAGCTCAGATGGCCGCAACCATTCCCTGACCATTCTGACAGATGAGCAGGAGGATGAGGGCGTCTACACATGTAGAGCAACCAACGAGGCTGGTGAGATAGAAACCAGCGGTAAACTTCGTCTCCAGGCAGCACCACAGTTCCATCCCGGCTTCCCCCTGAAGGAGAAGTACTATGCAGGTGCCGGCACCAGCTTGCGTCTCCATGTTGTCTACATTGGTCGTCCCATTCCTCAGATTATGTGGTTCTATGGAAAGAAACCACTGAATGCATCTGAGAATGTGATAATTGAAAACACTGAAAGCTACACCCACTTGGTTGTGAGGAATGCTCAGCGAAAGACCAATGCCGGACGTTACAAGGTGCAACTTAGCAATGCGTTCGGAACCATTGACACAGTACTGCGTGTTGAAATCCAAGGTACGGTACTCAAATTCAAACTGAAAATGCAAATCTGCATCTGCATTACTGCAAATCATGCAAATTCAAATTGAAAATGTAGAAATTGAGTAAAATAGAAAAGTTTATAATCAAATGCTTCTATCTTTTCCAGATAAACCTTGCATTCCAGAGGGACCTCTGGTTGTTGATGCCTTGCTGAAGAGCACAGCTGTGATTAGCTGGAAGCCGCCAAAAGATGATGGTGGCTCTATGATCACAAACTATCTGGTGGAGAAACGAGAAGCCAAAGAAGGCGAGCAATGGCACCTTGTGTCTTCCTCTGTCTCTGGCACCACCTGTCGCATCATCAACCTTATTGAAAGCGCTGGATACTACTTCAGAGTTTCTGCACAAAACCAGTATGGAGTCAGTGAACCACTGGAAATTCCTTCAGTTGTCATCATCAAGAGTCCATTTGGTAAAACTTTTAATAACAAGCATATTCTGAATGATGTCATCAGTACACCTGGACAATTGCCTTAACCTTACTTTGCTATTTTCCAGAAAAACCTGGCATTCCACAACAGCCCTTCATCATGAGCTCCACAAAAGACTCTTGTGTCGTCTGCTGGAAGCCTCCAAGCAGCGATGGTGGAGCCAAAATCACTAACTACTATCTTGAAAAACGTGAGAAGAAGCAGAATAAATGGATGTCAGTGACCTCCAAGAAGATTGTGGAGACCAATTACGAGGTCATAGGCCTGATCACAGGTTTTGAATACGAATTCCGTGTCAAGTGTGAAAACATGGGAGGTGAAAGTGACTGGAGTGAAATCTCTGCTCCAATCATTCCCAAGTCGGATCAGACACCTCGTGCTCCTGTCTTCAGAGAAGAGATCAGGGACATGCTTGTCAAGTATCAAGCCAATGCCACATTTGTCACCAAGGTACTTCATTTAGCTGTAATGTTTCAGAAATATTTAGTTTGTATGCATTGATTTGTAAGAAACTTAACCATTGCATTCTTTTGAAAAGGTGGTTGGATATCCCAAACCAATGGTTAAATGGTACCGTGGTGGAAAGGAGATCTTGGCTGATGGAACCAAGATAAAATCCCAGGAATTCAAAGGAGGCTACTACCAACTGGTTATTACGAATACTGATGAAAGAGATGCAATGGTTTACCAAGTCAGGGCTACTAATGCATCAGGATCTATCTCCATGACTGCCAACCTCGATGTGGAAGGTAACTACTTTTTACAACAATAATATCAAAGTAACTGTGTATGTAAACATTTTATTTTAATTTGTATTTATATTAATTCTTTTTTTTTTTTTTTTTTTTAGTTCCTGCTAAGATCCACCTGCCACTGGAGCTTCAAGGAATGGGAGCAGTCCATGCTGCCCGTGGAGAACACATTACTATCAAGATTCCCATCTCAGGAAAGCCTGAACCTGCAGTTACTTGGCAGAAGGGTCAAGAAATTCTTTCAAATTCTCCATACCATCAAGTCATCACTACCAGATCTTTTACTTCCCTAGTCTTCCAAAAGGGTGTTAGAAGCAAGGATACTGGCTACTACATTATTACTGCTAAGAACAGATTTGGCACTGACAAGCAAACCATTGAAGTCTGTGTAGCTGATATTCCTGAAGCACCAAAAGCACTTATTGTCAGCGATATTAGTCGAGATTCAATTACCCTCACCTGGGAACCTCCTGCAAATGATGGGGGAAGCGATATTATCAATTATATCATTGAGAAGTGTCCCGCTAATGGTGAAAGATGGATCCGTGCTGGACAAACATCTGACTGCACAATCACTATTATTAATATCTTTGGAAAGACCAAATACCAGTTCCGGGTAATTGCTGAGAATGAGTTTGGCTTAAGTCCACCATGTGCCCCAACTGAACCCATTACCACAAAGGAAGACAAATGTGTTATCAGGAACTATGATGAAGAGGTAGATGAAGCACGAGAAATTGTCAAAGAGGAGGCTCCATTCTACAAGGTGAAGGAACTGTCCTCCAAATACACCATTGCTGAAGAACTTGCACGCTGTCAGTTCGGTGCTGTCTACAGATGTGTGGAGATTGCAACAAAGAAGACCTTCATGGCTAAGTTCATTAAGGTCAAAGGCACAGACCGTGAGTTAGTTCTCAGAGAAATTGAGGCCCTTAATATAGCGAGACACAAAAATGTAATTTACCTGCATGAATACTTTGAGAGCATGGAAGAGATCATTTTGATCTATGAGTTCATTTCTGGTGTGGATATCTTTGAGCGCCTTGGCATTGGCAACTTTGAGTTGTCAGAGCAAGAGATTGTTCGTTACCTGAGACAGGTGTGCTCTGCCCTCAAATTTATGCATGCCAACAACTTTGGCCACTTTGACATACGTCCTGACAACATTGTCTACACAACAAAAAGAAGCACCAACATCAAGATTATTGAAATGGGTCAGTCCAGACTGCTGGTCCCAGGAGAAAACATCAGAATGTTGTTCTCTGCACCTGAGTACTGTGCTCCTGAGGTCCACCGCCATGACCTCATCACCACTGCCACAGACATGTGGTCTGTTGGTGTAATGGCCTATGTCCTACTCAGTGGCCTCAATCCATTTGCAGCTGAATCAGTAACAAAAATGATTGAAAATATAACAAATTGTGAGTATGTGTTTGACAGTGAAGCATTCAAGGACATTAGTCTAGAGGCTATAGACTTTGTAGACAGACTTTTAGTCAAGGACATGAAACTCCGTATGACTGCTCATGAGGCTTTGGAACACCCCTGGCTGAAGATGAAGCTGGAGAATATCAGCAACAAGGCAATCAGGACTCTGAAACACAGACGTTACTACCAATCTCTGTCTAAGAAGACTGATTATATTGTATCAGCAGCTCGTATTGCCTATGGTGGTGCCTTCAAAAACCAGAGAGGACTGGCTGTTGGTAAAGTCAAGATTGGCACGGAGTACCACGGCCTGCGTGCTGGTCCAGTTATGCATGCATCAGCAGAAGAAGGTGGTCATGTAAGATTTACTTGCAGTTTCACCAACTTTGACAAGAGCACTCAAGTTTCATGGTTCTTCGGTAACCGCCAGCTGCACCCAAGTCCCAAATATGAGATCACTTACAGCAATGGCTTTGCCAGTATATATGTTAAGGACATTGAGGAGTGTGATGATGGTGTATACAGATGCAAGGTGGTTAGTGATGACGGAGAGGATAGTGCTTATGGAGAGCTCTTTGTTGAGTCAGTGAGAAGCATCAAAGAGTACTACCTCAGCCGCACTGTCAGGAAACTCAGGAAGAGAGTTGACAAGACAAAACTTCTGCAGAGACCACCTGAGTTCACACTACCACTCTACAACCGCACGGCCTTCATTGGTGAAGATGTTCGCTTTGGTGTTACAATTACTGTACATCCTGAACCTCATGTAACATGGCTGAAGAATGGCGAGAGGATCAAACCAGGTGATGATGACAGCAAGTACACTTTCATCAGTGATAAAGGTCTTTATCAGTTGGTGATCCATAACTTGGATAAGACTGACGATGGTGAATACACTGTTATGGCACACAACAAGTTTGGTGAAGACAGTTGCAAAGCTTCTCTCACTGTGACACCTCATCCCGTTGTGGAAGAGACCATGAGACCCATGTTCAAACGTCTGCTGGCTAACACTGAGTGTGTTGAGGGTGACAGTGTCCGCTTTGAGCTCAGAGTTACAGGAATACCCACTCCCGCATTAAAATGGGAGAAGGATGGTAAGCCACTACAGCAGAGCTCTAAGGTTGTTGTTATTGAAGAGGATGTGGACTACTATGTCCTGCATGTCAGAGAAACTCTTCTTGAAGACTCTGGTGTGTACAAGGTCACTGCAACCAATTCTGCCGGATCTGCCAGCTGCCAGGCTACCCTCAAGGTTGACCGTCTTACTTACACAAGACGTGAGTACAAGAGTGAACAGGAAAAGATGAGGCATATTCAGAAACAGATTGAAAAGACAAATAAGATGGCTCAGCATATTGCAGCTACAGAGGAACTTGTAGCTTTCAACCCAGCTGCCCAAGAAGCCCTTAAATTTGCTGCAGAGATGTACAAGCCTGCTGTAAGCACCAAGAATGTTGAGGGAGAATTTGACATTACTGTAGTAAAGTCAGAGACCAAGAAATTGGAGGAGGAGAGAAGAATCTTTATGCCATATGAAATCCCTGAGCCTGTGGTTCACGATCCAAAAGCTCTTGATGAGGACAAAGGCATCAAGCAATTTATGCCTTTGTCTGAGATGAAATGGTACAGGAAGATCAGAGACCAATATGAAATTCCAGAGAGAACAGAAAGGATTGTGCAGAGAAGACAGCGCCGCATCCGTTTGTCCAGATGGGAGCAATTCTATGTAATGCCTCTTCCAAGAATAACTGACCAGTACAGACCAAGATGGCGTATTCCCAAACTGACACTTGATGATTTGGAGACAGTGAGACCTGCACGCCGTTCACCATCTCCTGAATCTGAGGTCTCCTTCCAGTCTAGAAGAAGATCTCTGGGAGACCTAAGTGATGAAGAGGCCATGATGCAGGTGGAGGATTACATTTCAATGAAGAGGGCTGAGGAGGAAAAAATGATGCTTGAGGATGAACTTGAGCTCGGATTCTCTGCCTCTCCTGTTCATAGTCCAGTTCGTTATGAAAGACATGAAGAGAGAAGACAAGAAGTGAGGCATGAGGGTGTTGAGGTTACTGAGACAAAGAAAAAACGTACTACAGTTGAACAATTCATGAGAAGGAGAAGATCATTGTCACCAACATATATTGAGCTGATGCGTCCTGTGTCAGAGCTTGTCAAACCACGTACAAGACCTCCAGCTGATATTGAGGTAGCTCAGGTAGAAAGGCGTTCACCCACTCCTGAGAGAACCCGACCCCGTTCTCCAAGTCCAGTCAAATCTGCAGAGAGATCCTCCCGCTCCTCGTCTAGATTTGAACGATCAGCCCGCTTTGACATCATGTCTCGCTATGAGGCAAGGAAAGCTGCTCTGAAATCAGAGAGGAAATTCCAGGTGGTTAGCCAGACTCCATTCAGTCTTGATCATGTGCCTAGAGTAACTGTCAGAATGCGCTCTCATCGTGTTCCCATTGGCCAAGACACTAAATTTACTCTGAACATCCAATCTAAACCAGAAGCTGAGGTACAATGGTTCCACAATGGTGTTGCAATCTCAGAAAGCAGTGAGAAATATATCTTTTCTAACATGAGTGGAGTTTTGTCTATTATTATCCTCAACTGTCAAGAAGAGGACAGTGGTACATACCGCTGTGTATGCACAAACTCCAAGGGAGAAGCATCTGACTATGCAACCCTGGATGTTTCTGGTGGTGGCTACACAACATTCACCTCTCGTCGCAGAGATGAAGACTCCATCAAAGGGTATGTACCAGAAGCTTCTAAAATTGACCATTATCACATAAGTCACTTCAAGTCTGGTTATGCAGCAGAAAGCCACGTTGCTGTGGAAGAAACCAAAACCAAATATACTCATGAAAGATATGCAGCCTCATCTGAGAGATACTCATCTGCAGAGAGATATGAGTCATCTGTTAAATATGCATCAACAGAATATTTGTCATCTGGGTCTTCATATTCATCTGAGAAGGTTGCATTGACTGCAAAGCATGCAGAGAAAACAGCTGAAGTTAAAGCCAAGACTACTGTTGCAATCGAGGAAAAAGTCAAGCCTTCCCTTCCTGCAAGGATTCTTACCAAACCCCAGTCTTTGACCATTTCTGAAGGAGAAACAGCCAAATTCTACTGTGACATTGATGGGGAACCAGCGCCAACTGTGACGTGGATACATGAGACTAGAACACTAACTTCCTCTCAACGTGTCCGTATCACTTCCACGCAGTACAAATCTACTCTGGAAATTACCTCTGTGACATCTGCAGAGGAGGGCAGGTACACAGTTGTGGTTGAGAACTCAGCTGGCCGCCAGGAGGCTCACTTCACTTTGACAATCCACAGACCACCTCCCAAGGTTGAGGTTAAGGCTGTCAAGTCACCAGAACCATCTGTGAAATCACCAACTCCTAGTGTCAAGTCACCTGAGCCTACAGTCACGTCTCCTGTTCCATCTGTGAAATCCCCTGAACCCAGTGTAAAGTCCCCAGAGCCAGCAGTCAAATCTCCTGCTGCGAAGTCACCTGAACCAACTGTGACCTCTCCTGTTCCAAGTGTAAAGTCCCCTGAGCCAGCCACTGTCAAATCACCTGAACCTGAGGGAATCAAATCCCCCAGGGGTGTCAAGTCCCCAGAACCGGGTATCAAGTCCCCAGAACCGGGTATCAAGTCTCCACCAGGAATCAAGTCCCCAGAACCGGGTATCAAGTCTCCACCAGGAATCAAGTCCCCAGAACCGGGTATCAAGTCTCCACCAGGAATCAAGTCCCCAGAACCGGGTATCAAGTCTCCACCAGGAATCAAGTCCCCAGAAAGAGTCAAATCACCTGAACCTGAGGGAATCAAGTCTCCACGTGGAGTGAAGTCCCCTGAGCCTGTTGGAGTCAAGAAACCATTTGGTGTCAAGTCACCGGAACCCAGTGGAATAAAATCACCAACTGGAATCAAGTCTCCAAGGGCACTGAAGTCACCAGAGCCACCTGGCATTAAATCCCCTAGAGCCCTGAAATCCCCAGAGCCAGAGGGAATTAAGTCACCACCAAGAATGAAGTCTCCTCCTCCTATCATGTCCCCCAAGAGGGTTATGTCTCCTCCCACTGTAAAAGCACCACCTAAAGTCCTGAGCCAGGTAGCAGCAGTAGCCTGTGAAGGCTCAGTGAAAATGTCCTGCACATGTGAGAGCAGTGTCAAGGAGGTGGTTTGGTATGTCAACGGAAGGAAGATTTCCCAGAGCAGCCGCTTTGCATTGCACTACTCTGAGGGTTCCTGTAGCCTTCTCATCCACGACCTGTCGGAGAGTGACCAAGGAGAGTACATTTGTGAAATGATATCAGATGGAGGAGTGTCCAAATCTAGCTTCTCCTTTACTGGGCAAGTGTTCCAGTCTATACTTATGAAAGTCACAGCTTACAGAGAGCAGCAGCAAGTGGCACTAAAAGGTAAGAATTTCTGTCAAAAGAATGTATGTAGAAATTACAGTGTTATATAAAAACTGGTTTTAAATATCCTTCTGTTTCACCACAGGGTCCATGACAGTGAGTCATAAAGAGGCATCTTCATCAGCAATGATGATGAAAAAAGAAGTTCACATGGTGGAAGAGTCATCGTCCTTCTCTTCCACTCAGCAGTCCATGATGTCCTCTATGATGGAGTCCAGTGCCTTCAGCAGCATGGCAGCAGAGATGAAGTTTGAAACAATGTCGATGTCCAGCATGTCCTCCATGGCTTCAGAGTCATATGCCATGAGCTCCAGTAGTCTTTCAGAAATTGCATCTCACATGGAAGGGTCCATGTTCAGATCAATTGGTAAGACAATTAATTGACTTAAAATAATTTACTAAGCAAAACTTAAAACAGATAAAATAAAGAACACAAAAAAGAATATACATCCTAATAAGTATGTGCTGTGTTTACAGGTGGTCCTCCTAGGATTGAAGCTCTGCCAGAAGACATCAGCATTGAGCCCGGCAAAGTTTTGACAGTTGCCTGTGCTTTCACTGGAGATGCCAAACACATAGAGTGGTCACGTGGTGGAAAAACCATTGAAGTTACCGCTGGAGGACGTTTCCACATTGACACCTCAGAAGACTTGACCACACTTATCATCACTGGGGTGAAAGAGGAAGATGCTGGAACCTACACCCTCAAACTGTCCAATGAGCTTGGCTCAGACACAGCAACTGTTCACATTAGTATTCGATCAGCGTAAAAAAAAAAAGTTTGTCCCTTGTCCCGCCTTTCATGCCTTTTTATTTATTAATTAATCAAATAATATTAGACCTGAATTTCTCTTCTTGTAAATATAAAATATTTTTGTACCAAACTTGACTTTAATTTATGCCAAACTAGACTTAAGTCTAAAGTTGTTATAAATGTGCCATATTGGACTTAGGAGTTTTGATCCTTTTTTCTGTGACATGTACATAATGTATATAGCCGAAGTTAACGGTTATGGGAATGTATGCAATGTAATTTATGACAATCATAATATTAACTGAAACTGTATGAAACTGAATGTGGTTTAACAGGAGAAAGTTTCGCATGGAACGAATACCCTGTTAAACTGAGAAACTAAACACTGTGCCTCAACGATAAGTTGAAGTCTAAGATTGCCTCAACAGGTAGAGAGGCTCCCTGTTGAAGTTACCTCAATCCAAGACAAAACCAATTCTGCTAATAAGAGCAGTGAGCTAAGACTGTGAGATCCTGAGTGCTGTTTGCATTTACCCTCATGTAAGCAGGACAACTGGATCTCACTCTCTGACTGATTATGTCATACTGCCATTTTTATGACACGCTCACAGTGCAAGCGGCCTGCACTCCCTGAGCAAGTGTTTTGTTTTGTGCTCAGCTTCTGGCAAACGACCACATGCAGAAGCTCCCATGATCCATCAACCTGGCCAATCATTTAGTAGTGGAGCAGTCCTGTGCTTGTTTGCAGAGCCTGAGCTGTCTCTCGGAGGTCTGCTGTGTGTTTGTGTGTTAGTTTATAGAAAATCACCTGTCAGTGGAGCTGGGCACCGCTAAGCACCTGAATCACAGCTGTCAGCATCAGCTGTGCCACAAAGGACCAGCACAGGAAATTCTTACGCGCTGCCCTGCTCTATGGTGTAATTGATCTTAGTTATATAGCATTGACTCTTTTCTGCTGCCTCCCTGAGTTTTTGTCATTATTGATTTAATAAAGCATGATTGTCAGCACTACCGGACATCGCATTGTGTTTTTCTTTATTGCGTTGTAATACTGAATTACCTTTAACTACCTTTTTATAATATTATATTTATTAACATTAATATTAAATAAAATGTATTGGGCTGTACACCAGTAGTGAGTTAAGCACTATTATCAAAGCATCACCAGAAATGTATAGTCTAAAAACTTGCACAATTTATTAACTTGTGTACTTTTACACAAGGACAAACCCAGCCCCAGGGCTAAATAGATGAAACCACAAAATTACATAAATCTGTACAGAATAAGCAAATGTGGTGTGAGTGAATAGGACACAAAAACAGATCCACAAATGGTAGAAAGCTAAGCAAATTATCAATAATGCTTATAGTTGATCGAGTCATGTGTGTTTAATATAAAATATATGTAAAATGCACTCTAGCCAATGTTGTACTCACAAAACTCCATGATGACACAGATGCCCAGGTTTGAAATGACAGGACGCAGCATTTACAGTTCATTTTAACAACATCAGCCCGTAGAAATAAATCAACCTCTGGCAGAACACACATCTGCCAGAGGTTGATTTAGTGTTTACCGTTATTTTTGCAGGACCTTGAGATGAATCCCTTTCTTTTTCAGTCCAAGAGGCACACAACTACAAAAACATCAGTTGAACAGATTAATAGTGATGAATCCGAACATGGAAAATATTGAACTAAAGAATAACACCTGTATGTGAAACTTTCATTGACTGTGACTTTGCTTCTTGTGAGCAGAGACGCTTCGAGACACACTGCCTGCTTGTTGCTTCATTAACTTCTCATAACATCAATATAAAGCTTATATTAATTCGCTAATTCATTAATTAATCATTGCATTTACATAGCACCTTCCGAGACACCAAAAGCGCTTTACAGTTCATTGTTCATTCACTTCACACTCCATTGTACACCAAATGCCCTGGAGGAGACTGACGGAATATCTATGTGTGATAAATATATTTAACAACTGATGTCATACTTATATTGACTTATATTTCTTGATGTAAAAATGTACATATAGGGCATGTTCTTTGAGTTATGTGGCAAAAGATTTGATTTAGACTCAAAGAAAGAAATGGCCTTCATGTTTTGATTTTGAAAGGGCCTATAAAACAAGGAATAAACCAAAATGTTTAGAGCAACAAAAAAACAAACCAACAAAAAAACAAAAAACTATATGACTGATTGGTGATGACTCCTGCTTATACTTACACATCACAATTTATTACATTATTACAATATTGTTCTTTTACAATGAGAATGATTTTTTCTTGCAATCAATCCGGGGCTGGGTCGCTGAGGCAGACTTCCCTCTCCACACACACTTCCTCCAGCTCTTCCGAGGGGATCCTGAGACGTTCCCAGGCCAGCCGAGGGACACAGTCCCTTCTGCTCAAAATAAATAATATTATGAAAAAATGTATTCCATATTTCCTGTTATACTTTCTTATTATCTTCTTTATGCTTTGTACATTTATGTATGCATAAATGTACCTAGAGTTTGTCTATGAACATGCACCACTCAGTCTACAGGTTATCATTTACAGTGGTCTGTATTCAGATTGGTTCATGAACTGTTGTTGTGTCCTTAGGCAAGGCACTTCACCCTCATTGCCTAGTATGAAAGTGGTGTGTGTGTGTGATGGTGGTGATGGCACAGATTGGCAGCTTCGCTTCCGTCAGTCTGCCCCAGGGCAGCTGTAGGTACAGTAGTAGTTTACCACCACCGGGTATGGAGTGAATGAATAATGCTCTGTAAAGCGTCTTTGAGTGTCCAGAAAAGTGCTATATAAAACTGATGCATTATTATTATTATATTTAAAAACGATTCAATATGATTAATAAAAAATAAAGGCTAAATCATGGCTGTGATACTAAAAGTCTTTGTTAAATCACTTCTTATATAAATTATTATGAAAAAATGTCCTTTTTAATCATCAAAACTGAAAATGTCAAATGTGTCACATAAACAAGTTTCCGTCCTCTGAACAAACAACAAAACTGTGTAGTGGTGTAGTGCACCAAAAAATAAAACTGGCAATATATCGATACAGCAGTCCACGCTATCAATACTGTATCATCACATTAAACCATACGATATATTGATATTTCATTATTTTTGCACAAAGTTTTACCAGGTGAGAGTCGCGCAATGTTGATGACGAGTCTCCACCTCCCTCCCCCTGTACGGTGTCCTGGTTTTGACAAACGCAAATATGGTCACACTAACCTGTATTCCACTGAGTCATGTCTTTTAATCCGACAGAAATTGACAGCATCAGCGACACAAGAGCTGTAGTTTTATCTTCGCTTAGTTTATGCAAATTAGCGATGCGGTTTTAAGTTTCGTTTCTGTGAGAGTTGCACAAAACCTCATTAAACACATAATGTCAAACGGATTGATGTGGCTCTAGAGTCGTTACAGTTTATGTGTCGTAAAGTTGAATTTATTTATGCAGATTAGTAATGCAGATAGTAATAATAATGATGATCATTTTAATATAAAAACGTTAATAATTAATCGATAATCGATCGTTAATTCTTCCGACGATCAATTAAGAAAATTTCATCAAATGCCCATCCCTAGTTTGGTCCACGCTTTTGTAGGGGTTGAAAAGGGTGATTTGGCGTCCGTCGATGCTTATGACCAATTTCTGGTCAAATCGTCTTCGCTCCTCTGCCGTTAGAGTGGATACAACACCGGGATCAATACCCTTTACGTCAGGGGTCTCAAACTCAAATTACCTGGGGACCACATTACATAAAGTCTGAGTGAGGCTGGGCCGCATTGAGTATTCGATAAATAGCGATTGCATGAAAAAAAAAAAACGCCGTATGTGCACGTGTACTCGTATTAACAGATCCACTTAGGCTCGTTGCTTCACGACTGCTGTAAGTTGAGTTTTGGGATGTAAGATGCATCAATATCTGTTGTTGTAAATCTGCATGGGCACCGACTGCAGCTTTATCTGTCAGTGCAGTCCGCGGTAGGGGGGTGGGATTGTGCGTACATCTACCGCGGGCCGCACTGACATTATTCTTTGGAATTAAGTGGAGGGCCGCAAAAAATCCTTCCGAGGGCTGCAGTTGGCCCCCGGGCCGCGAGTCTGAGACCCCTGGTTTACGTGCTTTCTCGCTCCGTCCGTCGTGTTGAATTAGTGTTTATTAGTGATGTGACGTTTCGTATCGAGGCTTCGAAGCGTGAGTCGAGTAGGGAGGGGGCGTGTCCGCTGAAAATTATGACGTCCGAAGCCTCGCTGCCCGGCTGTACCACATGACTGATTCAGGAAGTGGTTCGGATTTTGCTGCGATTTCCATTTTCATAATTTTCAAATAATATTTTTTCCATACTGCCAGTACATAGATACACAGTACACTGCCATCACTACAATATACATGTTTTGCATACTTCTTTATTTTGCTGACCGTTCTATTCACAGGCTTTCTGCAAAATGTCACACACTTCAAATTCATGTCAACTGATATTTTTGTGTCCAGTAGACGTCCTGCTAGAGCAAATGAAGCTTCAAGAAGCTTTGCGCTAGAGCAGGGGTGTCAAACTAATTTTGGTCCGGGGGCCGTATCTAACCTACTTTGATCCCAAAGGGGCCGGATCAGAAAACTCATGTCATATAAACCCCAAAAATAACAATAAGTTCAAATATTTGTGCAAAGAAACACAAATCTGTTACAGAAATCTTTTTTAATTGATGAAGTCTTTCTTTTACAAAATATTATAATATTATGAACAACCTGAAACTTTAAGAAAAATAAAATTTCAACACAATATTTTAACATGAACTTGTATGTAAACAGGAATAAGTCCATTTTTGTTGTAAAATCCTGCACTCGGCTCCACTTTTCTCATGTTGGACATTTTTCTGATGAGGGTGTCACGGTCAACAGTCAAAACGATCGTCCTTTAAGAGCGTTTGGAAAGAGACAAGTCTTCATTTGTGCTGCTCTGGTGGGAGGGGCCACGTACAGAGACGCTGGAGACGCTGCTGTGATAAACACCACAGAAAATTAACAAGATTTTAATAGAAAATATCATTAAAATATTTGAGTAGAAAATCACCGAAGGGCCACATTAAAGGTCTTGGAGGGCCGGATCTGGCCCCCAGGCCTTATGTTTGACACCTGTGCGCTAGAGTGAACCAACTGAATGAAAGGCTTCAATGCGTCATGAAGCTTCATTTGCCCATCACTAGTGTTTATTGCCGCCGACCAAAATAATTCCCAGCATGCAACGCGCGCTTTTGTCAACAATGAAACTCGCCTGTAGATCCGTGGAGGAGCTGAACACGTGGCCTCAATCTCGGCGTAATTTGGCCCATAAACAGTGCGTAAACGCGGGAACAGCCCCCCCGCCCCGGTGGAAGATGGCAGCTCCTCCTCCTCCTCCCTCGTGTAGCCTGTGTGCCAGTGTTTTGACTCCGGTGCAGAGAGGTGGAGCCCGGGCCACACTGCGGAGAAGAGAAGCAGAGGAGAGAGGAGAGGAGAGAGGAGGCGTAGAAGCTAGCAAAACCCCGCGGTCAAAGCTCCGATTCTTGGCGTGAACAGAGCCGCTTCTGTTCTTACCTGGAGTCGGACGTTTAAGTCGGTGAGTAACTTCAAATGACTCAGTGAATTTCGGCTCGATAAACATTTCGTAGAAGTTATGAACGGGTTTGGAAGCGTTGGATATTTCGGGTTATTTCGTTTTGTTCGTCGTTTTTTGTTGTTGTTGTTGTTTGTTTGCGGAGTGCCACTTGTTTTGAAGAGTTAAAAGGACGTTCAGGTGGGCGGGGGAGGCACGAGGGCGACGTAGCCACGCAACACGCGCCGCAATTCCCGCTGCGAAAGAGAAACGATGATGATAATAATAATAATAAAGTACACGTCTATTTGTCATTAAACAGCAAAAAAAAAAAAAAAAAAGAAAAAAAAAGTGCCTTATCACATTAAATTGAGCTTGTTATATTGCTGTTACCTCCGTTTCATTCACACGGAGTAAATCTGGTTTAAATCTTCTGATAACATTAGGATGACCAGATTTTCCAAACTAAAAACTGGGACACTCCCGGTTTGTGGTGGTTAGCGGTGTTGGGAAGGTGACTTTTAAAATGTATTCCCCTATAGATTACAGATTACATACCCCAAAATGTAGTTTGTAACGTAATCCATTAAAGTACTTAAAGTGAGTAATGTAATCTGAATACTTTGGATTACTTGATTTGCTGTAAAGAAGTAAAGACGAGGATCTGAACATAAGATGGTTTGTCTGATAAAAGACAATTAAAAAGCCCAGACTTTACTTAAACATATTAAAAATATTATTGATAGAAGAAGAGGATACACGCCTGCACAGCATGATTTAGTCCTGTTAAATCCTGGTTTTAGACCTGTTTTAGACCTGGTTTAGACCTAGTTTAGACCTGGTTTAGACCTAGTTTAGACCTGGTTTAGACCTAGTTTAGACCTGGTTTAGACCTAGTTTAGACCTGGTTTAGTCCTGGTTTAGACCTGGTTTAGACCTGGTTTAGTCCTGGTTTAGACCTGGTTTAGACATGGTTTAGTGTCCAGCAATGACTGGAATTACCGGGGGGGGGGGGGGAAAAAAAAAAAAGGGATCTAACCCGAAATGTGCAGGAAAATACCGCCATGTAATCCATTTATTTCAACAAAGTAACTGTAATCCAATTACCACTCACTCGAACAGTAACTGTAACTGAATACAGTTACTCATACTTGGACTGTCCCTGGTAAATAGGGACGTCTGGTCAAGTTAATAAATACATTTTACCTTTAGCTCAGTATAGGGTGACCAGATTTTAAAAATTCTATACTGGGACACACAGGGGTTTGGATTTTTGAAATAGATAAAATAGTAAAAAGAGCGCGTAAGATTGTGCATTCTCGTCAGTCATAATCTGAGGGGCTTCTGTCGCTGCATTTTTTTTTTTTGCTTTATGGACATTCGCAAACACAGTTTTCTGTATTTTGGCTAAACAAATGACAATGTATGCTCCTTACTGTTGGCAGGATCAAATTAGTCAAAAATTGTGATCCACAACAGTCCAGTTTTAGTTCATGTTGTCCTGGTTTAGTCTTAGTTTAGTCCTGATTTAGACTTGGTTTAGGTAAAATCTGTAAAAAAACACAAAAAAAAGGGACACTTGGGACATTTCCTGTATAACATCAACAGTTTTGTATAAATCTGCTGGGACTTGGGACACAGGGCTCAAAACTGGGACTGTCGCATGTAAATAGAGACATCTGGTCACCCTAAATCAGAGGTGTTTCATCAAGGGCCACATGTCTAAACACAGACGAAGCAGAGGACCATAGACTGGTGTTCAGTACAGTGAATAATTGAAATATGTGTTTAGAATAGCTCATCAGTCTTTATTCTTGCTAAGATCCATAAAATCACACACTAAATATTAAATATTACCTTTATCAAGGTCGATTTTCAAAAAAAACTTTCAGTAAAAAGTTCATTTTAATTGATGCAAAGTCATTTGGGCCAATTCACCTGGGAGCCTGGGGGCCGCATTTGACCCGCAGGCCATAGTTTGGACATGCCTGCCCTAAATAAACTTTAAAAAAAAATTCTATTTGACATTAAATAGCTTAAAAAGTGCTGTATGACAACAAATTGATTCTTGTGAGCATTAAATCTTGTTGTCTTGTTGTTAGCTTCTCAAAAACATACCCAGAGTTGGTTTTGTTTCATTCACACATGTTTGAGTAGATCTGGTTTAAATCTTGTATAGCTTTTAAGTTAATATAGAGGTGACCAGATTTTCAAAATAAAAAAACACTAGGACACCTCCGGTTTGTGGTGGTTGCATTAATAATATTTTGTACATGTGCAATACACTTGGCTCATTCACTTATCATTTTATGTATTTAACTTAAATAAATGACAATTTATGCCTCTCTTTACTGTTGGCATGTATCACATATGCCAAAAATAGGGACATCTGGGACATTTCTTGTATAAAACTGCGACAAATCATTGGTTTTGGAAAAATCTGCTGGGACAGGGGACACAGGGCTCAAAACTGTGACTGTCCCGTGTAAATAGGGACATCTGGTCACCTTAAATAAACTAAAAAAGTCTATTTGACATTAAACTGCTAACAAAAAGTGCAAAAAAAAAACAAAACCACACCTTGGGTTGGGATGGTTGGCAGTAGGGATGTGCAAAAATATTGAATTGTATCGTTTAAGGTGATGATACAGTACTGATATCATGGGCTGGTGCATCGATATATCGCCAAGAGTATTTTTTGGTGTGTTTTAGTAAATTATTTTGTTACAGCGCTACAGTTTTGTTGCTTGTTTAGAGGAAGGAATCTTATTTATGCAACACATTTGACATTTCCACTGTGCATTTTGTGAACTTTGCACACGAAGTGTTTTAACAAAGACTTTTAGTGTCACAGCCATAATATAGACATAATTTTTTATCGAACCGTACTGAATCAATTTGAAATATATCGTATTAAATCGTAATCGAATATGTAGGCAAAGTTACAGATCAAATCTATGGAGAGGCGAGCTCACACACACTAAGAATACATGTTCTTCACTGTATTTTTGCGCCATAGACAAACTAACTAAAAAAAATGCTAGATCTATTTAATGCCATATTGGGGAACATTCCAGACCAAGCAGTTACATATCCATGGAGATATGCAGGACGCAGAACCTCTACTATAAAAGGTACATAGTGCAGCTTTAATTATGTTTTTACCCGAAGTTATGAACCTGGTTTTGTCATAGATATAATCCTGGTTTATAAGATGTTAGTAGTTTAATATTCCTCAAGTTCTTACAGTTAAAATATAAGTAAGAAAAAAAAAAAACGAAGTTAATTTTCAGATAGTCTTATTCTGATGCCATGCAGTGTCAGACCATGCCTTTAAGATAGGCCACTACTAGGCCTAATTATAGGCTATAAGGAGGCAGGAAAACAACAGGAAAACCACAAATGGTCAAAATACACTAGCCGATTTAGAATAACTTAAAGCCACAATATGCAACTTTTCTTCTGGGCAGTCTGCCATTTGCTAGTTTCTGTTGAGATGTTATACTTTGCCCGAAATGTTCCACTGTATGGCATTAATCTGACTTGCTTTGCATTTATTTTATTTTAAATTTTTTTATGAAAAGTGCTGACAATTACAAAAATATCCAGAAAAACGTGCTTTCTTACTGTGTGTTCTTCATGGGCTGGATAGAACCAGCTTGGTCAGAATGTTCCCCCCTTTGTCTTCATGTAATCAGAAAAGTTGAATGTAATAAAGTTACAGAATGCGCCTTTAAATGTCAAAGAGAGGCAGACATGTGTAATGAATCCATGTGTCATTCGTTTTTCATTTTTGAAAATGAAAAAACATTTTTTGTTTCCAATACCAAAATGAAAAAACGGATAACAATTAGTTTTTTCAGTTTTCGATTTTGTATTTAAGTGAATAATGGAAAAAAAAAAAAAACAGATAGCGGCCGTTTCTCGTTTCTGTGACTTAAAATCCGATGCCAGACTTTTGTGCCGTATACCAGGACTAAAACAGGACTAAATCAAGTCCAAACCAGGTCTAAACCAGAACTGCACCAGGACTAAACCAGGTCTACCAGGACTAAACCGGTCTCAGTTCTGGTATCAGTCTGGTCTGGTCCCAGTCTGAGTCTGGATCTTAGTCCTAGTCTCAGTCCTGGTATGGTGCCGGTCTGGTCTGAGTCTCAGTCCTGATCACTTGACAGTCTATGTATGCGCACCTCCGGGCCCGTCTCAACACTCCTGGTTCAGTCCTGGTTTAGGACTGAGACCGGGACCAGACCAGGACTGAGACCGGGACCAGACCAGGACTGAGACCGGGACCAGACCTGGACCAGAACTGAGACCGGGGCTAGACCGGGATCAGACCGGGACAAGATCAGGACTGAGACCGGGACTAGACTGGGACCAGACCAGGACTGAGACCAGGACTGAGACCGAGATAAGACTAGGACTGAGACTGGTTTAGTCCTGGTTTAGACCCAGTTTATACCTGGTTTAGACCCGGTTTAGACTTGGTTTTGTCCTGTTTTAGTCCTGGTTCAGTCCTGGCTCAGTCCGGCATCGCAGTTTAAGTCATTGAAACGGGAAACCATTGCCCAAACTGAAAAAAACGAATTGTTATCAGAATTTTCATTTTGGTTTTGGAGACAAATAATGAAGAAAATAGTTGTTTTTCCATTTTCTTATTTTTAGTTTTATCTTGAAAAACAGATGAACGAATGATACAGGGATTGTAATGCCATACTGTGAAACTTTCTATGTAAAGAAATAACCAAGCAAATCGACCTTAGAAGTTACATAGTGCACCTTTAATACAAGTAGGCCTAGTTGGCTTCAATATATAAAAACTTGAAAATAGCCCAAACGTAGGCCAACCTGTCAGTAGAGCCAATTTGAATGGATATAATTAACAAATCTCAAGGGCTGCAATTTTCAAAGTACCATCATTTCCTCCAGTAACAACAAAATAACCTGTCTTATTCAGCATAAAACCTCTTACCCTGTAGTTTAGATTTGTACAAACATGTTCTGAAATGTGGGGGATGTATTGA